ATGAAAAGAGCAGGCCAGAGAAGAAAAATCGAAAAAGAAAATACTTGGGAAAATATTGGGGGAAATGAAAAACAAAGCCCACATAGGTACGCCGTACAGGCAGAGAATTGAAAGAGAACACACACAGGGCCACAGCAGTAGGTAGCATCTCCATTTGCCAAAGTGGGACTGATAATGGGACTGGCGGCAAGAGGGAGGTGAGCAATCGACCCCCCAGCCCTTACGGTGAGAAAAGACGCTATTATTTCATCGCTGGACTTGGGGTGGGCCAACAAAAAACGGGGGAGGGATCGGGAGAAAAAAACTGATTGACGTTTAGTGCGATCACCCTGTCAAAAAGGAGACGGCCTCGTACTCCATCCAGACAGAGCCTAAGCTTAGCAAGTAGGATAATAATAATAAGCAACTAAACAGTCCTCCTTTTTGGGGACAGCGATCCCTGGCGTTTTGTAATTGGCATTGATTACTTCAAACCCGAGCGCCGCCGTGAATCCCGTACCCGAAGGACGCTAGAAGTTAGAACAATTTGGCCAACCTCACCTATAGCCCCAGGTAGACTAGATCATGTTATCATAATGGACGCTCGGCTTCTGAAGCAAATGCTCCGGAACTCTAATGAGATCCCCAGCTCCAGACAGAGGTCATGCTACTACTAGCTTCGTACGGCGGTTGGTAAAATTACGGTACCTGGAGAATCCTGGGGATAGAAGTGGGTGGATGAGTTACAAGGGCTGGCTTGTTTGAACTGGTGTGAAGAAAGGATCGAAGGCCTAGAGACTGGAAGCGAGGAGGGTGAGCAGCACCTAGCATTGCAGCAGGTGATCACGGATGTTTGATTGGAGCATCAGGCGAACTCTATCTCCTCTGAAGGTTCCTTTTGCACCATCGGTCTCAATGGACGGACGGAGCGGAGGATGGCCATCCTGATGTGTGTACGGAGTATCTACCTGAACCATCTCATTCCACGCATCCCTGGACGATTTCGCGGAGGTATGGACATCGCCGCGCAATCTTCCAGTATGATCCTTTCTCGGATTCCTTTGACGTCATCTCATCTACTAGTCCAACGGCTAGCGTTCGCGATTTCCCCGTGTTGCTTGGGTACCTTTCCTATAGTATCGAGACTTGAAACGACGGGTAATGCGAAAGTAGGTTCCTGGTACCTAATGGTATGAGGCTAATGGGCCTGACACCCGACGCCTTGGGTGTCTCTTCCCCTCCTCCGCCTTGAGTTATAACTTACGGGGTATACCTCCTATGTACTGTGTAGGTAAGCTGGACTAGCAGCCGTTGCTTCTGTTTCCCAATCGCGTGGCTCGCATACTTAAGGCTCCCCCAGGTACTCCGTAATAAGATTAGAATTTCGATGAGACCCGGTACTAGTAGGAGTAGGTACCTGTTACCCCTCCATTACCTGGAACTTGACTGTCGCCAATTGGCCCACCGCCCTCGCATTTTACTCCGTAGTACCCAAAAAGTCGGTAGCAGAGACGGGACCTGACCGGACCTAACCTAGAGGGCACTCCACCCTAGATACAAGCAACGCTAAGGGCGGGCGGAGGAGGGAAGAACCAAAGGATTGGAATCCGTTTTCCAGATCCTCTCCGCCAAAATACTTTCTTGGTTGTTGGTTCTTACTTACCGTACGGCGTCTGCCGTACTGGGAAGCCCAATCACCCAGCGCTGCATAAGGTAAATAGTACCATGCTGTGGATCTCATAGTGCCTGACTTAGCGCGGTTGAGATCTGGAGCCACGCGAGCCAAATGAGGGTCAGGAAGAGGGGGAGAAAATCAATGGAAGGTTGGGAGCTGCAAGTGATCTTTTGACCATCATTGTGAATAGGGCAGTGGGGCGCTTTTGATACGGGCGATCGACCATTAGCATCTGCCGGCCCAGCAGAAGGATACTTACTTACTACTATGGAGTATGGAGGGGCGGACAATAAACCCACCGTAGGCAACTAAGAACATACTGCGGAGTAGCAGACGACGTCATTGTACTTGGACGGCAATGACAGGCAGCTGAGCTCGCTGACATTACAGTATCTGCTACCAGTATGTAACAGATCATCGAAGCTGGAGAGGAAGGCCCCGGTGCAGAAACCAATGGGAACCTTCGGTGACTCCGACCGCTGGATTGAAACCCGACGACCCCAGTCGCTCCGGAGTATAGATGCGTATACAGGAAACTTCTGGATGTGCCGAGCGAATGTGCAACTAGGATGGTGGGTAGGTAGGTACCCTACAAAACTACCACGCGGAGGGATGCAACCTAAAGTCTGACCCTTGGGTCTTAGAGTCTCTTCCTAGCCATCGAAGCCAGAAAAGCAAACAATTATCTCAGAAGGAGGGGGCGGGTGATTGTTTCCCGAGTCGACGCGAACGAAGAAAAGTCGGGTCGGGTCTTAAGGCCAATGCCAGTGGTTCCATGGGGATGCCGATTGGCCTGTTGGATGATTTTCGCAACAACGTGCTGTCGCAGGATTATCTCGACTCGGATGCATTTCTTGCATCCAGTGGAATGGAGCTTACCCCTCTTTTCCTTGACAAGCAAAATGGGGGTGAGATCGTCTTTGGGTTTCAAGAATTACCTAGTAGCAGTTGACCCAAACTGCCCATGGTTTGGGGGTATCTGCATGGCGTCCCTTGAAATGATGATACTGGGCCGTGTGTGCCCCGTGGGCAGCAGTCTTAGCTCCAGTGACCATGATCGTGTCCAGCTTGATATCCATTCGGACGTTTCGGAGGAAAACAGGAAATGAACGGTGAAATGTCATCGCGATGCGCCTAGCTTTTAGCAGGTTAGCAGATACATACGTGCTGCTGCGCATCATGTGAACATGACCCGTCGCAGATGAACGAAGCACGGGCAATTTTATTCATTGGGCGATCGGGAGGGACCCTGAGATGATTAGCAGTACCGATTACTAGTGCCAGGCTAGTCGCAGGAGGAGGAGGAGGAGGAGGAGGAGGAAGAAGAAGAGCTGGTGACGACCGCCTGTGTTGTTGGCAGTGGCAGAAAAGATTTAGAGCAACACCGGTGTGGGTGCAGTGTTGACGCTGCTGCTACTGCTACTGCTACTGCTACTGCTGCCATGCAGGTGCAATAATTTTGCGGTGTTGTGCCAGGTGAATGGTATAACTTACTACTAACGGTGGGGGAGGGGGAAAGCGTCGGCCACTAAATCGCACGAACCCGGCAGGAAGCGGTGAAGAGAAGGGGGGGAAAGGGAAAAAAAAAAAGGAGGGGCTTGCAGTCTCTCTCCAGGCTTGGGTAGGTACTACCTACGGACTGCCCAGCTGTTGGCCAATCCCCTGTACGACCGAAGGCGGGAAAGACAGGCTGTTTGACAACGTCTGTCAAGATCCTGGCCTGTTGACCCTGCTGGCTGCATCACCCGTGTGTGTTTATTTTGCCCGCAACCGTTACGATAGGTCAGCGCCCAGGGGGTAACGCTCTGCTGTGCTTTGGGCAGAAATTGAATTGCGGGCAGTCACTGATGCTTGAATCATGCCGGCCTCGGGAGCGTTCATCGAGTAAAGCCCTGGTCCGCCTTGCAGGGAGGAGCAACCAAAACATACGGTGAGCGAGCCAACATTACACACACGACCTGATCCAATACACAGCCACGGTAGATAGGCAGCAGGGCAGCTGGCAGCAATCTTCGGGACGCAATCTTCCGTTTTGACAGCTGGGCCAATATCAACTCCTCATGCAAGGCCGATTGATTGCCTTTGACTAGTGGCATACATCCATGCCTCTGTTATCGCACTGGCGGGGCATTGGGCTGCCCCGCGGTACATCATTTTGGCTGCGGTGTACCATAGGGATGGGTGTCAGAGCCAGGGCTTGAAGGAAAGAACAGTAACATTAGCCCATTCTACCGATCAGCATCCCTCCTCGGACCGCGGGAAGATGCTGGAGGCTGTCCATCAAGCAGCATGTCGGGTCTTGCGTTAGTGCTCTTGTCATTCGAATAACGACAAGAGCTACGACGACGACGACGATGATGAAAGAAAAAACCCCCCCTCTTATCACCTAATCATATTATTCTCCGATTCGTCCAAGATCCTGCAACGACACTCAGCATTGAGGTCTTCATCACTGGCATGAGACTCTCTCTATCTAATCATCAATGCATGCCTTACCGGCGCATGACGTTGTCTCTATCAGCAGGTCTTGTCTTCCAGCTTCTTTTCTTTTTTCTAGTTCCCGCAGAGTGATTTTTCCATTGCCGCGCTTCCTTCACTCTTACTCATCACTTCTCAAGGGACCCTGATATCTTTACTCGTATGCCGTACAGAGCAGATACACGGTAGTAGTAGTAGTCGGTGCTGGGGATTCACGGCCCACCTGGAATCAGCTTGGGAGGGACAAGCCACCCGCTTCCGGTCTGCGGTGGATCGTTTTACAGGCGCAGTTCCCGCCCCAGAGTGTCGGGTCCGTCTCTGACTCTCTGGATGTAGAGAAATGAGACAGTCAGCCTTGGTGGTTTTCTTTTTTCTTTTTCTTTTTTATTTTTCTTTTCTTTTTTTTCATCAGCTAATAGCTAGGCTACTGTCTTTACTGCCTCCTCCCATCACGGTCGAGTCACCCGATGTGTCAGTTCCGGCTCGGCATGCCCTACTACTTGCTGTCGGTACCGGCGGCGTATGGGTGCATGTTTCAAAGTAATTGAGGTGGTACCCGACTAGAGATGGTCCACCCCCATACTGTTACTAAAGTACCACTGAGGTACTACTCCGTGGAGCATATGTATCGAATCCTTCTAGAAACATGTATCGAAGGAATTGACGTCAGCGTAATCTATGGGCCACCATGCCACTGGTTTTGAACCATAATGCGACATACAGCCCTCCGTAAGAATTGATCGATCGGCCATGGTCGGCAGCAACGGTGAGTGCGGCTGTGGCGGGTCAAGGATGCCTCCAGCAGTCTGGAGAACGAATAGTCAAGGTGGTCCAATTTTGAGATCCTTGAATCCTTGAACACCCTATAGCTGGGATCCCTTGTCAGCCGTCACGATTACAGGCATGATCTGTTCAATCATTGTGGGGACCAGTGCAGGTCATACGCAGTACGCAGTAGACGATCAGCTTATCCCTACCAACCCGAAATCCTACTGCATACTGATGGAGATGGTGCTTGTTCATGGAGATTGAGACAGATAAATCTCTCGGACTCTCTCGGACTTCCTTGACCTACCTAGTCAACATTGTGATCTCCAGTGGATTAATAATGAAGTGTACATCGCCCCTTTCGCATCGGATCGAGTCAGAACCAAGCGGAAACGAATTTTTGAGACTTGATCCGGTACAAAAGTTCCGTCGTCCGACCGTAACAATACTGGCGAGCAACTTCTATTTTCGTCGGCATTGATAACATGAATGAACCTCAACCACCTCAACGTCAGGAGTAGGATAGACTTTGGAACGAGCCAAGGGACAGATGTACCGGGTAGAAGGTACCGGACCATAGTCGACAAGCGAAGAGGGTACCAGCCCACCCGGTACCTTACCTGAACCATAGGTCTTTGTAGATTGGAACCGGGTTTGGCTCCCCGAACCAATAACACCAGAAAGGCGGTCAAGTGGATGTGAAACATCAAAACTTGGGACTTGGGAAGTGGCCATCTCATTTTACTCCTCGCTTTATCCGTTGCGTCACAATCACACACCGGCTCAACGGGAGTGACTCGGGCGCAAAAGTACGGACGAATCGTACCTCCAGATCGCCCTTTTGCTAGTCGGAGGAGTTGGACTAGCCACCGTGGCTTAGGTACGGGATCTCGCAAGTCGCAAGTCGCAATGATGAAGGCGAAGCGGGGCAACTTGACTGATTTACTCACTTCCAGTCTCCACCTCAACTTCAAAGGCGAAGGGAGGTGCGCACCCATCGGGTTTAGCCGACCTGGACCTGGTTCAATTAGTGTCATACCTTGATTCAGTCGGACCTGGGAGACGGGATGGAAATTGTTCCATGATCCATCTACCCATCGCGATGGGAGCTGAGAAGGATCTTCAGCTGGAATTGATTATTGGAACGCCGCAGTGGTACGCCACCAATCTATCTAGCCCATTTACCGAACTACGGACCCGACGGATCAAGTAAGGTTCACCCTAGACTCAATGCCTACCTACGGAGTAAGTATGTCTCGGTCTTCAAGACCACTAATCTCACTCTCTGCTGACCGACGGCACACGGCGTGATGTAGGCATGCTGCTCGAGTAGGCAAGTAGATGCCTGTACCACCCACAACCTCCTCCGTGGCAAGATCGATGGCCGGTGGTCGGCGCACAAATTAGTCAATAAAAGGAAGTTAAATCCAGGATCGAAAAGGAGAAAGGACTTTGGTCTCCAACGGAATTGCGGATCCGGTGCCGCGGCGACGGATAACAATCGAGGACCATGGGTCTGATCTCCAATCACCGTCGGCTAGCCTCTCGACTCTCGCATGATTGATCGAGTCCACTTCTGTTCCCGCCTTTTGACTTTTTCAGACGGCGCACTATTTGCGTCCCGCCCCATCTTGGAGCCATCATCGCCGGACTGCTTCGATCATGTGAGCTGCAGGGGAATCCCATCCTCCCCCTTCCGGCGGTACCAGGAACAAACTCCCATTCGCCTAGATCCTTGCACTGCTGCGCTCCACTGCGGAGCCTCAGGCCAGGTCGAACGGCTGTATATCAAGGATGCGATGGGCTAGTTCCTGTATGTGATTAGTAGGTGTTGACATGGGTTTGGGCGAACCTATCCCACCCCCCCTAAACGTGCGAATCTAGGCTCCCTGGATACATCATTAGGGGGACACATCCCTCGACACTATTCCGTAATACCCGACAGGGATGCGGACAATGGGCTACACAACCTTAAAACGCACTATGGACTGGTACTTTGTACCTTTGGACTTGGCGGCGGGCGACGTGACTAATCCGTCGATCGAAGATGTGATTTGCAGACGGCCCTAGTTCTTTGTGACAGCCGAACTACTGCATCCTTGTTCACAATCATAGGCCAATGGCATTGTCATGCAGGTGGTCTACTGTGAACGACGTCCCATCACAAATCGTAGCCCCAAATCCAGACGGACCAATGTCTTCTCTCAACTTGCCGGCGGGCTGTCACTTCCTCAACAAGTGAGACGCACATGGGATGCGCAGTATTGGATGATCGAGGCCTGGCTAGTCGCATCCTATAATTGATCTGCCGTGTCTCGACCGAGCTGTTGCGATCCTGATACCACTTGCAGATCGGTTGTTGTGTAATCGCGCTCCGCCGAGTCCGAATGGCTGCTTAAGTCTACGAATGATATATATATGCAGGCATGGGTATGCCGTGTTTCATGTCGCCAGTTGGACAGACGTATAGACATACCGATATAGGACAACAGTTGGAAGTCCCACTGTGCAACTGTTCATAACAAGGCTATGGTCAGACATCAAGGCAACTATCTTATGTCACACAAGGTGTGCTACGTACGGCACTTGAGCCGGTGAGCCCACTCTGTACGCTGGATTTAGACACCAGCTGACCCAGTTCTCGTTGCGAGGCCCTGGTGCGACATTATCGTGGGAGTGGGTATTGGCCTTGCCGTACTTTGGACCTTTTGCCTATCAGGGAAACTATAGTCCGTTGGGCAGGTTGGCAGGTATCAGGTCGGTAGCCTTGCGCAAGAAACATTGCGGATGATTGATTGATAGTAACGTGTGACCATCGGGCATGTCGGATAGTTGCCCGTTGGCAGATGCCGCTGTCATTTGGCAGACCGCCGCGGAGGAAACTCGCATTGGAAAAGTCAGCGTGAAGCTATTAATGACTGGGTTCGCAACTATGTGATAAAAAAAAGCAAAAAATCTCAAAAAGGAATTGGATGATTAAGCTCCGATAGGGGGAATCGAACCCCCGGCTGCCGTGTGAGAGACGGCGATGTTAGCCACTACACCATATCGGATGACTTGATATCCGTGTTTGAGTTTTATGCTGTATGTCTAACGACTGTTTACCGACCGTTGCCTGTCATCATCAACAACGTTGAGACATGGCCGTGAACTTTGCCCGGACATATGCTCATATGCACCTTATGGGCTGGCTGCCTTGCCCAGTGCCGAGCCGGGCACATCAATCAGCCTTGTTGTAGCGGTGACAGAGGCCAAAGATTGGAGGAATGCGTTGTCTGAGTGTATCCGGTCCGGACTGCATTCCAGGCATATCTGGGCCGGGTGAGTGGCAGCTCGTGCAGGATCCGCATACTCCGTGCTTGTCAATTTCCCAACATTGACTCGCCCACTTTATTCTAGACCTCGAGGGCTGGGCTATGGTTCGAGGAATGGCGCTCTTCTGTGCCCAGTCTTCAATTTTTCGGGTGGCCAGACCGGACGCATTTACGTCATGTGATTGATTAGAGTGCTGGAAATATATTTTACGCACTTGGTACATTGCATCTGCATCCAAGATGAGGCGGCCGATAAGCTAGCGTAAGCTTCGACTGGATAGAACAACCAGTCGATCCTTCGGACAGGGGGGGGGTTCAATCTGGCAAAAGTACCATCCATGTCTTGTTTCTGTTTCCTTTCTTTTCTCTTTTTTCCTCCCCCATTTTCCTTTTTTCGATTACCCCCCAAAGTATAAAACAGGCAAGGTCAAAAGCAAAGATGACAGAGCCGGTCATCCGGATCCGATCCGGACCTTAGTTCTCCTCCGCCCAGCCTGTCGAGTCCTACAGGAGAATCTGCGCGCGCACCAAGGAGAAGAGAAACTCTAAGTCAGTAGGTGCACCATTTTAGGTTTTTTGATACATCCAGACGGGACCGGGAGGGCATCTCCGGCTGTCACCATTGGCGCCCCCCCTGAAATGTCATCATGAGTGATAGGTTGGGGTCTTCTCTGGCTTGATCGGGTTTAGAACAAGGGGGTCGTGTCCAAACGGATCTTCCGAGTGGATGACCGGCGATACATGGTCCAGTTCCCTCTCCTTTACCCCCCCCCTCTTCCCTGCTGATTTGACCAGGATACACCTAGATAGTAGCAATCCCAAGTACCTATCTACTATCTACTATCTACACAGGCACCTGTACCTGTACCTGTAGTAAGTGGTGCATGCATGAGTCTTATCTCCACCCCTCGATGGGATAAGTATAATTTTAGCGCACTAGGTAATGGTCGGATGGATCCGGTTATTTTGAATTCCTGACATGATAGTCCCCGTCGGGGTGGAAAATGACAAGTCCAAGGCCCCTAGATACCTACCTAGTACCTAAGTACGTTCTACAGGTGATTTGCTTGCTTGTCAGCGATCCACAATCTTATTATGGGGTGGGAAGTACTAGTGGTTCTTTGCCACCCTGGGACACAGGGAGCGGTCCAGATCGCGGAAAAGTCGGCGACGGCGACGCAGCTGGGTCAATATACTCCGTACCAGGGATCCATACTGCGTCTGCAGATTATATGTGGCTTGGGTGCTATGGTGCCATGCCGTCGGCTGTGGCGAGTCGCCGGCATTAGCCCGCGGTTGAAACTGCTATAGTAACGGCACTACTTGGTGCAAGTCCGGTCCGGTTGGCGATTTGGCGGGTTGAGCGGTCTGATGGTTTGCATCATGATGCTCTCATGGGGATAGTGTAGAGGTTACAAAGCTGCATGTTCGAGTTGTGGTTGTTGCCCAACTGCTTGGAATGACTGTTCTCTGCTACTTTGATGCCTGTTTTGGATATTTACGCGTGGTTGGACTGGACTATATGGTTGCCTGGCTGGGTTATGGAAACTAAGTGGCCGAGGGATATGTTCGCTCGTCATGAGCTTTTTCCATATATAATTCCGTGGTTGCCCTTCGTGGGAGCTGTTCTAGCTTTTTTAGGCTGGCTATCTCGAGCCCAATACTGCCTATTGTAAAAGGTAGTTACCAGAAGGTATATGGCATCAATGCCGACGTCAAAGTTTGAAATCCTATTCAGCAACTAAGTTAACTTTCTGTACCATTGTACAGGCGAGCCTGGTACGACGCCGAGCAGTGTCTCTTTGTGACTCTCTAGCTTCAAGGAAACTTCTGCCCGATGTTGTGCAAGCCTTGCGGCCGGCGACAAGTTGGGCGTAGTCATTCTTCAGCAAAAGTAATTCCCTCAAGACTGACACAAGTCTGTCACGTTCAACAGACAGCCTGCGAAGTGAATGCATGATGAGGGTTGCACTTTGAGATATGACCAGACAGGTTGCTGCACCGCCCCAAGATTATGCTCGCCTCGAGCTGAGTCACTTGGCATAGTAGACAATGAAATTATTGTGCATCGTGATATTCATAGTTTGTTAGGAGCAAGAACATCCTGCGTTGCATGAGATTTGTGATCTAGTATGATGACCTATATGGAGTGACTGTAACCTTTGAGATGTAATCGTTTCACATAATGATCTTGATAGCAACTGTGGCATTTGTCCCAATCTTAAACATTGATACCAGCGAGACGTGAGGCATGCTTCCAATAATGAGACAAGTCTGAAAACAGCAATCGTGAAGCAAAAATGACGAAAAGTAAACACGCTTATCATCAGGTGACGATAACATCACGTGCGGCTCGGATTTGCTGGAATGCGGCATGCCATGACATCGACACTTCTCTAACCTTCTTTCTCAAACTTATCTTCGCAGCAGGTCCATTCCTCCTTGAAATACAGAAGGAAAATGAGTTGCAGCTGATCGAGTTGACTACCCTTCCAGCTGTTTCTCAATCCTCCCCCCTGACCCCAGCATGAGCTATAGCTAGCTTCGAGACACAATATGGCAGGTCAAAGAACATGGCTTCTACGCTCGTTGCCGCGCATTCTCCCCCAACAGTCGGCTCGGCTACGTCCCATAACAAGGACACCAGCTGTCGCACTTAGATTATGGTCTCAGCGCTATAGCACCGAAGCCGAGCCTAAGCCACCACAGACCCAATCGCCCATTCCCGACCATTCCTCCGAACCATCGCACCTGAACCCGGCCCCCGACGATTATTCCCGCTTCATATTCCAAGACAAATGTCGCTCAACGATATACGCGGGATCTGGCGGACATGGCTGTGTCTCTTTCCTCCGAGAAAAGTATGTTGAGGAGGGCCCACCGAATGGCGGCGACGGAGGTAGTGGCGGGAGCATCTATATCCAGGCTGTCGAAGGCCTAACCAGTCTACATAAGCTCGCTCGAAGGGGAGTTATAAAGGCCGGTCGAGGAAGGAATGGACAAGGAAAGAGCAAAGGTGGAAAGCGAGGTGACGATGTCCTGCTCCAGGTTCCCGTCGGCACCGTCGTTCGTGAAGTCGACAGATTCGACCCAGTCACGGAGGAAATACTGCGTTGGAAAAGAGAGCGCAAGGAAGCCGCGGCTGCAGCTGCAGCAGCTGCAGAAGAAGGCTCCGAAGTTACGGATGAACTAGATGAGCTTGGTTTAACGTCTATTCGACATGACCGCTGGGTTCTTTACCCCGGAGCCAACCCCTCCGACTACCTGACAACAGTATTCCCAAACCACCCGCCTCGAAGACAAGAAATCGCTGCGTTGGAACCGGAGTCGCCTATCTACCTCGACTTCTCTCGCCATATGGATAAGCCGATCTTGCTGGCTGCAGGAGCTATCGGCGGCTTGGGTAATCCGCACTACGTGTCTCGCTCTAATGGCCGGCCAAAGTTTGCATCCAGAGGCGAGGGCGGCATGCGCCTAGAGCTTGAATTTGAGCTGAAGCTGCTTGCGGATGTTGGACTGGTTGGCAAACCCAATGCTGGCAAAAGCACTCTGCTTCGGTCGTTGACCAACAGTCGCACTCGTGTTGGAAACTGGGAGTTCACGACGCTTTCTCCCAACATTGGCACTGTTGTCATTGATAACCATAAAGGACGACCCTTGGTGGAAACGAAAGGGAAGCGTCGGCGGACGAACTTTACCATTGCGGATATTCCTGGTCTGATCGAGGGTGCTCATCTTGACCGTGGCCTGGGTCTAGGGTTCTTGCGGCATATTGAGCGCGCCGGTATCCTTGCGTTCGTGGTCGATCTCAGCGCTGGTGACCCCGTGCAGAATCTCAAGAATCTCTGGCACGAACTCGGTGAATACGAGAATGTTCGTCAAGAGGAAGAGTTCATGAAGTCGGAGGAAGATGACCTGGAATGGACTCCACCAACCCATGGTCTTCCTGAGCTCCAGCCCAAGAGTAAGGCTAACTGGCAGCCTGAGCACACATCTAAATCCCGGGAGCTTCCTTCTTTGAATCTTCCTCCAATTTTCAGCAAACCATGGTTCGTTGTGGCTACCAAGGCCGATCTTCCAGAAACCCAAGAACAGTACAAAGCACTGCGCGACTATCTTGCTGCAGTGGACAAGGGAGATGCGCCGCATCCGAGCGGACATACACATGGATGGAGGAAAAAAGTATCCGCTGTTCCCGTGAGTGCCATCAGGGGCGAGGGTGTTTCGGGAATTCCAAAGCTTGTCGTGGAATTGCTGGATTGAGCAGACAGCCTCAGTAGATAGTATGATATGGTGTATAGTAAAGGATTTGTAAAATAGGTCGGAGTTGATGGACCGGGCGGCTCTATAATGTGAAATGGGAACCATCTACAAAAGAATATACCACTCTATGCAATGAATCTATACAATCTCCCTCTTACTATCTAGATAGTGTTGCGCTAAACAGACAGACGATGTATATCGCTCCCTGAGGCCAACCATGGCGCGGCCAGGCTCAATCTTATCGTCTCCGAATTTCCCCGCATGACGTCGTTACCACAAACAATAATTTTCGGTGGGAAAACATCGCGATAACAACCACCACCACCACCACCACCAAGCCACCAAGCCACCAACCAACCTCAGCTCAACATCAACAGCCAATTTTCCAAACTCCTCATCTCTCAATCCCACCACTCAACCGAAACCAAAACCACTACCCTCCCAATGAAACAATGACCACCACCCCCAGCACCAACCTCCTCCCCCTCCGACTCCAACTCCACGAAATCATCCCCCACGCCCTCCTCACCATCCTAAACCCCGACTCAACCGACCCCATCCACCGCTGCTTCAACAACACCTCCGTCCTCAAATCCCACCTCTGCGACCCGTCCTCCGCCCTACCCCTCGCCGACTCCCATCTCCGCGTCTTCCCCTTCAAAGATGTCGATGTCTGTTGGCGTCGACTGTACACCGACGCGAGCATCGTCAAAGCATGTTTGACTATCTGTGAGAATATGGGATTTCCGCGCGAGGGTGGGGGGAGGAAGCGCAAGAGAGAAGAAGGACAGTCGCAATCTCGTGTGGAATATGTGTTGAGGATCGTGGAGGAGGTAAGGGAGTGCGGTTCTGAAGGGGTGCGTTTAGGGGTGGGGAAGGTGGATGAGGATGCAGATGCAGATACAGAGAAAGGGTGGATTACATCTACAGTGGAGGTTCTTGATAAGGCGTTGATTATGACGGGGGCGCCGTTACGGGAGGAGGTTATTGAGATGGTTCTTTGTGCTTTGCAGGATGTGATTGAGCCGGAGGAGAAGAAGAGTGGGATTGATGAGAAGGATACAGAAAAAGGGGAAGGGGATACTACGACGCCGCTCTTCTCCTCCTCTGACGCCGCACCCACGCCTGAAAACAAGTTCCCCATTCCGCGAATATCAGCGCCCTCGTTCGAATCCTTCCAACACCATGTCCGGAAGGCCAAAACACCAATTGTGATAACAGATGCGGTGGGACATTGGCCGGCGATGTCGTCGCGGCCGTGGGCCTCAAGGAAGTATTGGTTCGATCGCACGTTCGGAGGACGCAGACTTGTTCCCGTGGAGATCGGAAGGGCGTATACAGATGAGGACTGGGGACAGCGGATAATGCCCTTTGGGGAGTTTGTGGGGAGGTATCTTGATCGTGGGGGGGAGCGGGATGATAATGATGGGGATGATGGTCCAACGGGGTACTTGGCACAACATGATCTGCTCTCGCAGATTCCGGCACTGCGGAGGGATATCTCGGTTCCGGATTATTGTTTTGTGGATGTCCCTGGGCCGGAGCCTGGGACTCCACTGTATATGAAGAAGATGAGAGACGAGGAGGAGAGGAAGCGGAAGGTTGAGATGGGGATGGGGATGGAGCCTGTCCAAAAGCAGAAACAACACGATGACGACTCCCAAACCTCCGAGGATGAGTCCGACGACCCGCTCATCAACACCTGGATTGGCCCCTCATGGACAATATCCCCTCTCCACCACGACCCCTACCACAACATCTTCGTCCAAGTAGTAGGCGCCAAATACCTCCGACTCTACTCACCTCATACCCCCGCCTCCCAGATCCACCCCAAGGGGAAAGAAACCGTCAATCGAACGCCCGAGCATGAAGAAGAAGACGAGCAATCCCACCCCGAAACCCAACCCAACCAAGACACAGAGCAACCCACCGAAGACCCCCAACTCATCGACATGTCCAACACCTCACAAGTCGATCTAGCCGCCATCGAAATGTCCACCGCCGAAGCAGAACAATGGGAAGACCTATGGCCCGGGTTCCTGCAAGCCGAGTACCTCGAAACAGTGCTTAAAGAAGGCGAGTGTTTATATATTCCTGTGGGATGGTGGCATTATGTTCGAAGTTTGCAGGGTGGGGTGAGTGTTAGTTTTTGGTGGGGGTAGGTTACTAGTGATTAGATACTCGTGTATGTATATGACTGGAGATTATATCATTCAGTAAACATGTGTATATACTTTCTGCAAGACACAGGAGTACTAGCTATTAATAGGCACACTACCGAGTAAGGCAAGATTCCACTCTGATTTGCAGATTTAATCCTGATCAGATAAAAGTCGGACTCTTCACTAGGTATGTAGTTGCCCGTTCACACAATAACTTAGTTATCAAATCATAAGCTATTAATTTCCTAAATGTTAAGCAATCGCGAAAATCCACTTTGGATTACGAACCAATAACAGACGAGGTTAGGGACGCGTCGACGTGTTTGATCTTATCTGATGAAAGGAGTGAATTGCATACTTTGCAATGCGTATGGGTGACGTTGTCTGTACTGGGTTACGTAGTTAGGTAGTCTACTTTTGAGCCACAACATGCATGGGCTTATGTATGGACTCTGTTTATTAGGGCTATATAGATCGACGTGTAGAGATTATCCGAGAGGAGAGACATCACTTCTGTGCTCTCACTAGAATTAGAGGTTTGCCTGCCTCAATTGAATCACCCGGCTGGACTAGGATCTTCTCCACGGTAGAACCAGCAGTGAGGGACTCGGTGCGTAGGGCAATTTCTAGTTTCATGGCTTCCAGTATGACGACTAGGTGGTCGGGATCTAGCTTGTCGCCTTCCTTGACTTCCACTTTCCAGATGTTGGCGTTGAGGGGAGCTTCGATGGGGGTGATTTCGGGATCTAAGTGGATAAGGCGAGGGGATTAGTATTGTTTGTGAGGAAAGAGATAGGGAAATCTACCTTTCAGTAAATTTTCGACCGTGTCCATCGGGATACCTCTTTCTGCTTTCTCCCGTGCCCATCGTTCAAGAAGCTCGGCCTCGAGTTTGTCCATCTCTGCCTGTGCTTGTCGCTGCTTGCTTCGGATTGCTGCGACCTCGTCTTTGGTATCGCGGAGGAGTTTGTTGTGTTCGGCCATGTCGAAGACTACTTCTTCCCATTGGTATTCGTATCGCCCGCTGTTGAAGAGGGCGAGCTGCTTTTCGTACTCTTCTTCTGAAACGCGGTAGAATGTGATCTGATCGAAATCCTCGAAAAGCCAAGGTCGGTTGGCTTCGTAGCCTTTCTTGGAGCCGAGAATGTCGACGCCGGGGATAGTCATGCCTGTCATTTGGTATCCGCCCGGGGAGTCTACGTTGTACAGTCTGCTCTCTGTTAGTGTGTATGCTGGCCGAGTGAGTGGATTGGCACTTACGACATGCAGCTGCCACCCCAGGCCACTGAGCCGGCGGGTGTGTAGACTCTGCTGGGGTTCATCTTTGGGCAATTCATTCGATGGCGCGGGTCGACTGGGGTTGAGAGTGGCAGAGCAGTGAAAAACCCCACCGCAACGACCATAAAGGAGGCAGTCAGGTAGATTCTTTCAAATTCTTCTCTGCTAAAGGCATTGTTCTTGGCGACGAAGTCTATGTTGTCGGGCAGGTAGGAGGCGTAGGGACGCTGCGTCTCCATGTATCGCGTGAGTGCATCTTTCTGTCTTTGGCTCTCGAAGGAAAGCGGGAGTTTGAACAACCGGCTGGGAAATTTTGCTTGACTGAGGTCACCGAGCTTTGTCTCGATATCACAAAGGTAAGCTAGGAGTTTCTTTTGTGGGATCTTCGTTCCGTCATAGTAGAGCATCAAAGCTACCCATGTCAGTAAACGTCTTGAACGGCGTATGATCCATAGCTTACAGTTTCCACATCCCAGCATTGAAGTCAACCCAGTGGAAAAGGTAATGCTACCAGTCCCTTCTGTCAAGGCATTTTTTAGAGCAGTCACTCTGCAGCGATGGTTCAAATCAAAAGATCTGGTGCCATAGTCAATCAAGAGGTAGTCATCACCGGCCTGGAATACATATCAGCCACCTAAGTGGTCTACAGACATGACGGTTAGACTCACCTGTCGATATGAGACGAGAGGTTGACTCCCACTCGCCTGGATCTGGTGGACAACACCACTCCCGCGATTCTCTGCAGTCAACCCCGGAGCTAGATCGTTACTAACAGGTGAAATGCCAGTGAAATCACTCTTATGGCAGCCTTGGGCCACCTCGTCGATAAACCGCTCTACTTCCCTGCGAGAAGACAGCGCATTCTCCAGAGAAGTTGCCCGATACTTCAGAGTATCACCCGCTTTCACTTGGCCCAGCTTCCATAGATCGGCTTTGCAAATCGTATGGCTACTGACGAATCCTCCCAGATCCGGTGCATCCACGGGAAATATCACCGGATCATCACCGGTCCAGTTGAGCGATCCTATCGCATATCCATATTCGATCAGATTAGAAGGATGCGCGCCACCCTCCCCACCGTCTGTGCGCGCCCAAGTAGGCTTCGGGCCCAGAAGACGAATGCCTCCTCTAGCCGCGTTGTGGGACACCTTCCAGTTTGTACTGTAAAGCATATCGATACTATCTGGGACAAGGTATCCTTCGTCATACGGCCCAGGCATAGCCATAATTTCCCAGTGATTAGGATACTGAGGGATAAGGTGCTGCGGTAGTCGGAGGTCGCCGCTGACTTCTGGCACCTGTGAAGTAATTGAAAGGAGATCACCAGAAGCAAGCTGTCTGCCCTGGTAGCCTCCTACTCCAACCCCCGGAGTGGTGGATTTGGATCCAAACCACTCTGCAACATTCAAGAAGCCTCCAAAAACACCCAGATATGCTCGACAGCCATTCCCAGTGGTTTTACCAATCTTCAAACGCTGGCCAGCTGAGACCCTTACCCTCGACCACATCGGAAGGGGTGTATCATCAAGTCTGGCTTCGATTGGAGCACCACATAATGAAATGATGGCTGGTCCCAAAAATCGCAGTTCTGGTCCGCTCAATGTAATCTCCAGTGCCTCTAGTCCAACAGGATTACCAACAAGTACATTTGCAATGCGGAACGCCGTTGGATCCATAGGGCCGGAATGACAAAAGCCCCTCCCCAAGGTTGGACGGCCGGGCCAATCTTCGATCAGCGTATAGGCACCACCAGAGACGACGTCAATGGCAGATAGTTGGTACTTGAAGTCATTCAGGAACCTTGTCAGTGTTTTGCCAGCAACGAACTTGTCATCCGCCAGGACTTCAGCCAAGAACTCCAGGTTTGTTGGAGGGCCACAGATCCGCGACTCTGTTAATATCGTTCTCATCCCCTCGATGGTTTGCTCTCTGCTTGGGGAGTGATACATGACTTTCGCAAGCAGTGGGTCTATATTGTTTGTGTTAGAACATCCTGCTGTTGGTTCATAGACAACATACCGTAGTTCGCCGACACTTTGACACCTCTATAAACCCACGTGTCGATTCTAGACCCTGGCAGCTCTTTCCACTCTACAGTCTGCAGTGTGCCAGGGCAAGGAGTAAAATCCTTGGCCGGATTTTCAGCGTAAACTCTTGCTTCAATGGCAGCACCGGACGGTGCGTGGACTGGAAGATTGGCAAGATACGCTGCGTCAACACCGTTCTTTCCTGAAAGCCGAGCGTCTGCTTGTTTCAACATCAATTCCACCAGATCCATCCCATAGCATAGCTCTGTTATCCCGTGCTCAACCTGCAGGCGCGTATTCATCTCAAGGAAGAAAAATGCCCCAGTCGCGTCATCCACGAGGTACTCAATCGTTCCAGCGGAGCCATATCTTATCGACTCCGCGAGACGGACAGCAGCGTCGCCCAGCCTTTCTCTTAGCCCGGGGTTTCTGGCAACGAACGGACTTGGGCATTCTTCTATAACCTTTTGATGTCTTCTCTGTATGGAACATTCACGTTCACCAATGTATATAGCTTTACCATCACCATTGCCAAACACCTGGACCTCGATATGGTGGCTCGATGGATAATAGCGTTCGATGAAAATTCCAGCGTTTTTGAACAGTGCCTCGCCTCTGGATCTGACAGTGAGAAACGAATCTCGAACTTCTTTCTCTGTATTGCAGGTGAGTAAGCCCATTCCACCTCCACCAGCTGTAGCTTTCAGCATAACCTAAGATCGAGGTCAATTTCAACAAGTCGTAAGTGATACTGAGTTGGCATACCGGAAATCCTAGTTCTTTCGCCATTGCAACAGCTTCGTCCTCGCTTTTCACCAGTCCCTGTGAGCCAGGCACGATGGGAACACCAGCTTTGGTCGCAAGGTCTCGGGCAGTATGTTTTAGCCCAAAAGCCTCAATGCTCTCCGGCGAGGGACCGACGAAAGCTATCCCAGAGCTAGCAACGGCTCTTGCAAAGTCCGCATTTTCAGACAAGAATCCGTATCCCGGTATGATGGCGTCCGCATTGTTTCGCTTAGCGATTTGGATTATTTGTTCTCTATGGTTCCAAAGGATGAATAGTTAGCTTTTGCTTGAATGGGGAATATCAAACACTCCTCACCCATCTATGTACGCCTTGGATGGTGTGCCAGTTAGGAGGACGGCTTCGTCTGCCAGGTGAACATGGGTGGAAGCAGCATCTGGTTCAGTATAAACCACTATTGTTCGAATATTTAGTTTCCTGTGAGATATTAGACTCTAAACCTGGATGGTAAGAGGACACTCCATACTTGGCTGTCTTCAATATTCTAACAGCGATTTCGCCACGATTGGCGACTAATAATGTCTTTAGGGATTCCATTTCAGGCAACTGATGAAAAATGAGGGGCTCTGGCGGGTCGGGATTCTCTTTTATCTTAAGGGACAGCTCAAGCTATCATCGGTGCCCGCTTGTTAACTGGGAGCCTAAGATAAGAGGTATGATGTAGATCGACGGTCGTTGGAGAATTGGAGATGTGTGGGGTCAACCCCTCGCAGATCGCTGATAAGCCAGACTCAGGTGCCCCTCTGCAGTTTGCAGAAGGAATACACGGGAGCAAGCCATAATCGTGCTCAACTCCTTAAATGCCGGTTATCGATTCGTAAGCCGAATACGTGCATCTTTCCAGGATATTGAGTAGGCGTTGTTGCCCGAGCGTCATGGCATGATTCTCCGGGGCAACGGAGCAGTTCAGTAGCTTCCCAATTTTGAGAACGTGCCAAGTTCGGCACTCGGTGCTATGAATATATGGTTTGAAATAATCTTGGTTATCAGATATAATTGAAGGGGGGTGGCCGCTGGTGGTTCGCTATCAACGGAGCAATCCATGAATTGGAGGGTGGCGCCATTACCCCGCCATTTACCCCAACCTACCAGGCAGTTCGTTGGTTCAATGACTTCAATTCCGTTGTACTATGGATCATGCTCAGCCAACCCTTTGCATGGCGAGAACCCCATCTATCCCGCGTCGTACTATGATATGAAGGTGATAAAATGAAGAGCCAAATTTAAATTAGTGTTATGTAACGAAAGCTAGGCTGAATCTTTAACAAGATCCGATATGGTGTAGTGGCTAACATCGCCGTCTCTCACACGGCAGCCGGGGGTTCGATTCCCCCTATCGGAGCTCAATTTCTCTTTTTGTTTTTGGTCGTGTTTAACCTTTCAACTTGTGCTTATGGGTGTTGCTTAATTCCTTGCTAAAAGTCTTAGTCGAACCTGGCTGGCAATGGCTCGAAAGGCCACGCGATCGTGCTCATGATATACTAGCCCTATCTTCGTTTTGTTTGTCTACTATAGCAGACTTCTATATAAGGAACCTACGAATCAACACACTGAATTCCTACCATATCCTTCAGGTCAAGTCTGCATACGTCGGCTAGCATGGCAGTGAACTATCGTTACTACTTTAGATGAATGATAAACTGTTCTCGTGTTGAGGGGCGGTAAAGCCTACGAGTTCCCTTTGAATCTAGTCACGAAGACCGATGGATTAGTAGCCAACTTTACATGAGAGAATATTCGAATGCCGCGAAAATCCCTATGATAACATCTAGCTGAAGAGCTAGAAACTAAGAAAACATGCTTTACCCTGCGGAAAGGGTCCAACTTGCATGGGCAGTAGACCCGGCCGGAGCTGGGTCCACCCCTCTCCGCTCTATCATTATTGTTTACTACTTCCTATGTACTAACTAACACCAATCCAGTTGGGATGCTTCTCTATCGAAATGCAAGAGGTTTGCGTTTGGATCGCGGCTCAGCCCATCTTTTATACACTGTTCCATCCCATGTCGTAATCGATTCTCTGACGAGTTATGTATTCATGGAGGAATAATGAATAATGAGTGATGCAGTTGAGCTTGAATCCAGGAGACTAAGGACCATACCATAACAGTAAATGGTCATCAATACAACCCTCATCTCCACCAGACTACTCTCCACCCCATGTGGCAGACTTTATCATTGTCGACCACTAAACCTTCAATATGGCTATAATGACTCTATCACTGTACTTCTTAGAAGATGCCTGTTTCATAAATGTGGTTGCTGATTACCTTAGCCAAAGCCTCTCCGTGTAGAATCTTCAGTGAGTGTAGATGTCCTATCAGAAAGATAAGTCACGTACGGTTTACAGTCTTGTCCACATGTATACCTCAGCACCTCCATGTAATTGATGGTTACATGATGGTGCTCCTAGCCTCTCTTTGCAGAGATTAAACGGCTCAATTGTTTCGTATGACCTCCCTGCATCTTCTGGCTGCGTAGTCGTGTATAATCTACAAGATTGATAGTTGAATTTATCCTTGCATCCGGTTCACCTCGAATATAGTCGTTCTACCCTAATCCTCGAGATAGGATTCCTTCCTGGATAGAAGGACAACACGGGGAAGGAACCATGGGCCAAGGTGGGGCCGCGGCCGATATCGAAAGCGTTGCGATGATTCATGCTTGCCGGAATCGGATAGGCGGCACGCCCAAAGCCCCGCCGCGCTGACATGGCGTAACCTGAAGAGGCAAAGCGTTGTCAATGGAAGGGCGCGCAGGTGCGTGCAGTGATCCATTTTTTTTCCCCATCGAATGGTCGTCTGTCTCGTCGGACCACACTGTTTTCTCCGGACATTCTCACGCCCAGCGTCCGCAAAATGGGTCAATCATCGGCCAAGCCGGCTGGACCGAACACGACGCCCATGCATCAGTCTCACACCCTCCCTTGGGAACCCTGTTAGTGCTGGCAGGCTCGCAGGCTAACAGTTACCCCCCAAGGGCAGGTCCACGAAGGATCCTGCGTCCAACTCCTATCGCTGGACGGGTGGAACATGCTAGCAGGGTTGTCCGTTCCGGCATGCTTTTGATACCCCAGACGAAAAACATAGTCTACCTCCGTTGTTGGCGCTTGCTCATTCCACTTCTGACTTGATCCTCCCATTTCTTTACCATCATCACTCTTCTGCTTCCCCGCGCCTCAACCTGGGATGAGATCACCTTCTCACGTCCTGTAACCATAAATCGAACGTACCTTAAAACATACATTGAAGCCCTACCACCAAGCCCTCCACCCAAGGATGGAGTACTTCGATTTCGATGAGGCCTCATATGACTCCCATGCGCGCGAAGATGATGTTGCTTCGGACAACATCGAGCTCGATGAGAACGAGGCGGTGGAGAACTTCAATGCCCTGTTTCAAGAACAGAGCCTAGAGTTTCCCAACGACCTGCCGGAGCAGGACTCTGGCACGCTGGATAATGGAGTCCAGCCGATGAGCCGTTCCAAAGACCCATGCGACTTTTGCAGGCATATGGGTCTGGATTGCTTCGTTGCGAAGAGTGGCGTTATGCGCCAAAGTGGTTGCACCTGTTGCATTTCGCTCTATCGAGAATGCAGCTTCACTCACGCTCCGGCGCGAGGCAAGTTCCTGGACACATTACACCCGATCAATGAGAATGCCTACATCCACACTGGTGGGTTGACCGGGAAGAAAGCACTCAAGTCTCTCTCCTACATCGCCGAAGATGTCGACAGTCGAGCGAGGAAAAGCAATTCCCGACTGTCGCGTGAAGCGGTCCGCATCCTCAAGACCTGGCTCCAGGAGCATAGCGAGCACCCGTATCCCACGGAGCATGAGAAGGACGAGTTACAGCAACGCACGGGACTGAAGAGAATCCAGATCTCCAACTGGCTTGCCAATGCTCGACGACGCGGCAAAGTCCGTCCCGCTCCGCCCAGCAATCCTTCCGCGACGGGCGCAATTGACATTCCTGGCCAACAAGGCGTGGACGTTGCATACATGACACCCCTGGAGCGTTGGAAACACTCGCCCCCGGAAAACGAACCTGCTGCCACCTCTGATATTCTGCGAGCCCTGGTTAGTACCGACCTGAATCATGAGCGACAGCGCTCCTCCAGGCCGGGTCACGTGCGCTCCCTTTCTCGGAAGACTGGGTCTAGCAATGACTCAAGCCATGCCAACTCCAATCTGTTACATGCTCCCTCGGTTAGCAGTCAGGAGACAAGTCGCTCGGCCAGTCGCTCTTCCTTATCTGACCTCTCCTTTGCCTCTGCTTTCTCCCACCGATCCTCTCTCGGGTCCTTTGGTTCGATGGAGCGGAAGGAACGCCGTCGTCGTCGCAAGCCCTCACTGCCGGTGAACACCTTCAATCAGCAGAAGGCACGAAGTGCCCGTATATACCAGTGTACCTTCTGCACCGACTGCTTTCAAACCAAGTATGACTGGCAGCGTCATGAGAAGTCGCTACACTTAGCTCTCGAAAAGTGGACTTGCTCGCCGTTGGGTGGTGTGGTCTCCATTGATGGCACCAATCGCTGTGTGTTCTGTATGGCTGTCAACCCAAACAATGATCACCTGGAATCACACAACTACAGTACCTGTCAAGAGAAAACGCCTGCGGAGCGATCCTTTTACCGGAAGGATCATCTCAACCAGCATTTGAGGCTGATGCACAACGTGAAGTTTGACCCCTCAATGGACGCCTGGAGGAGCACCATGGTCGAACTCAAGTCTCGATGTGGCTTCTGTGGGTTGGGACTTACAACCTGGAAAGATCGTGTCGACCATTTAGCCTCCCACTTCAAGAATGGCAGCACCATGGCTCAATGGCAGGGGGATTGGGGCTTTGAGCCGTTTGTCCAGAGCCTGGTAGAGAACGCAATGCCACCGTACCTCATTGGAGGCGAACAGAAGACCCTCAATCCTTTCAAACCGCCCACTTCTGAGGAAATGTCTGGTTTGGCCAGACCGGAGGATGCTAACTGTTATGGTCGCCTGCAGCGTGAACTCACTGCATACATCCACAACCAAATGGCTGTTGGTGTCATCCCCACGGATCGTATGATACAAGACCAAGGCCGGCAGATCATCTACGGAAGCGACGACCTGTGGAATCAGACGTGTGCCGACAATCCAGTTTGGCTTAGCCTTCTGAAGCGGGATGCTGGAGTCGAGATCATTCCAGGCTCTGAGCATATCCAGTTCGCCGACTTGGGTATGCGACCACCGTTCGCTGCTTCTGATGGTTTAAGGCAACCGCCCGCTGAAACCAACCTATCGGCCAGGTCTCTTTACCCCCAACAACGGACATTCAGCCCCTTGACTCCCAGTTCTGGCCTCCAGAGCCCCGCCTTTATGAACGGCCGGTCTTCAGCGGCTGCCAGCGCCCCTGGCAGCTCTACTGGCAGCTATGCGGAAAGTTCGAGCTTCCTTCCATCCAGACCCTATTCCCGACTGTCTGCCGACTGGGGAGGCAGCCTATCTGCTGGTGCGGTATCTCTTTCAACGCCTCTGAGTGGTTCGGTTGACCAGTTTGTGCAAATGGGGTTTGACCCCGACTTTTTGAAACAGCTGAATGAGCGGTATGACGAGTTGCCGTTGGACGATTTGCAGGGCTTAAGCTTTGAAGACAGCATTAGACGCGAGGCTGGAGAACAACACCCAGCTGGAAAGCCTTTGCCTGTAACCAACCCTACTTCTGTCCCGATTGCTATCCCTAGTACACGGAGCCCGGATGTGTTCATGCCCGATACTCCCGACCAGGGCTATCCGGGTATGCATGGGGTATGAAATGCGGCATAATGGCAATCGATGAGGGGTGTCATGGGGTTGATATGGCAAGTGTAGATAGTCATGACTGGTGGGCCCTGGGATTAAAAGCTTTCCTTTCCCCTATGATTGTGTTTGTTGAAGAGCCCTTTGTTCCGAGCGTGTTCTCGCCCTTTTTAACTGGAGTCTTTCATTTTGTGGAGGGAATTGGATATGTACTGGAGACTGCGACAGTTAATATACCCTATTCTTGTGGACTTTGCCGAGGTGCTCCTTGCATGTAGCAGTAGTAGTAATAGTAGGGCGCACAACGTAGCATTTAGTGTTGTCACAGGGCGTAGAACCAGGAGCCCGATCCGATTGGCCACCCCTTCTTAATCATCCCCAGCCAATCCCGGCCCCGGGTCTAGAATGTGCGCCTTATCGGAGGGGGGCATCGGCTGACATGTGAAAGCCGCCGCCGGGAGTCGTTCGGAACTTTTCCCACGCCCTGCACAAGCACCTGCTTGTCATGTCTTACCTAGCCATGTGCACCGACCGATGGCCAGACGGCAAGTGACTTTTTCCATAGCCAAAGGTTATCGTTCTTTGCGTCAGAAATACGCTATCACCACCATTTCATGGTTTGCCCCTCGTCCACCCTTGCAACATGGACGACATGGACGGAATGGACGGCATGGACGGCATAGACGATCTCGCAGCATTGAGTGACACGATGGTATACCAGCAAGTGCTCACAGTATTCTCCCCTGTGATTCCGGCATCCATTCGACGACGGCTTCCTAGTCTGTATTGTTCAATGCATCGACTTGTAAGATCCGACGTCAAGTCCAGCGCCAAAGCGCCTTCGGCTGGCGACTCCCGAAATGGCTCGATGCGCTCGATGCGACTTTCTTCTGATAATTCGGGATTGAAGTATGTGAGGCCGCTGCCGGATATTCCTCCAGAGTCTCCCTTCCAGCGTCCTAGTACCGCAAGCAGTGCCAGTAATGGCCGAGACTTGTACGCCTCGTCTGTCTTTGAAGGACAGGGCTATACCGAGGCATCTAGTCTCGCAGGTAGTAGACCTGATGATGTGTTTACTCCAGTGAATTCCAAGTATGAGGTGGATTCCGGATTGCGATGGAATCGAATAGTCCCTGGTTTGTTATGCTCACCCGTCTTACTTCTGCTCCATGAAAGGCAGACGAGAGCTGTTGTTCGAGGACCAGCTTGGCTAACATGAAGTCCAGCCATTGGCCTCCTTCAAAATGCCACCCGTGAAGCTCAACAGCATCAATGCGACAACCGGTTAGCCCGCTTGTTGTACATTAATGCTCTGGGCTATCTGCTTGACGGCCTCCCAGCGGACATGACGGATGACGAGGTCAGGACAATCCAGCACAATCTCCCTGCAGATGTGAGAGAAGCTTTGCCTGCGCCTGTCAAGACGGGAACACCTGCAGGGGATAGGCATCCACCATATCCACCGGAGAGGTCGTATCTTCACCGTCTGTTGGCTTCCAGTATCATCAAGTTCTTCCTCCTTGTGCAATTCTTCATGCCGCATGTCAAAGTCCTTATGCGCATTATGTATGAATACGAACGATCACATCAGATCACGGAACGTGCTATAACAACGGCTCATAGTCTGGGTAGAGGGGGTGTGAATCTTGGGTCCGCGATTTTGAATTTCAATGAAGGAAAAGTGGGCGCAACCTTGTCGAATCTGGCAGCCTGGTGGGTGGAAGGCATTGCAGGTGGGATTCATGAGGGAATGGGAGAGGGCATGATAATGATGGGTCTCATCCGACCAAATGCTGAGATGGAAGGGGCATCTATGCAGGCGTCGCAGAGATGACTGTGCACTATAAGACGACCACATTGAAGGGATGAATATGACCAACCATAGGGATAGACTGTTAATGCGACATGATATTATGAAAGATATCTAAAGTACTGACTCATGTTATCCTGGAGGGGATTCGAAAAGTCGAGAACCGGCCGGAGATAGCGGACATAAGCGGCGCCGACTCTTCTCGATCCTCTCTTCACTCGCGGCGCCCCTGACCACTTCCGACCACCATTTTCACCACCATGTCGACCTCTCGTTTACCCAACATCCCCGCTCTCCGCAAACAGCAGCTTCTCCTGGAATTGTGAGCCTGTCAATCCCACCCGACTGATCACCGGTGTTGACTCCCTCGCAGCGCAAGTTTACAACATGCCGCTCCTCCGGGAACTTACATGAGCCTTAGCCCAGGCGACCCAACCCTCTGGCTGGGTGTGATTTTCGTTCGCTGTGGTGAGTTACATCGTCTTTTGCACGTATCCCAGAGCTAAAAGCTGATTGCGATACTGTCCCAGGACCCTATGCCTCCGCCGTCCTCCGCTTCCAAATCCGTTTCCCCACCTCCTATCCCGACATGCCTCCCCTAGTGAACTTCGCCACCGACGTCTTCCACCCCTTGATCGTGCCCCTCACCACATATACATTCAGCACCGGCGCTTCTAGCGAGGATCCAGTCAGCGCGACAGACGACGAGCGGCTACCCCCTGGCGGGTTCAGTCTACGGCATGGATTCCCACACTGGTTCGGTCGGGCAAAGCGGGCAGGGTTGAGCTCAGTTTCTTCACACCGTGATACCAGTGCCCGCAATTCGACCGTTAGTGAAGGTGTATCCGGGAGTCTTTGCAAGGAGAACGTGTCTGAGGACAACTCTGCTGAGTCGCCCGAGCCCCAGTTCAAATCAGAAGACGAGAGTGAAGTAGGAGAGGCGGTCATCCCGTCCCCGATTGGGAGACCGGTCGAACCCAGGAAAACTGTCCCGGTATCGGTGCTGTTGGATTACATTCGGTCTACGTTCGATGATGAGGCCGTTCTGGACTCGTTACCGTTGGAAGCGGCGGGGAATCCGAGCGCGTGGCATGCGTGGAAGGCTCATCGGAAGGGGAGTAGAAGCTCTGCGGCGTTGAGTGGCTCGAAGAAGGGGAGCCCGCAGGCGAGGTCCCCCGGGGACTGGCATTGGGATGGAATCTGGGCTAGACGGGTGCAAAATGAAATCGAGGCTAGTAGTTCGGATGCGATGTTGTTTGGGAATGCAAACCGGGGCGGAGTTGAGGAGATGGTATGAAGCCAAACGCTACTCTGCGATATGGTTACTGACAGTCTACAGATTCGCTTCAGTCGACTCGACCCAACCACCCTAGCATCCGTCAAGGAGATGATGATCCCGCGCACCGAGGAAGTGCACGAATAACTCAACCTATATACCCATAATAGAAACAATTCTGGCTCAGCCCTGACCTCATCCCAATCGAACGCATTCTAGACCGTCATGGTGACTCGCTGGTCCATCGCACCTGCCAACAATGCACGTCGCATTGACAAACCTACCGACTCGGCCACTCAACACCCTCTCCTTCGGTCTAGAGACACCATCTAGATTTACTTACCTCACCATATTTACTCCCAAACAAACAAACATACCCAATCCATCCATCTCACATTACCCCCACATAATACCCAACATGTCTAATTGGTATTCACAATACAAATCCTCCATCACAGTCATCCTCCTAGTTCTCGTCCCCATCGTCGTCATCTGCAGCATCCTCGCCGTCGCCCTAGCATGCTCTGAATTCTGGAGCGCACGGAAATCAGTCACCTGGGTGTTCTGGGTCAAGCCACAGGATCGGTCGAAAGGGAAACGTACCTCGCAACCGGATCTAGAGCAGGGGAGGAATGCTCCGCCTGCTTATCAGGAGCCGTTGAGGGGGAGGGATGAGATTTGAGTGGGGCTGGCAGTTTACGGTTCGCATAGAAGGAGAGGAGTGTTGAACTGCAGTTGGTCATATGATATTGGTTGTATGTCAATGGGCAGTCGGAATGGTGGAGACCGAACTGATCGGACAAGGAACTTTCCGTCAAGGTTCGAAGATTTGCGGATGCGAGATTATCATCGAGTCTCGAGGTGCTTGTGCGGTTGGGGTGTTTGCCTTCTGTCATCAAGTTGGTACAGACACACAAGCACGATGCCTGAATGCCGCTACTCGGATATCTTCAAACCGGTATGGTTTCGACTCACTGTTGCGCGAAATGCCTGATTACCTACCATCTGAATTGGCCTAAGACCAACGAGAACTCCCTATGCCTTTTAAGTGCACACACAGAAGGAGATGCTTATCTACATGCTTAAAGGGATGCTGGTGGATATGTGATTGAGTCATCGGTTACACTGCATGGTTGCTTATGGGAGTATGTACTATCCCTTATTGATTTGCACTTTCGGGAGTCTAGGAGTTAAGTGTGTATGGGACTTGCCTGTTAGCAATTGCTTTGCGCTGGTTTGGATTAGACTGTGCATGTCAACACTGGCTTACTGCTTCGGTCGTTCAACAATTCTACGTAGATCATTGTCCAGGATGCTTTCACATTTATTTGTTCCAATTAGACATGGATATCGTAACCAGTATTCTAAGACGCGGTAATATCAAAACAGTCATAAAGCAGGGGTATCACTGTTCATCAATCATATATACAATTATCTCGTTTATATCCCAGCCTCATTATTGCCCCCCTTCACTTCGTCCTCCACAAAGTTCCTCAACCTCGGAGCCTCCTCCCCACTCCCCTCACTCGATCTCCCCTCCCACACCGGCTCCCCATCATCATCAAACTCAGCCCACTGAAAATACCCACACCCAGTCTTCCCGGGAGCAAACCCCGCATAGCACATCCACATATACCGTCCCTTGGTCTCCTGCTTCCTCTGCACACATCGCAAGATCGTATGTTCCCCACACTGACATCGCGGGGTATACCTCGGATGCAACGAGTCCCGATACCATCGATACGTGATATTAATCCGTTTATTCCCGGACACCGGATGCAGCGTAATACTCTTCGCTGGCGCGATGGCATGTTTCCATTCCTCTTGCATCTCAGCATGCATGATGAGGAGGGAGTTATGAGGAAGGTGGATGGATATTTGCCCGTGCGTTTGTGTTTCCTCGTCATCGTCCGGGACGATTTTCCGGAGCCGGAATTCCCTCTCCACGCCGAGACTCAAGCTGCCGATGATAGGACGGGGACCGAGATAAGTGAGTTCATCGGAATGATACCCTACGCTTTCTGCCGGGCCGGCGTAGCAGTTGACGAAAGCGGCGTTAGGGGTCCATGGCTGGGGGGACTGGAAGGGGAGTTTTGGACGGAGGCGGATGTGTTCGTTCACGGCGATTTGGACGCGAGCGGAGACGGCGCGCATGTGTGGGGTGAGTTGGCGAACGTTGGAGCGGTAGGTGCCGCCGTAGGTGTATTCGGAGGTATGTTGGTGGTGTTCTTCAGGTGTGGAGACGTAGATGCTGGAGGAATGGGGGCTGGAGACGGTGCGGGAGAAGAGCTGGAATTGGGGACGGAAGAAATGCGGGGATTCGGCGAGGAGTTCGATAAGGAGGGCGTTTGCCTGGGCAGATGGAAGGAAGTTGTGGATGAGGGTGCAGGGAGTGTAAGTGGCTATGTCAGTGGGGGAGTAGAGGTGGAGTGAGGTCCCTTTAGGTGGCAGGGTTCGGTTGGTGGAGGTGGGGAATTGGATATGAGAGGCAAGGGAAGTTTGAATTGCTGGCGTCCCTGGGACAGGCACACGTTTCTTGGCGGGGGGTGCCTGGGCCTTGATGATGGCCGAGGCTGTTTCCACACAGCCACTGCTGGAAACCAGGATTTCCATCAATGCGTCCAGGGCCATGTCGGGGAAGAGTGACATCAGAAGAGTTAACTTCAGGTCGGTGGAGTCCTCATCCTGAGGAATTGGAGTTTGGGGGCTCCGAGGCCTCTTCTTGGAGACGAAGCGATCCATGGAGAGGACCGGGCGGTCAGACTGAGAGCCATGAGTGAAAGATGAAAGCCGGGATGGAAGGACGAGGAGAAGGTGAAGGTTTGGAAGAACCAGAAACAAGAAACAGCCTATCCTAATCGCCACGTGATTGCTATCGAAGTGGCCAATCAGCGCCCTACGTCATCGGGTCCTAAGGCACGGGCTAAGGACGACTAGGTGCATAGAGATCGTTGCGTATATATCTAGGACTAACGATCTCTTCGCACTAGAGTGGTATAAAACGATGGCAAGGCCCACTAGAGTTAGATGCTTGCAGAACCTCTTAAAATCTCACGGCAGAGATCCCGACAATCGCCTGGATTATAATCCCCCCAAATCGCGGGCGGCTTCTGCGAAAATGCACCTTAAAGAGCAACGCGTGGAGGTGATCGTAGTGGGAGCAGGTATAGTAGCTCATTCTGACTGTTCTCCTTGGATAGCCTGTCTGACAGCGACGTTGAATAGGGCTGGGTGGCCTGGCGACGGCCAAAACCTATCTCGAACTGGCGCCGCAAACGGATCTGCTGATCCTCGAAGGGGTATAGCTGCCTCTACCAACTGTCTCTTCTGCTGTGATGAGCGCAACTGATCGTGGTGTTAGCGTTCGGCTGTAGGTGGTGTATGGGCGCAGAACAGTTATGAAGACCTCCGGACGAACAATCTCTATGGAACGTATGAGTTCTCAGATTTCCCACTGGACCCGCGCAAGTATGATGTCCGACCAGAAGCCCACATCCCTGGGCATGTTCTCAAGCAGTACTTCAGCGATTTTGCAGATCATTTCGATCTTCGGCGTCGGGTTCGCTTCAACACTCATGTTCACACAATAGCGAAAGTCGATGGATACTGGAAGGTTCAGGCGCAAACGATCGACGAACGTGATGAGACACTGTACACGTGCAACAAACTTATTATGTGTACCGGCCTTTCCTCGACTCCGAATTCTATATCCATCCCTGGACAAAAAGACTTTGGAAAACCTATTTTGAACCATACCCGGCTCGGGATAGAGGGTGCGTCATTGGCATGTGACCCGGCGGTGAAGTCTGTGACTGTGATTGGCGCATCGAAGTATGGATACGATGCCGTGTATATGATGGCCTCACACGGTAAGCGCGTGGAATGGATCAATCGCAAGTCGGGCGGGGGTGCTGTGCTGATGGCATTGCCTTGGGTTTGGTTTGGACGTTGGCGGGTCAAGCTTGAGGGCCTAACCACCACACGGTTTGTCACTTGGTTCAGTCCTTGTATCTGGGGGAGCTGCGATGGCTTTGGATGGTTGAGAAGGCTACTCCATGGAACAGCCCTGGGAAGATGGCTAGTGCGTTCATTCTGGGACAAGATGACCGCGGATGTCGCTGAGGTGAATGGCTACCGGAAGGTGGACGCATTGAAGCATCTAGAGCCAGATGAAGGGTAAGCATGCTCCTGATTAGCCACATCATGTTACTCACGCAATCATAGTCTATTCTGGACGGGCCGCGTTGGGATTCTCAGCTATCCCCAGCATATCTATGATTTCGTCCGGTCAGGGCAAGTGACAGTAAGTAGGAAGGACATATCACACCTATCAGAGCAGGGAACCGTCCACTTCACCGATAGAACATCTCTCAAGACCGACGCCCTCATTGCCATCACCGGCTGGGATCTAGCCCCAACAGTCACGTATGAGCCAAGGGGCCTAGATATAAGCCTTGGGGTTCCGACCCGCGACATGTCTGACGAACAAAGCTTCTGGGATCGGTTCGACCGTGCTGCCGATGAAGAGATATTGACGCAGTTTCCAGCTCTGCGTCACCAGCCGAAAGCGAAGGTCCCATTCAAACCAGGCGTGAGCCCGTTCCGGTTCTACCGTGGCATTGCACCACCGCAGTTGACCGCTGAAGGAGACCACTCCATCGCATTCATGAAGATGATCAATGGCCCGAGCAACGCCCTTCTTGTCGAGGCCCAAGCTCTTTGGACATATGCTTATCTCAACGACAAGATCCCAGTTGACCGACCGAACGTGTATTATCAGACAGCCCTGACGAGTCGATTTGGCAAGCACCGATATCCCTGCGGCTTTGGATCCTGGTATCCAGAGACGGTCTTCGATGCGATGCCATATGTGGATATGCTTTTGATGGACCTTGGAATCAACCGATGGCGAAAGGCCAGCTGGATCCGGGAGGCATTTGAGGAGTATTCCATCCACGATTACCGCGGGATCAATCGGGAGTGGAGGGAAGTGCAGCAGCAGAAGAGAAATGCCGCACCTCTGCCTTAGGCTGCCTTCTTCCTTAGGCCGTTTCCTTCCTCAGGCCGCCTAATTCCTTATACCTCATTCCTCAGGCCCACATCCTTCCCGATCGGGTAACGACAGTAACCTATACTCCCCTTTCGAGATCACCCCCTTGCCACCCAGGCACGACGGCGTAGCGGAAAACAGAGCTACAAGCGCGTAGTAGCTATGTTAAGTCCCAACGCCGCCTGGGTTCGACTCCGAGTCGCGAGGATTATAAGCTATGTGCGAATGCTTGGTGCAAATTTGCTATGCGAGGTATCTTAGCATAAAATCTGGTTCGATAATAAACGGCTGTAAAATCCTGCGGGATTTTCGTAGCCCGCGAAGGCGGGTGGGCTTTTTTTACTCTGGTGATATTATTCAAGTGGTAGGGTTCTTGTGTCACCCGAGTGTGGTCTGGATGAAGCTTTTGGGCGCTGCTATCCCGGTCGTTTTCCCACATCCCTGTAGTCACAACCACCCAACTACCCCAACACCGTGTTTCTAGTTTTTCTTGCAGTAATAGAGATCTATCATCATATCTACTATTCGCTTCATTTTTGAATCGTCGGTTTATTGACTGTCGCGCATTGCTAAATTCGGGATATCGAGCACTATCCCTCGCTGCCTTAGGCTTGCTTCCACTGATGCTTCACCAACCCACCCAGCACCAGTCCAGAGCAGAAACTATCTGAACATTCAACATGACCACAATTTCCAGAGGAGGCTTATTTAATATACACAAGTTAGTCTACACGAACTTAAGCAATTAAGAAGGCCTACTGTACGTACAATATGAAAACGCCATGCTCCTGAAAGCACTGCAGGTTGTTGAACACCCTCTTCTTAGCAGTCATCTCTCCAATCAATTTACTAACTTTAATGCCTACCCCAACAGAGAACGTCTTATAAGGCATCAAGCCTCCATCCAAACCAAACCAGCACCTCTGCCCACTCCTTAAACTCCATCCGAGCACACTCTGTACAGGTCACATCCTACACATCACATGCAACTGACCTCGATCTCACATTCTACACATGATTTATCGTTCCCTCCTCCTACCTCCACACCAACCCTCGATAAGCCCCTTCAACCCTTGAACCCACCCATATTCCGTAATTCATTCCAGAACTCCACCTTAACCCAGCTGGGAAACTCCTTCGCGGAAAGCAAACCGAACCCATCGTCCGATCCGGAAAGGTCTCTTCTGTGAGGAAGCCCCATTCTCAAAAACAAAGTAGGGTAAAGGCCAAGCTGGGAGCCAGTATGGTCTGGTAAGGACTGGGAGACGTCGTCTTCGTAGCGCGATACTTCTGGTGGCAGCGGATAGCATGGTGGGGAAAACTGTATACTAAGTAGTACGGAGTATAGCATCGACGGACTGATTGATAACAGAGATCGGCAATGGCGTCAGGGTGACATGCACGACATCGCCCAGCGTGGATTATTCCTATCTATTTCTGACCCTAGTACAGAGTAGAGAGAGATAGAAAGCTAACTTAGTAAACTGCTTCGCACTGCATAGATAGATAATGGTTGACGTGACGCCAGAGCGCGCCGATCAGCGCCGCAGCGTGACGGCCAATCACCGAACCTCGGCACGTTGACTCCCCGCAGTCGCAGTCGCGCTCTTCCTCCACCACCACCACACACTACAACTTACACTTCCTCACAGCGCCATGATAGACCATCCCTCTTAAATCAACCCCCATACTCATTGTCGCCTCGGTATCACCCTCACCACACAAAAAAAATGCTCCACTTCCGCACCGAAGGCTTCAACGGGTGCGCCGTCAAATACTCACCCTTCTTCGACAACCGCCTAGCAGTAGCCTCATCGGCCAATTTCGGCCTTGTCGGAAATGGCCGTCTATATATCCTCGAGTTGACTCCTAACGGCATTGTACCTTACAAATGGTACCCTTATCCCCTCCTCCACATCTCCCCCTCATCAAACCCCTCAAACCGAAACTAACAACCCAGGTTCACAACCCAAGACTCCCTCTACGACCTCAGCTGGTCCGAAATCCACGAAAACCAACTCCTCACAGCCTCCGGCGACGGCAGCATCAAGCTCTTCGACGCCACTGTCCCAGACTACCCGATCCAAAACTGGAAAGAACACAATCGCGAAGTCTTCAGCGTCCACTGGAACCTCGTCGCCAAAGACCATTTCTGCTCTAGTAGCTGGGACGGGACTGTGCGCGTGTGGTCTCCGCATCGACCGCATTCTCTCCTCACGTTGCCGACGCATAGCTGTACCTACGCGGCGGAGTTTTCGCCGCATTCGCCGGATATCCTCTCGTGTGTGTCGTCGGATTCGTATCTGAGGTTGTTTGATTTGAGGACGCCGGCGTCGGCGTCGAATCATTTGTCGTTGCAGATTCCGATTCATGCGGGGCCGGGCGGAGGGGCAGGGGGGATGATGTCGGGTGGGGGCCTAGGAGCAGGAGGGGTAGCGCCGAGTGAGGCGTTGACGATGGACTGGAACAAGTATCGGCCTTCGACGGTGGCGACGGCGGGGGTGGATCGGACGATTCGGACGTTTGATATCAGGGCGCCTGGGCAGGGCCCGCAGACGGTGATGATGGGACATGAGTATGCGGTAAGGAAGGTGACGTGGTCGCCGCATTTGTCGAATGTGTTGCTGTCGGCGAGTTATGATATGACGTGTCGGGCTTGGAGTGATCAGTCGGCGTCGGGGGCGGTTGGGGATGTTGATGTGATGCGGGCGGGACCGGGGCCGAATATGGGGGCGGAGTTGGGACGGATGGGACAGCATACGGAGTTTGTGACGGGGGTGGATTGGTGTATGTTTGGGAGTGAGGGATGGTGTGCGAGTGTTGGGTGGGATGAGAGTTTGTATGTGTGGGATGTGAGGGCTGTGATGGGTTGACTGTCTTGTCTGGTGGTGTGTGGGTGGTTGCTTTCTTCCTTGTACTGGATACTAGATTGCATGATACCATTGCCTCGTTATCATCCACTGCGCTCGCGGTGCTCTATATTATCTTTTTAATACCACCACCTCGACCTCCTCAGTGGGCTCTATACAATGTACAGAGCCGGGTATATCCCATCCACCACCACAGTCCCAACCATCCTACCATACACACACACATATATATATATATAACCTCCCAAACCCCAAAGACCTAGTAACAAACTCACCGCGTAAGTCTAGCCTCGACTTTCCTCTTCTCCGCATCCCTCACACTCGCCACCTCCTCCCGACTAGCATCAAAAGCCACATGCACCTGATTAAACGGATTCTCCTCACTCTTCTCAAACTCCTTCTTACACAACTCCACACGCTGATTCCTCCTAAGTCCGGGATTCTCTGCCTCAATCTCGGGTAACCTCCTCGCCTCAAACGCCGCATACGCAGCCTTGAATCTCCTCTCAGGGTGTCGATCCACCTTCCCACTATCCTTGCCCGTCAAAGACAGCGCGTCCAACGCGTTATCAATACCGGAGGCATTAAGCGCCGACCCCTTCTTACTGGCTCCACTATCTCCATCAAGTTGGGAAAGATCGAGCGTGCCTCGGCTCGGAGCAGCGGATTTCTTGGCCGCCGATTTGTTGTTCTTCGGTTTGCTGGGCTGGGAGGCTTCTTCGGCGGCGAGGAGAGCATCGCGTTCAGCTTTCTTGCGCGCGGCTTCGGCTTTTTTGGATTCGGCATCCTCGCTGTTTTGGATTCCAGGGGTGATTAGTTTGGGGGGGGGGGGTCTTGAAAGGAGTGGAGGGATGGGGGGAGAGAGGGCTACCGCTTAGCGTTGCTCTTCGAGCCCTTGGCCCATTGCTTGTCTTCTTCGGCGGCGCGTTTGGAGTCCTCGGCGGCTTTCTTGGTGGCGGCGGCTTCGGCTTTCTGTTTCGGGTTGTAGAGGTTTCTGGTTAGTTTGAGTGTGTGTGTGTGCTTTGGGGATGATGTTGAGGGTGTTGTGGTGATGGTGGTGAGCGGGGGCGGGGTAGGATTTATTTTGTGAAGAGGGATGAGGGGAAAGTGAAGGGGGGAAGAGGGAGGGGAACATACACGGGCATTTCCCGCAGCCTTCTTGGAGTTTTCGCCAGCGGCTTTCTTGCCTCCCATGTTGATTGTTGTTCTGTTGGTGGAGAGGGAAAAGGATGAGGGTGGTCGAAGGAAGCTTGAAGAAAAAGAAGTATGAAGTGGGATGGAAGAAAGATGTCATCCTATGGCGGGAAGTGCTGGGCCGGCGGTGGAGCCATGACTAATAGGACGCCCGCATGTGATGGTCCAAGCCCTGGTAATGTATGTGGTAAAAGATTCATAGTGAGAGGAGTGAGGAGTGAATGGAGAATTAGATTTTTTTTGGGTTGTTTTCACTGGGAAATTAGGCAGTAACAAATACAGATCTCCTCGCAGTTGACTTCTGTCCGTGCGTGTTACATCACTTCCTTTCCATTTCTCCCTCTTGTCGTCACATCCATCTCCGCTTTAGTGGGATAGGGATAGGGATAAGGATGGGGATAGGCAAGGCCCCGGCCATACTCTGCTCAGCTGGTCGGGGCTACAGCTTGATCTCCCATGTGCCCTTCTCCCACATCCTCACCCCGCGAATGTCCTCGATCCTCAGCAAAGCCCGCGTGTTTATTTCGAGCCCAAACAGATATCCCGGCTCCCCCTCATTATCTTCGATTGTACAGATACCGTCCAAGGGGATGTACTCCGGCAGCGTCGGGCGGGCGGGTTGGGTCTCGTCAACGTGTTCGCGGGTAACTGCCCTGGCTAGATGCCTGATGCGGCTTCGGATCTGGATGGCGGCGTTGGCGATCGGTCCGTGCATGTTGTAGCATAGCGCCAGGTATTCGATGCGAAGGTGCGGATAGTGTAGGATGCTATCGATCATGGTGTATTGGACTTCTCGCAGCGTGGTGGTGCACATGTCAGCGCGGTACCAGAAGACCTGCAGTGCCTTGAGGGATAACAGTCCGCCGATTTGTTCAACGAGATAGTGCTATGCAGGTGAGTACTAGCCTGTAGAAGGAAGGAGGGAAGGAAGGATGGATGGCTGAATGAGTGAAACTTACAATACTCCAGTTATTGACTCCGATACCCAGCTCAATCAGGTTGCGGCCCAACTGGGAGATGAGTCGGATGGTTCGCGCATCGGCCACCCAGCCGGAATCCTCGTCGTTGCGGATAACAAACCGCTCTAAGTGGCGCAAGTGCCTGGTCAGAATGCCCCTTCGAAGGGTGACAAAGTCCACTGTAGTCTTCGCGGCCAACGACTCCACCTTTGCCTGGCTGCTGCGCTCGAACAGAAACAGCTCTGTCACCTTATCGAGGCTGACGATAAAGGTGCAAAAGGCAGGAGTGACGTTGTCCGTGTGGATGGAGGTCAGCTGGAGAGGACGCATCTGGTTGAATCGCTTCAGGAGAATCCAGAGCGGGCCTTGCGGGCCAACGTTGAGCAACGACAGGTGCTTGAGCGAAAACATGTCCACGGCCCGGCTGATCACTGTCGCAGTCACCGGGATGAGATGAATCGACAGGCTTTCCAATGAGATGCCATGGGTCTGGCGGACATACTGCTCGAGGGCCTTGTCTGCGATGGGCTTCTCGGGTACGACTGGAGGGTTTCTGATGGGCTGCTTTCCCTTGCTTGAGTCGGACAGTGTGCGGAGTCTGTTAGGTGTCGGATTGCGCGCGAAAGCTCTGACACTGGCCTCGGTGATCGAACGTTCAGTTTGATCGATGAACTCTTGATCTTTGCCGTCCTCTTCCACCACATCGGGGTGCTCGACATTGACTACGTCCGACGGACAGGCCTCCTTCTTTGCCTTTCCCCCCACCGATGAAACCAATTTGCTACTACTCGGCCGGGGAGGTGCGGAAGTGGAGGCAGCAGTACCGGCTTTGTCAGTCGCAGTCGCCTGGGAAGCGTTTTTGCTCGACTGACGGCCCAGGTATTGAGTCGTGGCTCTGTCAATCTTATGGAGCACGCCGATGATGCCTGTATGCTCCGAGTTGTTGACCATCATTTTCGGCAGCACACGTGAAAGAGAGCGCAACGCGCGGACGAACTTGCGATCCTGCACTTCTTCAGAGATGGGATTGTTTCCTGCGAGCGAATGATGCTCGCTATCCAGTGCACTCTCCAGAATCTTAGTGCGCTGAGTGGGATTATCCACTTTGAAGATGTACGCCAGAACCGACTCCTGGACGGAGCGTTCCCGACGAATCACCGGGTCAAGAGGAGGGTTCGGATTTGCTCCCACGGGGACTATGACCTGTCCGACTATCTGAGCATTGAGCAAGAATGAGGTGTCCGTCGTCAGACTATCCCCTGGGGTGTTGGCCAGGGTTCTCTTGCGCGCTGACTTGGCCAGATCGTCCGAGAACGACAGCTTCAGCGACTTTAAGGTGGACGAACACTTCGAGATGCATTGTGGGATCTGCAACACGATCTTCAGATCCTCAATATCCAGCACCGAAAGGCTCTTGAGATCCGCCATGAGAGAAATGGTTGGCGGAAGTTGGAGATGTGCAAGGTCTTTCAGCAACTGGGCCTCGGCGCCTGGGGCGCTCCGAGACCCTCGGGAGGGAGGATTGATCTCCGAGAAGTGGAAGTGTGGCGTCTGCAGCATCTGTCCGAGTACAAGGTCGGTGGTACCTGCCAGTGTACGCGGTGGCAGACGGATGTGCAGGTCGCGAAGGTCAGGGACTCGACTGAGAGCTCGGAAGACGGATGCAGTGAGTTCTTGACGGATATCCCAGCTGTGGAAAAGTAAGCCAGAATGTTGTTTCTGAGAAGAAGGTACACTTACTTGAAACTGGTCAAATTAGTCGCCTTGGACACGGTAATGGTAAGAAGACTATTGAGCTGTCTGCCGGCTTCATAGCTCAGCTCGGGCTTTCGTATGATGATCCCCTGTCGATTATCGGCCTCGTAGGGCGCGATATGGGTCACTGTAATGTCTTTCACCCATTGGGCGTAGTCATAGTTGCTGATGTTCACTGTCTCTACCATGGTCGTGAACTGATCCAGGGAGCTTTCTGTGTGGATGGGGTCATCTGCATGGATAGCATAGCAGATATCACGGTACAACACGGCTGCTGCAATGTCACGAAAGTCATGGCAGACACGTGCAAGGTTCAAGAGACTTTTGTCACCAGACTAAGGTAGATAGAAATGCATATCAGCACGCGTTTTCGTCCATATTCATCTATATTCGTCTATATTCCGCTACTCCCCCGTCACCCATCCCCCTCGGTGACGAAGGAGTGGCGGGGGAGTGACGGGAAAGTGACGGGAGATGCAGAAACACTCACGTATTCAAGGATCTTTGTAAGAATCTCCAGAGGAAGGCGGGTCAGGCCAGGCACCAGGGCCCTGTCTCGGCATGAGCCTGGATTGGTCATCGTGTTGGTGTTAATCTCGCTGTCGCTCTCGGCGCTTGTCGACGAGCAGTTCTTGTTTACAAGAAATCTGGCGGAGTGAGAAGGAATCCTAAGCATGGGCGGGAAAAGATGAGGCGTGAAACACTGATATGAACTGTTGGATCACCGACAGATCGATCACAGAAGGTACAAGAACAGTAGGAGAGGGATAGAGGAGGCGGGGAAAGAGAAGAACAACACAGAAAAAAAGGAAGTAGAAAGATCCGCTGCAAGCGAGATACAGTTCAGGGCAGCAGTGAATAGCTGGGCAACCTGCTGGCCCATTCACTGCCAACCACCACACCCTCACGTGTGTCCACGGAAAGCCAGACATGAAGAGTGCATGCAGTTAAGACTGGAAAAGACTGAACAATCCATAGTGCACTGGAACAAAGGCAACTGATCCATTAAGCCAAATTTATATCTAACATTTGAATGGTAGGATTACAACAATCACCTAGTCTAACAAGCTGTACAGCGAAAGTAGCCTACTCGGCCATAATTGGCATGCGATACTCCTCTGGAATGTCCATCGGCCATGCGTCAACCCCGTCCAGCAAGGCCAGTGCTAACCCACCGCTGTGGTGCATCTGAAGGTGACAGTGAAGGAGGAATGGTCCTGGATTCTGCACGAAGTAGCGGAGTGCTAACCAAGACGGCGCCGAATTCGATGCAGGCGTGTAGAATGTGTCTCGCATCTGGGGGCTCTGGAAGTTGAAGTTCTGCGGAATGTATTCCAGGGCCTCCTCCACAGACGAGTAGGTAAAGGGCTCCGAGCCTGCCCCAATCACAAAGTATTTGTTGGAGTGCTTATGGATGGGGTGTTGCGGCTGTCCCATGGTGGTGATATTGATGATGAGATCGACCCAGGTGTTGTTCAAGGTGGTCACGGAATACGCTGCCGATATTGAGCTGAGGTTGAACAACACGGGAGGAGATAGATCCTCATTTGACATGGGGTAGCTATTTCGCAGGGTCCAGATATAGGAGGCATTGATTGTGTTGACATTGAGGATGTAGGTCCGGTCCGCCTTGAGAGCAGGTATCTCCACGGGAAACGGTACCACACTGCTTTCGTTCAAGAAAACCGCAGTGGCTGTAGCATTGGAACCGGCTTCATTGATATAAGGCTGGGAGGGACTGCTTGGGTTCGGGGTAGAGATGCCATATGACATGACTGCGGTTCCATTGATGAGCTGGGTTGCATAATTGTTGGCGACGCGGACAGTGTAGTCTCCGGCATCATCCGACTTTAACTTCACCATCACCGAGTATCGCGATCCAATGGGGACCGTGACAGCATCAACGAGCGATGGTTCGACATAACGACCATCCACGGCGTAAACATACATTGGATGCTCATCAATGGAGAATACCAGTGAGGTAGCACCAGCCATGCTGATAAGGTCATAGCTAACATATTTGAAAGCGGAATTGACCTTGAACACCTCCGTGGGTCCCTCACTAGGCGTACAGCCTTCGTAGAAGCCCTTGGGGACCTTGCTGAGATCAACCGGATAGGTGCCCACTATAGGCTGGGGCGGCAGACATCTGGCATAGTTAGTACGGTTGATTGCCTTCGATACTCGATAAAAGCTTACCCCATATCAGTCAAGGTTAAGTTACCAAGAGCCTGTTTCTGCTGCTCCGTCGTGATAGCATTAAGGTGGTCCTGGGAAGAACAGTACACAGAACCCTTTCCGTTAACCAGAATAGAATTGGCACAGTAGCTCTCGACACCAGAGGCTGTTTGGATCTGTAGAAGTTCCTCCGAGGTAAAAGGCCTCCAATCCGAAATCACAATCGGTTGCGTATGCTTTTCGGCTTCCAACATTGCCTGCTCGTCCGCTTCAGAGATCAACGAAAAAGGCCTCGTCACCGAGTCTTCAGGTTCAATATAGATGGGGCCATAGAGACCATCCATGATTTGAGCCCTCTCGTGTGAATGATACACATACGAACCATAATCGGCTGCCTTCCACTTGTAGAGAAACTGGTCACCCGGCTGGATTTCGGCCTGCGAGAGTCCAGGTACACCCTCCGACCACGGCGTGCCTTGCTGCCCAATACCTGCAATCTTGTTAGTATGGAGGTCTCATATAAAAAGCAGTTTCGAGCAGGATATGCAGGTTGAGAAAAGCCAAGACAAGATGTACTGACCATGAAAGTGGACTGTAGTCGAAAAGGGCATCGAGTTGTTGACCAAGAACTCCACATCATCGCCCTGCTTCAACCACAAGGCAGGACCAGGTAGCTGTCCATTGCTCAAGATAGCCTTTCGTAAGGCACCGGCCACTTCCACGTCTTCCCAGGTCAGATCTATCTGGAACTGCACAACACGGCAGGACACCCATTGTATCAAGCAAAGCGCCAACAGGGCCAGCCTGCTTGGAGATAGCTTCATGCTGGACTCGAGATAGCAAGAAAATATACAAAAAAGGTCCAACAGAATATGTACAGTCGAACGCAGCCGGGTCGATAACTAGTTTGTCGTGCTTGCATCTCCATCTCTGAGCTGAACCTGAGGTTCTTATAATGCCTCCATCGAAGATACGCTCAGACTGATGCCGACGAAGCCGAAGAGTCAGGCAAGGGATACAGGACCTAATTCGTATAGCGACATCATCGGATGCGCCCATGGCTCAATATCCATAAGGCGTCTGATGGCGAAGATGGTGGACCCGTCATATGCAACTATTTCCATCATTGAAATATGCTTTGGAGAGTGCATCAATTCCTAAGCTCACCGCAACCTTCTAGGATATTCCAGTTCCTGAAATAGATTATAGTTACATTATGTTGGAAGTAACACGGCATCACGCATGTATGCCGCATGGAAAAGCCACCCACTTCTAGCAAAAGAGGCGGTTTGTAGTAGGTATACTGCACGGTGCAGGTAATATGGATGCCTGATGTTGAGCGGCGTCGCCGGGCGTCGGCAAGGAGAAGAAAACGATTGACGATGTGGTGTTGGTTTATCGAATCTTATTGCCCCGAAGCGGGTTATCGCCATGACCTGTCAGTCGACGCCTCTTCGCGGTGGCGCGCTCGCCGAAACCTAGTGATGACGGGATCGCCGCAGCTGAAGAAAGCATATTGTATGGTCGCTACTTGATGAATTGATGGTAGATACGTGGGCAGATTGAGGAATGCCACCGAAACAATCAATGAAAATGAGGGAAATACCAAGGGAGAAAATAACAAACAAGATAAGCAAGGTAATTATCTCATGTCGGTCGTCAATCGGAGTCCTAAAAGCATTATGGCTCATACGTCGTTCATTCGTCCACCTCTTCCACCAGCGGACTCATCGGTGGAGTCAGTGTTACAAGGTTCATTGAAAAGTCCACTATTGGCGCCCCCGGATCTTTCAGCCTTACCGTAGAAAGTTCCGGTTCCGGCTTAAGGGTAGCAAGCGGATTCTCTAGGGAAGAGCCTGCTTCGGGTTCTGCTTGCAAGTTTGGGGGATCATCGAGAACTGGCCCGAGAATGTCCTCAGCAGCAACAACTGAAGAACTCAAGGTGGTCACTGAGCTGGAAATGGCATCACCAGAGCTGGAAGAGATCCTGGAAGAGAACGAGGGCATGACATCGGTACGGGAAGTCTCGACGCTCGGCAACGCGCAACTGGTGGGCCTACCCCAATTTGTCGATGAGGGTTGCATCAGCGACACAGCTGAAGAGGAAACGGACACGGGCTCCAGGATGTCCTGAGGAAATGGCCGGAGAGCCGACTGGGTGGATTGAGGCGTAGCATGAATAGCACAGAAAACGACCAGGAAGCTGAGAACGGCAATGGCGACATTGCGCCGGTCGCTAGCTAGCACTCGTATGTAATTCACCAGCAATGTCTGTAGATCAATATCCTCACTCGATCTCGGAACAGAGCGATACTCTGGCATTCGCTGCTCCTGGGCAGCCACTTTCTTGGTTACCGGGGGCGACGGCATTGCAGCTTGTTCATGAACGAAGCGATTATGTTCCTCAATTGCTGGAGGAGTGGTAGGCGCCGGCAGAGAATGCTGGCGTACCTCGGTGGCCATTGCATGCGCAGGCTCCTGTGAATGCGGTACCTGCAGTCGATTCTCGAATTGACATATTTCTTCCTCCAGCAGTCGCCTCTCCAACTCCCTCCTGATCTCTGACGGAAGCCAAAGGCCGACTTCCACGTCCACCTTCTCCATTTCCCTCCAAGCTGCAGCCCATGCCCCAGCCCGCATCAGGCCATTGGCAGCGAACACCTTGATCTCCCATTTTCTGCCCGCGTTACTATGGCGAACCACGCGCCCGCCACAGTCGGGACAGTCTTCCCCTTCCTCCTCGTCTGTAGCGCTCTCTTTCACGGACTGATCATCCCTCTCGGAGTCATTCTCATCTTGTCCAAGGAAATGGCCGTGGTCCAGCCTTGGGCGCTGCAGGTCTAAGCTTTCCAGCAACCGCTCCTCGAGTAAGTCATACATGTCTTCCGGATGGGAGATAAGCACACCGCGCTCACGGAGCATGACAGACCCGACCTTCTCCTCTAGCAGCTTCCACCGTCTCCAGTATTCTGAAGGCAGAACCTCTCTCAATACCTTCTGATTGTGGTAGCCCATTGCTCCAGGGACGGGAAGTGACGGTGGAAGCAAGTTACAGTGCAGAAGCACCAATGGGTACTCCTTCTTGACCTTCGGCTTGCCTGCGGATCCTGTCGGGGAATAAAACTGGGTCTTCCTCAGCGGTGATGAGCCGGCAGATCGCATGGACACGTCGGAAAGACGCTGACCTCTGCGCTTTGGTGGGGTCAAGAAATCATCGTCCCCTTCATCCTCTGTGTGCATCTGCATCGCTTTCACCGAGCTGGGCTTCCGGAATGCGGTTTCCCGATGCCTAATTGCCGGAATCGAGCGCACCTGTCCTTCCAATTTGCTATGCACCTTGCTGTCATGGTTCTCCCAGTGATGGGAAAGCATGTCGTTGTGTAAAACTGTCTTCATTCCATCCGCCATGTTCGTAAGCACCGAGGTCGGGATCGAGGAAACAGAAGAGCGACTGGAAGCTCTGGAACTCATCCGATCGAGGTCTCCGTCCAAATCACCACCCGGGATATCGCCAGATTGCCGTATTGAGGACCCCGAGGAGCTGTACCCACCGTCGTGCGCTAATATCTGAGTATCTTCATTGAAAGGATCGATTTCATCATAAAGTTCGTATCGGTGCTGGAGTCCCGATTTCGAAAACGCGGGGGAGATCGGTGGGCTCTCGTAGGCAGCGCCTCGGCGAATGCCAGATGCCTCGCCTGTACAGTCTGCATATCCAGTCAATTCGGGGTCAGAAGAGTAGTCGTCCATTGGGGTTGGTCATAGACGGATAGTATAGACGAGAAATGTATAAAGGAAATGGTTCCCCACTGCTATCCGAGCGTCAGGACTAGAAGGCTGTCAGTGAGCCTGTGGACCTCAGAGGAATGTTGGGCTTCGATCTGGCACGCTAGACGGGAGAACGATGGAGAATGGTATTTCGGGACACATTCCACCCAACTCTTGGAGAAGATGCCGGGGATGTTGATCGCCGTGCCTGACGGCTTTGTTGGGGGTGTGGTCTCACCGCCCAGTTGTGCCGGGCAACCGCCCCTCGCTGGGCCCTTGGCTTCTCCGCCCTCCGCTGCCTCGGGCCTGTGACTGGGTGTCTCCCAGCATCCCACTGTCTCAGATCATGGGTGGGGATCTCCATCACAACGCACGCCCCATGGACGAAAACAAGGTTGAATTTGGAGTTACATACAAGTACAGACCTAGCCAATGGAGTAAAAATACTAACACGCTCATACACAGAAAAGAATGCCTCCGATCATGCAACAGGCTCACCAGCCACGCCGATGCAAACATCAATCATGCAACATTTCCTCTCAAACGACACTCAACGACCAGTGGTTCCTATAGATATCTTCATCCCACGATATAGATAGACAACCCCCGGACGCCAAGCATCATAACGACGGATTCCAAACGGCTGACACGTGCAATTACAGTCGCATATATACGCACAGTATACATTTCAGTGAGGGCCCTGCGGAGCTTCATCATCTGGGCTCATCAGGGTAGGATAACTCTGGTGTTCCCCAAAGTAATTGAGGACGTCCTGCGGAAGGTATTCCAGCCATGGCAGTATCTCGCCACTGAACGTGAACGGAAGCTGATCTTGTTGCTGGAGCGTTGCCATATCGATGTCTTGGCTTTCGATAAACACGTCACCCGCATGGGGGCCCACAACAGGGTGGAGACCTGGGGTCCGTGAGCTCAGATGGCCGTCGCCAGGTTGCTGTTCGCTCGGAACAGGTAAGCTGTAGTTGAATCCTGGCACCTGATTCTCGAGCCTGGAGGACGCGGAATGGTGGTTGTAGGCTGATCGAGGATTTGGCGGGCGGGAGGTCGTACCCGGAAACGACGTGTTTAAGCCAAGGAGCAGATTCGCATCAGAGGCCGAGACTTGGCCAGAGGATGCGAGCGACGGAAACGGCTCGGAGCCTGCTGCCATCGGTGTAGTCAGTGTTGACTCCGCTACCCTGGATGGCTCCAAAGTCTGCGAGTAAGAATTGGAGTTCTGACTACCACCAGTCTGTACCGGAAGGTTGGGATAAATGTGGCTATACTGAGATGAAAATGTTGGCTTATCCGACATGGACTCTGCCTGAGCGGGTAGTTGATATAATAGGCTCAGGTTCGGTTGGGACGAGTTGGTTGCACCGGTCAACGCCCATCCAATAGCTTGGGAGGAAATTAGTATATGCTTCCCGGATGCGGCGGTGAAGAAAGGGAACCAGGAAAAGCCCACCTTGACTCGGATCAATCTTGGGCGACCGTTTGCCATCCAATGGAGTATCTATGCCTCCTTTTGAGGCTGCTGCTTCACCTGGAGCAGCCAATGATGTTTGGATACTTCTCCAGTGTGGTGCAGCGAAAGGTGGAACGGACGATACCTCCGCCGCGCTTTCCATCTCCTCCACAGTATATAGAAGTGGATCAACGATTCCCTTTGCCTTTTGATCCAAGACCGTGAGGATATACTTGGTACCCTCCCAGTATGTTTCAAGTGCTTTCAAAGCTTTGTAACATCGCTGGTAGTTTTCCTTTGCGGCGGACGCGAGAAGTATATGCTTAGCGGTAGGCTTTCGTTCCGATCCGTTCGAAGGATCCATATTCGGCATCACAAAACCACTGTTTTGGTTTGCCAGTAACGGCTGAGCTGGAGGTGAGCCAGATCGTGAGGAGGGTGAAGAGTAATAGGCACTCTCCATGAGAAAAGCACATGCGGCAATGTACATAGGCTGGGTTGTGAAGGGGTTGCCAATGAAACTCTTCCCGTCCACGAGTTCTGAGAAAGACAGAATATCGGCAATGGTTTTGGCCGAAGACATCGATAACTCCCTACTGTTTGGATAAAGATGTTGGATAGTCCCACCGAAGGAGTTTAGCAGCGTGGGTTGATGAAGCAGGACTATCAAGGTATGAAACCACTGATTTATGTCAGCGCTGATGAATAACATGACCCTAAGCTAGACTCACAAAATGAAGGAGAATGAAATTTGTTCCTTCCTTGGCTTTGACGTAGGCCTGGAAGTTTGCTGCATTAAAATGAAGTCTTGGCGACAGTCGCTGATAGATGCCTAAATTCAGCTATGATTAGCTCTGAAGAATTGTGCAAAGCTTTTCGGAACTATACCTGTCAAATCGCTCTCCATACCAGCCAGCATTTTCAAGGTGTCCGAAGTTACATGGTTGACGTCCTGAATTCCATTGATGAGATCCGTCACTCTGCCGTACAAATGTATGATGCGGGTGAGCGGGGGAAATGGCGCTGGCCATCCGTTAGGCAACCGGGATTCCGACTGGAGTGGAAAGCAGAGTTCTATGTCCTCGTCGCGTAAGGTCACCGGTCTCCCTGTTCCAGACGAAATCACTCGGTCGAGGAAGAAGATACTCCAGAAGGTGTCAACCCTTTCGCGCTCCTTCGCACGCCGGCCCTCTGCATCTGGTTGGTCTTGTGTTGGGCCAGGGGAGATCTGAGGTTCATCATATTGATCGTCTCTGAGCTTCCCGGCTTGTCCAGTCAGGACTGCACTCGGAGTCACACCGCTCAAACCATAGCTGAATTCCAATCCCCGTACCTTTTGCAATCCAAGGTCTTGAGCCATCCGTATAGATATACCTAGGTACATCCAGAGACCGCTGTCATGGTTCGAACCGAACTCCTCATAAGCAAGTAACAAGCACGCCTGTACCCCGGAAAGAGTAGGACACGAGAGAGAATCCACTAGAGTGCCCATGGCTCTGTGGGCGAACGGCTGCCCGCGGTTCGACTTTTTCATGTCCACTTGCGGTTCAGAACCATCAATTGTCGGAGCTTGGGGAGGGCAGAGTAGCGGATGAGGAGAAAATCTCGCAGACAATGCACACACGGCATCTACGAGCATGGTGTCTACCCTTTTGTCTTTGAGGTCACGGAGAAACCTCTCCCGCTGTAAGAACGGAAAGGTGCATCCGAGGTGCACGAAAAATAAGTCACATAGGTGCGTCACCAGGTTGCTGACAGCGCAGGTATCATCGCGATCATAGAACGGAATCGTGTTGTTGTAGTCACGACTATCGCGGGCGTCGGGTATTGTTTCGAGGCTGTTCAACCCAGCATCTGCAAATTTTGGACTTCGAAGAGGAGATAGCGACTCTGTATGTTTTGACAAAAGAGGTCAGCCAATGTCGCTAGCATTGCTAGACATACGCAGAACAATTTGTTGCCTACAGAGGCTAAGGAAAAGGATATCAGGGATGCAGACCTGATGACAGTGATGGATTGCTCTTGCGCGAACCTCGCACCTGAACGACCTGCAAAAGAAGTTAGGCGATAAGATTTTGTGGCAATACTGTCTAGCAGTGTATGCGAACCATCTGTTTGAAGCCAGGGACAATAGCCGTCGGCCCAAAATATCTAAAATAGGGCACATGCGTGCGCGCGCTAGAACTTAAAGAGGTACGACCTAGAAGACAGGAAGGTCCATGGTAAGTACAATCATAGTCATGAACCGAATGAGGACATACTGCTTTCTGGACTTTCCCCGCTCGTCTGCTGTTCGGGCTCTTTCGTTGCCCGCGAGGATGTGTCCCTAGGCAGGGACGCTTCTTTTGACTCCACCGTCTTGTATACCTCGGAGGATTTGCCAAGGCCATCATTGGCTGACACTGTGGCTCTGCGCGGAGAAATTGGGGAACGACTGGCGAGCTTAGGCGTTGTGCGCGAGGCTATCACATCATTGGGTGCCGGTAGAGCAGCGATTATAGGAGTTCGTAAAGCGGCATCGGACTGCGATCGAGCATGGATAGACGATTCGCTGTAGCCTTGGCAGATATGGTTGTAATCGGAGCACGTTTTGCATACTAGCCATCGGAGCAAACGAATGAGTAAGACATGGGTCATAGTTACGTCAAACATCAGTTTCTTACCTGGTTGTTCTCCCGAGCAGCGAATTTTGCGCTTGCGACACGTCAGACACCTATATATGGCCCCACGGGGGAGCACCATGTTACTGAGTGATCACAAAGGGGGCAGACATAGGCCTGGGTACGAAGCGACAGTTGTGACTTACGCCGCATTAACTCGTCGCCGCTTCGTTTGGGGCTGCCCGTCTGTTGAGACGAAGCGGATCTGTCTGGGAGGGGGAACATTATTGCCGCCGTTCTTCTTAGGAGAAGGGTGGCTCATTGCGAGCAAGTTGTCATCCGGGATCACGACACATTGGGCGAAGGCTTTACGGCGATCGATCGTTCCCTAGGATGAGACACAAGGGAATCGCAGGCGGAGAGTGAAGCAGACGAGGAGAACGGCGGTATGGAAAACCCTTGGACGGAAGCATGCAGTGGAGAGACAAATCCATGGACGTGAGTTTGATCCCACGTAGTGTCCGGTGAAGACCGTTGCGGGATAGAGGCACAGGAAACGGACTTGGACGAGGGGAGGGTTTGTACTCTGTTCTTTTTTTTTTCCCTTTTCTTTAATTTTAAATTCCTTTTCCTGAATCGTATTTTAGCCTTAATCCTTATTTGTTCAACCCGTAGGGTGTCAGCGTTAGCATCGATAGGGAAGCTAAGCAGCAAATCTTCGTGAGAGGTACCTGGTCACGCCTGCTAGCAAGTAGTACGGGGGGAGGGATTGTTGGGTCGAGAATCGGCCAACTAAGCCCTTGGCTGGTCCTCTCCTGCCTCCAGGTCGCGTCGGAAAAATAAGCCACCCCAAAGGAAAGGCCCAAGCAATGCTAGCCTGACCGCCTAGAAGGGATTGTTGATTCGACGGGGATTCTTTGTTTCTACCGACGCGATCACGAGATGGATCAGATCCAGCCCAGACGGGAGGGATGACCGGTTGTCCGCTAGCGAGCCAACTAGAGAGATTAGGCAGTCTTTCGTGCCTTTCGCTCATATTAGGTAGAGATGAAAAGGAGGTGGTTAGGCAGATGAAACAACCCGTCTGAGAATCATTGGATTGGATTCGACACAGCGTGGCCTGTTACATACCGGAGGGCCAGGACAAAAGCCATAAGAAAAGGCAAAGAGCTAGCTGTTCCGCACTTCCGCCTCCTCCGTCCGGGAGGGGGGGGGGGGGGGTCTTTGGCTGGCCATGTGACTCTCTAGGATTGACGTTACCCGCTCCTTACGGGCCACGCCAGCCACGACTGGTCTGCTGCCAGGAAGCGAACACAACCGATGAACGGACGGATCGATTCTGAATCGATAGACTGGTCATTCCCCATTGGGAAGGTTGGTATGGGCGGTGCAACTCAGCCTCGTTTCGAGGAAACCTCCCAGCAGGGTGTCTTCATTGTTGTTCCAAGCAGCTGGAACCTGATCGCCCAGATCGCAGACCCCAGGAGTCTGGACTCTGGCTCTCTCCAGTCTGGGGATGGAAAGTGGACTCGCTCTCCGTTTTCCCCGTCCGGAGGCCCGGACTCACGCCTACCTTAAACGGTTACCCACTTTTCAGTCTCCACGCCTCATCCAACGGTCGGCTCAACTCCGACATTTGCCTGCTCGCCCAGCCAGAACTGGCTATTGCTCCATTTACGGGCATATCGCTCTGTTGTTTGGTCCCAGATCGCTGTTCTTGAAAATTTATGGAATGTTCTGTAGCTGACCAATTCTATCTTCTATTTGAATTAATCTAGTGTAAAACCGCGGCAGCACAGAACCTCCCCCACCACGGCGTCTAAAGATGCGCCATACGCGCCAGGTCTAGAACTGCGGCCTTGGGATCTCGATCGCATCGGTAGTCCGCCCGTACGAAATACCCCCCAACCGACTGATAGGCTTCAAGACCTTCAGGTCGACAATGCTCTTCTGTTCGTTGATCGCATCGTCTCGTACCCAGAAGCGAACACCCTCGATGATTGCCAACACGCCTGATTTCTTGCCCGGTGTCGACCGGCTTTCGAACTCCTTGGTCTCCACCAGCTTGCCTTCGATCGCCAGAATAGACTCTTTCACACGTGCCGCCTGGACAACGGAGCAGGGCGCTTGGGTTAGCCCCGAGACCTCCCATTCAGAGACGCCATATGGAGTATTGATTGCCGTCGCGTTGGCGGCCTCGACGAAATGCTCTGAGATGATGTTGATCACGCATTCCTCCGTCTCCGCCAGGTTCTTCAATGTGTCTTTGGCCTTGTCAAGGGATCCCACAAATCCCACCGTGAAGAGCGGGGGGTCATGGTTGATGACCTGCGAGTAACTGAATGGCGCCAAGTTGGTCGTCTTTCCATCCTTGGACTTGGTGCTGATGAGCGCGATGGGTCTGGGGACCATGCCGGAGATCAGAAGTTTATAATTGGAAGCAACCGGCCGCCCTTCCTCGTAGGGGTCAATCTCCAAGTGGTTCTTCTTCAAGCTCTCACCTCCATCGTTGGCGCCATCTCCCTGCTTCCAGTCGGGATTAGGGGGTTTCGAGAAAGTGACCGGCACGTCGCGCTTGAACTCAGGGCGAGAGGCTTGGACCTTTTCGAAATCGTCTCCGACCTTGAACATTGTGGATGTCTGGCTGAATGTTCGACCCGGTCTGAGGATGTTCACACGAGGGAGGGGTGCACTGCAGTTACTGCACGATCGTCAGTAATGCACAAGGCTTAGAGGCGTGGTGTTGCAAGATTCCGATGCTCCTAGGACCATCACTGTCTGGAGAAAAGGTACGCGAACACTTACTGAAACTTGAAAGGTATCCTGTGAGAAAACCAGGAGGCTGTTGACAAGATGGAGCGATGCATGAGGACAGCGACTTCACTTTTTAGTCTCGACGTTGCGTTAGTTGGGCGACTCAGGTGTCCAATTCATCCGAGCAGGTTGACCGAGGGGTAATTCCACGGCCACATTGCGGAGCTGGAGTTAGTTTCCACGCCCATGGGCGCATGATGTGCACCTAGAGTGCGTGGAAAAGAACCCCCACTACCGAAACCCGGGCCGATAAGGGTTTGTCAGCGCCGAAACAACCCCGCAATGGGTATCCTCGGCATCGTCACCGGCCTCGATCCCGCATTGCCGTTATCTTGATTATAGCTCTTGTATTGCTTGCCTGTGTGACTGACCTGTCAGCCCATCCAGTGCAAGCACAACGATGAGTGAATTGCCGTATTGAATGTCGATTAGGTGACTAGGTGGTAAAATAGCTATCATACTAAATAAGCCCGCATAATCGACGAGCTCTTATACATACATCCAAGACCTGGCGATACTATAAATACAAACACCAAATCCCAACTACTCCTTCCTCAAAAATGCAATCGAATCCAACTGCTCCGCATTCCCAACACTGAGACTCAATTCCTCCAACTCCTCCAAATCCCTCTTCACCCCCTCCAAATCCATCAAAATCATTCCTCGCGCATCAGCTCCCAACGGCACCCGTATAGGAATCCTTTCTCCACGACTAACAAGCCGATAAATCGCCGCCGCAATCGCATCCGGCTCCGCCCACAACCGTCGATTCTCCTCTTTGCTCTTATATTCCAACAAGACACTAGTAGGATAAGTCGGATCCGCATAAGCAGGATGTCTCCCTTTGGCCATCGATTTCAGACTCGTAGTCGCGTAATTGGTTTTGACGCCCCCAGGCTCGATATTGCACAGATGAACTATTACCACGCCCCATCCGTCAGTATACCACCACTTCACCATCCACACCACAACGTCAAGGGAATAAAAACTCACCATTCCAACTCCCCGGCAACTCCTTCGCAACGGCCTCCGTCCACCCCTCCATCGCAAACTTACTCGCATGATAAAACGCACTGCCCGGGAACCCCACAAAGCCACCCAAAGAACTAACATTCAGGACAACTCCACCCTTTCCCTCGCGCATAATCCCCAATACTCGCTTCGTGGTATCCACCATACCCCAGAAATTCGTGTCGAAGAGGGCCCGCGACTCCCCGTCTTCTGCTACTTCGGTGTCCCCGACGAGAGTGTACCCGGCGTTGTTGACGAGGACATCGATGCGGTGGTATTTGGTTAGCGTTTCGCGGATGCTGGATTCGATTGAGGTGGTGGAGGTGACGTCGAGGGGGAGTTTGAGGATGTTGGGTGTCGTTGGGAGGGTGGAGAGGGTGGAAGGGTTGCGGGCTGTTGCGACGAGGCGGTTTGTGGGGTGGTGGGTGGTGATGTGCTGTGCTAGGGCGTGGCCGATTCCGGAGGAGCAGCCGGTTACTATTTTTTTCAAATGGGTATGGGTTAGAGGGGTGGGGATGGGGTGAATGGGGAAATTGAAAGGGCACTGACTGAACCAGACTGCGTCCGGGGGGAGATGGTAAGGTTGTGTGTTTGGGGCGGACATTGTGATGCGGTTTCTGGGGTTGTGTATGCTGTGTATGTGTATGCTGATGAGGTTGAGGGATTGAAGGGATCTAGAGATATTTATACGAGTCTCAAGTTGAGGTAGTACATGGTGGGTCAGTATCGGGTCAGCCAACTCATATACAGCTAAGTCCGGAGGCGTCGCTTAAATCCATTAATCCCGCTTGAAGCCGGCGTCAGCCATGACGATGGTTGCAAAGGCGTATGCTAATGCTGATGCTGATGCTGACTATGGATAGATCCGTGAAGGAAGCTTCTAGTCTAGTGACTAAGAATAGATTCCCTGAGTAGATCGACTTAGCGCCGTTACTTGATGTTACCGTAGGCCGGAAGAGGTGACTGTCAGAATACCACTATGACCTTCACTACCGTGTTGATGAATTAATGGCAACCGCTGATTTCTTTACTTTTCTCCTCTTCGTCATTCTGATGATCTTCCTTCTATCAACTCCGTCTCCTCCCCGTATCTCAATATGGCAGATGGACTGGCTTCACCATCCGGATATCAATTATGGGAAAGGGGTAGGGAGGATTTGCCTTCCTGCGAGAGATGTCAAACGTTCTGTCGAGATGGGCATCCCAAGCACATCAAAAACACTTGGACGAGATCAAAGGCTGGGAGAGCTGACCCTGCCACCCAAAATTCTGCAGCATAAGCCAGAAGATGACAGCGAGGGAGATGCAGGAACATTTAATTGATGACCATGGTATTGCCCTTATTAAGAAGCAACACCGTGATACACTACTTACTGTGGACTTTCATTCTAAATTACAATATATCCTACTATCGGATGGTTGATTCGTTGTGGGATAGCCATATGCAGAGCTTACATGGAATGCCACTCACAGTCTCGACTATTGTCATGACCTGTGGAAGAGCCACTCTCGCATATCCCTAAGCCAGAGCTCTACGGCTATGGACAAGACATCAGAAAAGACAAAGAGAGGGAGATTGAATGGAGAGTGCAGGACTTTTTCAGTGAGATGGGGTCTATACATTTACTACCAGAGGAATATGCGAGCCCTACTGCTGCGGCAATATCAGATGGCACTCTATGTAAACTATACCGAGAGGTCTATACTACTTATTAACTAGCAGTGCCCTGCGCCACCCGACGGATCTACCAAAACGAGTATAAAAAGAGCTTCAAATCCCTCTCATCTGAGAGTTTGAAAGACTACTCACCAGCTGAAATCTGACAAAATGAGGATGACACGCTATAGTGGCCGTCACAGATACATACGATATTTATCAGTATTTAGATCCAAACCCACCGAAAAAGAACCACTCGTCGCACACTGATGAAAAAGGGCTATGTCCCGTTTGTATGTATTCCCCGAGTTTCGGCCTCGTCTCGGATTTCTGTCTCACGAACTAATTCGCCATGAGAGCGTGATGATGCTATATCAAAGCATTCATCATGCATTCGGATGATTTTGTCTCTCCTGGTTTTCCACCGACACTGAGAACATATGCAGCATGAAGGCCTTGTTCTGCTAACAGGAACAAAGATGCCTTGTCACGCTCGCATGGCGGAAAGCCCAAAGGAGGACTACATGGTTCGTCTTCCTTGTCCCCGGGCACTGATTATTGACTTTCAAGTCGTCGTCAATAATATGTTCGGAATGGTAGTGGGCCTTACGAAAAGCATGATGAGTTATGACCTTGTGAAGCAAGGACTATTGACTGCGAAACAGCAAAGCTGATAAGGCGGGAAGATGGGATATGATAGAAGAATGGGTTCACTGAGATGCTGTAAGAAGACAAAGCTTTGGAGGATGTGGTAAAGCATGAACAGATTTCAATGATATAATCCATGGATAGTAATCTACCCAGTCAGCCCGGTTTGCGCATTTGCGGTCAAACTATTGGCAAAAGCCAGTGATAGGAATATACTTACTACCAATTAAATACTCAGCTAGAATCTAATATGACTTGCTATACTCGTAGAGATAAAGGAGGGGGGGGGGGAGGGGTTATTAGGGTCACTGGAAGAATATTCGGGTTTGAGGTTCGGATATACTGGAAGGGCGCTTATAAGTGAGATAAGGACAGATCCACTGCCCACCGGGAGATCTATCGGAAGAATTAATGATTGTGGCAGTGGCAGGTTGAACCGTTAGAGGTCTCCGAGACAGTGCAGCAGCCTAGCTGTCATAGGGTGGCTCATTCCAATACTGGAGGCACTAAAAGTGTCAACGGCCACAGCAGAATCCATGAATCAACCCGAGATACCCCGAGGAGCAGGGTCTCTGGCTGGTCTTCAGATTTAGGATTGGCAAGTCAACCATGGCTCCCTCCTCAAGCACATCCGGACGCAAACGGCTCACTGCGTTTTGTGCTACATGTTGCGGCCACCATCTTACCCTCGCTGTTACCTCAAACGCACATTGACTGTGTATGGAAGATGCAGAGCTTCCACAATAAATTGTAGTGTGCCCTCGCGGACGAGCAGTGGATCTATGGCACAACCAAAGACCTGTTCCCCGTCGACCCCTTTGTTGCAAACCCATGGGATGTTCACGAAAAGGTCAAGCAGGCGGACGGATACATGCAGGATATTACTGCTGGGATGTTCCGCTCGGACTTTATGCTCCAGAGTTCATGTCGAGATTGGACTGGATGCGAATTGCAACTCCAGCTCGACTTTGTACGATATTTGGGATCTCCTCGGTTGTCTAGTGAGTGTGGTCAAAGGTTTTGGGTGCTTTGATACACCACTCTTGGTCTGATACGAAATGTCCGATTGAATGATAGATCCTAGCCCGACATCCGATTAAAAATACCCCAATATTTCTGAAAATGTTGTCCTTTATAGCCTTCTCTCCGTCTTTTTTATCACATAGCTAGTATTTATATATATCGTTGTCGCTGTTCGGATAATATGTTAGCATGCTTGTACCCAAAACATCGATTGAACAAGGAAGCAACACATACAATTGATACTGGAGGCTATCTCTTCCTGCTGCCGAAGAATTCACCCATACACTCACACTCATTGCGCTCACCGGAAATTCTCCGTAGCCCTTTTTGTCAATCACAACAGTTTGGGGACACCACTGCAGGATATCGGTCCATTGCTCTGTGGCGTGTCGTCGACCGACATACATTCGCTTTCTTGATGGGCCGGCATTGCTCATTATGCACACAAGACCAGACGGATGTCGACGGTTGCCGTAACGAACAAAACCTATCCTTGTCAGCACATGCGGGATTATACGCTTTTCAGGGTAAATAAGAAACTAACCGATGCAGTTCGCTTTATCAAAGTAGTCTCGTTGCAAGCCATATGCATACAGCTTTCGGGCCTGTGTGAGTTTGGGAAGCTTTCCCTTGCAGGAGGGAGTCATCGGATCTTTGACGTCAGTTTGGAGACCATAGAGATCTCCATAAAATACACACGGCTGACCCTTATCACCAAGCAGGATCAGAGCGTACGCAAGAGGTTTGAAGCGCGAAGCAACTGGTGTCTGGTGTTTCTTAGTTATGTCACTCACATAGGTGGGTTATTCCTTACCGCAAGGGCCTGCCCTGGTTGCTTGAGATAATATTAACACAATGAAATACAGTGCGGCATGATATCACTTACAGTGTCATGATTGGCAACAAACGTCTTCCTAGTCATCAGTAACAGAAACAACTAGGGTTCTAGTACAACTTACCACAGCATTCTTAGGCCGTAGCTGAACCAACGTGTTATTAAAAATGTTGCGAAGGTCGGCTCCTTCTACTTGCGAGATCATTGACAAGCGTCTAACCAAGGCTGAATCGAATAAAGATAACTTGTAGTCCATCTGCTTCAAGTAATCAAGGAGCGGCCTGGCCTCGTATCTCCAGTATTCGCCCACTATGAAGTAGTCTGGTCCGACAGTTGCTCGAAGACGATCAATGAACTCCTTTTGAAAACCAACCGAATAATGTTTGACCGCATCCAGCCGCATACCACTTAGAGGCAACTGGGTGTTTATCCACTCACCCCAGTTTAACACATCATTCCGCACTTCGGCGTTGGAGTAGTCCAAGTCTGCAAACATGAGATAGTCGTAATTGCCATTCTCACTGGCAACATCTTTTGCCCAATTATGCCCTTCGATTTTGTACACTCCCTTCCTTTGACGGATTTGATCCCAGTCGACACCACTGAAGTGCTGACAGTTGTACTTCATCGAACTATACCGGTCACCGCGCCCGGGGAAGTTGAATCCCACCCAGCCCTCGATCTCTTCGGGAGAGGATATCTCCGTATTACGCTCTAGGACTAGAAGTCAACAAGGACTCTGCAATCAATGAAGGAATTCATACCCTGTGGGTCAACTTTGACTGCTGGAAAGCGCTCCGTGTAATCTGCTCCGGCTTTGTGATTGAGGACAGCATCGCAATAGATGCCTATCCCGAGATCTTGGGCCCGAGCTGCTAGGGATTGGAGTTCTTCCTTAGTGCCCCATTTTGTAGCGCAGGATCCTTTTTGTTCGAACTCTCCCAGGTCATACAGGTCGTAACTATCATAGCCATTGCCGCATGGCTCCATGCCTTTGCTCGCGGGTGGAATCCAGATATTATCGACCCCGATAGCTTTGAAGCCAGGCAAAGCATGTTGGAGACGACGCCAATGGCCTTGGTCAGCCGGCACGTGCCATTCAAAAGCTTGGAGCATCAACGAATTGTCAGGAGCGTCCCATGATGGGTGTTGATCCAAGTGCTCAGCTTCTTCTGCATTATGTACACACATAAGCCGGGATTCTGTCAAGGGTTACAGGGACTCACCTTCAATCTCCTTCCATAGCCGCTTCTCCTTTCTCTTCCCAGGTTGGCACCATGAAAGCAGCGACGGCATGGAGGAATAGTATGGCTTATGGGTTTGGAATGTGTCAAGAAGGGAGAGAGGAGCGAGACTATCTTCTCCCGGCAGCAGGGATTATGAGGGATTTTGTTGATGAGAACAGACGCGTCCACTGCCGGTTAGATGTAGGATGTGTCAACTGTCTATGTTGCAAAACACGTCATATTACTGGAGCTGTTTGTATGATTTTCAAGACATGATGACCAGAAGAATAGCGATGGAGCCCCTGGCCCTAGTGCGGTTTGTATTTTATATAGACAAAGCTTATCTGCAGGGCTGTGTGCCTAGTTATTCTATTTTTATGGAGGGTTCCCTGCAGGCGCCAGTGAATCGTTCTCTGATATGTATAGACCGTGTCGCTACTCTTGGATCAGATTCAAGCAACGAGATGTGTATGCTCTTTTTGATGACGATGCATGATTTTTTTGGCTCGCAGCCCACTTTACTGAAGCGACCAGATCTCCGGCGGCTTACCGTTGACCGAAAGGAGAAATTGCACCAATCAGTGGTCATGGAGCGTCTTGGCGGACATCACAGGTTTCAAGAGGTTTGCGATTTGCCGAACCAGAAAACCATCAACTCTGTCGCGATGATTCGGAAGGGGCGAGATTGATTTTGCTGTTTCAGCAACAGCCACAAGAACCAAGGCCGACGGACCTGGCAGCCGATGGACGATTCACCGGGCGCATTCCCAATGGAATCAATGCCTGAGGCTTCCGGTGTCGCAATGCTTGGCACTAATAGGCCTCAGCAGTACGGAGGTAGACTACACAGTCCACGATAGATAACCATGTCTTGACGATGGATATCTGTCCTCAAGAGTCAAGACCTTGTAGGCATTTTCTGGTCATGAGGGGCTTGTTTGCTATATATAGGTCATGGAGTATTGGAGATAGTAGTGTACTGGAATCTCCGGATCAAGTGGCTCAAACCCTGCACGAATCGGACGGAGGTAAATGGTCAACATCGCAGGTGACCGATCTTCATATCACATCCACATCTCCAAGTCCAAGAAGAGGGAAATAGCCTAGTTACTGTCATGGCGATGACGGAGTTCTTGGGGAGGTTGGTTGACCGGACGATCGGAGTTAAGGCCGTGGCAAGGCGCGCATTGGCCGCGAAAAGTTTTCGGGACCGGGTGTGCCGCTAGTGCCAAAAGCAGCGGGCGGCCATCCCTTTCAAATCCTCTTCTTCCGGGACTCCATTTTCTTCCCTTCCCAAACTCTGCAAAGCTTCAATTGCGTCGCTTTCCCTCCCCCCTCCTCATCTCCACACTCCTCTCTTCCCTTTTTTTGTTATTCATATACACCTACACACATAATGTCCGCCAACGCTAAGGTGGAGGCGCCTGCCGCCCCCGCTGCTCCCCAGCTCAGCGGTCTTCAGCTGTACTCCAGATTCGCCTTCGCTGGTGCTGTCTGCTGCTCCGTCACTCACGGAGCTCTCACTCCTGTCGATGTGTAAGTCGGACCATGTCGCCTTCGTCCTTTCGACCGCGCCTTGTTCCGCCTGGGGTGCGCTCGATTGTCGTTCTACACCAACCCTCAGGCCGATGCTGACGCGCTTTTTTTTCGTCTTGCAGCGTCAAGACCAGAATGCAGCTTGACCCCGTCACCTACAACCGTGGTATGATCGGTGGCTTCAAGCAGGTCATTGCCAACGAGGGTGCTGGCGCTCTCCTCACTGGTTTCGGTCCTACCGCCGCCGGCTACTTCCTCCAGGGTGCTTTCAAGTTCGGTGGTTACGAGTTCTTCAAGCAGCAGTGGATCAACCAGCTCGGTCTTGAGACTGCCTCCAACAACAGAACCGCTGTCTACCTTGCTTCCTCCGCCACCGCCGAATTCTTCGCTGATATCGCTCTCTGCCCTCTTGAGGCCACCCGTATCCGTCTTGTCTCCCAGCCTACCTTTGCTTCCGGTCTTCTGAGCGGTTTCGGTAAGATCCTCAAGAACGAGGGTGTCGGTGCTTTCTACTCTGGTTTCGGTCCTATCCTCTTCAAGCAGTAAGTTCCCTAGTTTCTGAACCGTATGAACCATGCTAATCCAATCCAGGGTTCCTTACACCATGGCCAAGTTCGTCGTTTTCGAGAAGGCTGCTGAGGCTATCTACGGTTTCGTTGACAAGAACACTGCCAGCGATGGTACCAAGACTGCTATCAACCTTGGCTCTGGTCTCATTGCCGGTTTCGCTGCTGCCCTCGTCTCCCAGCCCGCTGACACCATGCTCTCCAAGATCAACAAGACCCCTGGTGCTCCTGGTGAGGGTACTGTCACCCGTCTTATCAAGATCGGTAAGGAGCTCGGCTTCAAGGGCTCTTACGCTGGTATCGGTGCTCGTCTCTTCATGGTTGGTACTCTGACCGCTGGTCAGTTCGCCATCTATGGTGACATCAAGAGAGTCCTCGGTGCCACCGGCGGTGTGGAGATCTCCAAATAGACGTGAATTTATGTGACTGCTTTGGTGTATTATAATGCTCACTAGATTTGCGTTGCGTATACATTGTTTTCAATAGATTTTTCTGTTAGAAAGAAGAGTCTTGACACCAGATGCAGTGTGGTAGATGGGGAAAATATGATATCCTCGTTTACGATCTATATCACTCAATGCTTGGTCTTTATAGTAGCGATATGAAGTTATAAAACGTGTAGTTCATTTCAGCCTCAATCAGCCTCAAGAACACCAAACATAACAAACACCCATATGTACAACCTTTCACCCACCACAAAATCACATACGTCATAATCCTACTAAACAGACCACATCTCTACTTGCCCATCTAAAGAAAGTGGCATCAGGCGCAATGCACAAAATCGTTCCCAACACTATATTCCTCCATATTATGATATCTTAGAGTCGCAACTGGAAGACCCAACTGAACTACACTACCTGGTTGACAGTCAGAGATCGTTGTCTTCTTGCAGTAAGAAGATATCGTTATGGCAAGGACAACATAAGTGACGGGGATCACACCTGGAAAGTTCATTTTTAATGAAAAGACGTCTCTTGTTTTACTTAGGAGGTCAGGATGGAGAGCAGTGGCCAGGTAGAGGCTGTTGACTAGCAGAATCTAATGATCGGCAGCATAGGGAGTATAGTACGTCTGTCTCATTCGATCGTGTTGGTGAAGTCCCACCAGAACCAAGCGACGAAGAGTATCCATCGCGAAGGCCGTGCTGCGCCACTAGCCTTGATAGGATAAGGTATAGGTGATCAGGCCGACAGCTATGGCCGTATACATGGGATGGCAATTGTGAGAAGATCTGGACACTAGTCATGGCAGACTGGTTGCGATCGTAAAGGCAGCAAAGACCACCCGGTAACCCACAATAACTTGGTCCCATGGCATCATAGCAGCACCGCATGAGAAACAAGCATCTAGCTGAGGGAACATTTAAGATACAGGGCTGGTTAGAGTGCAGATGCCGATATCTTTGCGATGCCTGCGGTGAGAATCCGAGTCCATTGCATTCAAAAAGCTGACTAGACCAGCGGGCACTGAACGAGCTGATGGGACATGATTCGAGCGTGTCAGATGTTCTCCCCTTGTCTTCGAGCCACGATGGCTTCCAAAAAGTGTCTCTGCCTCCACGGACATTAGACCTGATCGCCCTTAACCACCAATGAGCTGTAAGTGTCAGAGTGAATGCTCGCTGTGCGTCATGTCCAGCAGATCAAAGCCAGCGAAAGGCTGTGTGATATTTCCCCTGTTACCGCCGTGTCCATGTGGATAAATTGAATGACCATCTGTGGTGTGGACGCCTATAGGGAATAGCATTGTCTGGCAAGGATGACAGTTCTCATCGACAGCGAATCGAACCCATTTTCACCATTGGAACAGACCTAGCAGCCAAGATAGCTGTTGCGATCAAGCCGCTTGTTTTATGCGCCAGGGGCCTGTGCTTCAGTGGTCGGTCAGCAACGGCATGGATGGCCCCCAAGTTTACTCCAGGCACCTGCCATACGATGTTTCATACCCGATTCAAGTACAGACGCGCGCTGAGCAAATATACCCCCGCATGGCTTCCGCATTCAATCGAGCCGGGAGAAATGATCCTGTTACGACCAGTGGCACCAGGGGGCGGTCTACACCCTGTTTTAGCCATTAAGCCGTGGCCAACGGCCACAATTTGATTGTACCCTACCCGTCCTGTCCACTGAGTAATTTCGTCACTAATCTAATCAGCTAGTCAGTGGAGCAAAAGTCTCTGCTAAACAATAGTCGTATCTAGGCGCCAAGTCACGTCTAGCGGTCTCAACCTCGTGGACATCTGCCATTCCTAGGACGAAGCACACCGTGGGAAAGAACCCAAAAAGATATGGACGTTATTCAAACACGATTATCGAGCTTTCACACTTGAGGAATGTTGGTCTGCATGATATCTGTGGCTGAGCGAGGATGATCGTCGCGCAAGAACTCCTCGTGCCAGGAAATGAAGCCGGACGCTACTAAACAAGCGCGAAGATCAACGGCCTCATGCCATTCGTCCAATTCCCCAGCGCTGCAGACCATCAGCCACCGGCGTGTGTTCAATGGTGATGGTGATGCGGGTTGCTGCATGATCACCCGTTCTATATTTGTCTCCTTTTTCTGGTTCCCAGTCTGCGCGCTGTCGAGGACTCGTACCACCATGACCTCCACAGTCCACACATTCCACCCTTGCTTATCACAAACACTTTAATATGACTCGCCTGCCCACATCACCCTCAATTTGCGGTTGCTGTCATTAGTTTCTCAGTGCTGCGACTTGCTGTCGCTAGCTGTAGACGTCTAATAATTATACGACATCCTCCATGTTCACGCGTCTGTGGGATCTGTCGTGACTCGTGCGACCATGGCAACGGCATATACTGTCGCCTCGACGGCATCATCGACTACATACGGATGGGAGTCCAACTCCACGCTCTCTCCCCAATATAACGGATTCTACTCTCCATCGCCGGAACAACAGCAGGAGCGGCAGACCGACCAGGAGACCGTGAGCGCATTTTGGAAGTTCCTCGCGGCTTGTTCATCGTACATGGTGCTTGCGGGGTATGTACTACGATTCCGTTGCAAAGTGACGTCTGACTGAACAGTTCTACAGCTTCCTAGTAATGCCCCTGGCATTTGGCAATGAAGAAAAACAATCGCATGTCGACAAAACGTCCACAATAATTGCCGCCTCGGTCTTGATTGCGATCGGATACGTGACATCCCTCATGTTGGTCTGCTTCCAAGGACATGAGCGGGCATACTTGCTACACTCGCTATTTTTGTACGTCCTTCCACATGTTCGAAGCTTATCGACTAACCTTCCAGACCATGCATCGCATCCAATCTCCTCGCCCTACTAAACGTCCTGCTCAACGTCCTCTACCGCAACTTGCACCCCCTGGGCACCCTGGAGATCGTCAGTCTGAGTCTTCCGAGCGCATTCGCATTCCTTTCAACCATGGGAACCTTGTGGAGCTATGTTGGAGACAATTATGTGGTGACCCGAACGGGGAAGCATCAGAGTCCGTTGACCGAGGAGGAAATGCAGCGGCAACAGCTGCAGCGACTTTTAGATCATAGTTCCAAGGGGCCCAGTCCGAGAGTCATCCAGAAGACATTCCGGGTCAGTGCTCCTGAGCACATTAACCCAGGCAAAGGCTGGGATACATTTACCCCTGCGCGTCGAGATGAAGGATATTCTAACCGATGGACGCCTGCCTAATATCTTCTGCCATGCGCCATGGCACTTATACTAATCATTCTGTTCGATGCAGGTGCAACTTAATAGACTACTCAGCTTAATGAAACTAATGTGTCCAGAAATGAATGCTTCTGCATCGTATTAAAATCGAGCCTGTCTGTCGTAGACTAATCCACATTTGATCCTACAGAGACACCTTTGAACATGACCCAAACCCAACAGACATCCTATCCAACCACCCTCTCCTCCAACTCAATGCCAAACTGCCCTTTCAGCTCCTCCCGCAACAAGGCTGCAATCTCCGGCGTTGACCACGGCGCCACCATTCCCTTCTGCGAGATACGACCCTCCAACACAGCCAACACGCCCACGGCACACGGCAAACCCACCAGCTTAGCGATGGCACTGCGCGATTCTTCAGCAAGAGGCTCCCCATACTCGACCAGAGTACTGGTCCTCTTCTCCATCGACCCATCCGCACGCTCAATCCCAAACACATGCTGCAAAATAATCATATCCCTCTCCCCAGGTTCATAAGCCATGCGGCGCTCCAACAGGGCACACAGCGTATCCAGCGGCGTGCCACGTCCATCCACCACGGTCTCAGCATCAAACAAGCCAATCCACTCCAAGCCCTTGACCACCCGCTCAACCTCCTCCTCATCATCAATAAAACACGCCACCGTTCTCACCACCGCGTCCCTCACCACCTCATCCGTACGCTCCTCCATACAAATCCCCACCAACAACCCCGTCAGCTCCAACCAACTTATCCCCTCGTCATCATCTCTCAACACTGGGATCTCCTCTATCCCAAAATACCCAATCTCAACCAACGCCCCCACCACCCCCGGAAATCCCTTATATCTCAACGTCCCCCTAAACACATCCCTCGCCTCCGGGATTCCATAAAAATCTCTAAACCCAGTTGCATTCCGATTCGGTAACCCCACCATTTCCACACCCTGCAAAACCTCCCCAAGCCCAAACCCATCCACATCCACAACCCTCGCACTCCTCATCAACTCCCTCTCCCGCACCCCCACCTTATTCTCCCAATACCACCGCCCCTCATTCAACAACGCCAACAAAACCCCCCTAGGACTCCACGAGAACTTATACCCCAATGGATTATCCGCATTCTCAGGGGCAGGAACCGCCCCACACCAACTCTCAAACGACCTCACCTTCCCACCGGAGGAATGAACCTCGTGGATGGTTTTCATGGCATACAGATGGTCGATTCCCGGGCCGAGGCCGATTTCATTCAGAACTGTTATGCCAGCGGCGCGGGCTTGGTCATGGAGGGCCCAGAGAGAGGGGGAGATGTAGCTTGTCGTGACGACGGGTTTGTGGTGGGTGATGGCGGCTTGGATGATTGTGGGGTGGTAGACGTAGGGCAGGAGGGAGATGATAATGTCTGTGTTGGATATTGCGGTGGAGAGGACGTCGGCGTCGTCGGGGAGGGTGAGGGCGACGGCGGTCGTGTTGGGGTGGTTGGAGGCGAGGCGTTGGGCGGTGGTGAGGGCTTAGATGGTGGGAGTGCAGACGAAGCCGGAGCCGAGGAGGAGGGCGCGTTGGGGGGGAAGGGATGGGGGGCATAGTTGGTGGTGGTCTTGATAGTAATAGTATGGTTTAGTTGATTTGGGGGTTGGGTTGAAGGTCTTTCTGGAGAGTGGAAGTGGAAGTGGAAGTAGAAGTAGAAGTAGAAGTAGAAGTAGAAGTAGAAGTAGAAGTAGAAGTAGAAGTAGAAGTAGAAGTAGAAGTAGAAGTAGAAGTAGACAGTGGAAGAGGAAGAGGAAGAGGAAGAGGAAGAGGAAGAGAAAGAATGTGGATAGTATTATTGATTGATAGTAACCATTGGTCATGACTCACTGACCTGACGGAGTAGATGATGGTGACATATACGGATAGTAGTACGGGGTATTTTACTCGAATGTGACGTGACGGGCTTGCCTTAGTCTCTGTCTGATATTGATTAGGGAGTCTTATCTCTTTGCAAGTTTGCATTTGTATTAACGTTTGGAAAGGTGCTCTGAAATGATGTAAATAATGCTGCTGCATCAACGCAAGCATACATAGTCTTCGTAAATAATTGGCAGACACCTCTCTAATCGTCGCTACATGACTGGAAAATCAATACGGCTCAAACATACCAGTCTGTCTTCTATTTCCCTTACACATGCATGATGGATTATGAGAGGTCCAGGCGGTTGAGGTGACTGGCGTGTACTAGATATGTTCTTGGGATGCTTCCTACCTGATGCATGACACTGAAACAAACCTCTTTGAGTGAGCTTTATAGATATGCCCTTGTCTCGAAATATCTGCTGCCGGTACAGGCAGTCATTGCATTTCTGTCCGATCCCCCAGACATGCACACCTCCTGGGTAAACTGCCATTGGTGCTGGGGGGGGGGGGGGCGCATGGACCGGGGCGGAGAGGTTGGTGATTGTTCCCACCCCCAGAAGGCAGGTCAGCATGAAGAGCGCGCAAGGTTGCAGCGTCGAACTGGCCATATGTATTCCAGAAGTTGATCGAGTTCCCAGTCATAGCATTCGAGTCTCCAGTTGATCATTGCCTGCTTATCCGGCCCCAATGCGGCGCGAAAGCTGGTGGTAAACCGATGATTTAGGACCCGGGCAGCGCGTAGCCGTTGTAGGTGGGTGGAGTATGGAGGGTTCATATGGTGATCAGACGGTAGCCAGTGTCTGCATGAGACCAAACATACACTGGCTCGTAAGCCTGGTGATGATGATGATGCTGACTACTTTGGTTGTCATCACGTGGTGGGCAGACCAAAGGTGCCGTAGCCTCTCCTCCGAACTGAAGACGAATTGGTTTTGGATATGGCGAATATGATATTACTAGTAAGTAGTAGCTAGGATTGATGGCATTCCCAGGATGGTCTGTTGGAGTTCACCTTGCGGTCTAGTGAAGGGGATTATCCGAGTGAGTGCTATTGACTTGGTGAATACGGAGCTAGATGGCTACGCCAAGAAATGTATAGATCTGCAATCAGTGACCCGTAGGCCACAAAACGTGTACCTTCATTCAACTAGACCTAAGTCAAAGCAACGACCTTATGTACAGCTGCAGACCATCTGCTTCCAGGACCTTTCAGCTATAGTGGTCACCTGGGTCTTACACCGGATCCACGGCAGCGCCGTTCTAGCATACCTGGCAACAACACAAAAGAGAACACGACTGGTAAGGGGAAAAAGGAGGAACAACGAAGATAAGAGAAACCAACCTTGTCCGTCTGACCCAGTTCTCGAGCTGACCGCAAATGCGATGCACACCAGATCAACTGCAATATGGTCAGAGTCAGCTGGGAATATTTGCTCAATCATTAATGTATGTTCATCCAATTAATGGGATGGGTTGGATTCAAACCCGGATACTGTGAGGGTGGTGGTGTCTCTCGGACTGCATAGGGGGCCTGCCCCGGCGCGAAAAAAGGGTATCGATTCGGTTCAGACACGGTTCAGGCGGGCATCGCGGTGTTGGTGATTCCGTTGGTGACCTGGCGTTTCGCCGCCGGGTGGGAAGGGTCCTGCACAAACAGTCGATATCAGTCATACCCACACATCTAGAAACGCTCGAGCACTGGGCGACGGGCGAGGATTCGATTGCCGTATGGTAGCCGGTTCGCTGCTCGTAAGCTACTTTGGCTTCTTGCGTGCACTTACGTCCAAGGATTCGATTCCGCGTTTCTGGCCGACCTCGGCTTTCTTGACGATCTTCTTCTTCGGGCGGGTCGGGCGAGTCTCTCCCGCTTGGAAAACATCGTCCGGCAGGTCGAAGCTGAGACGAATGTTAATGACCATCATGAGGCAGGGTACATGCCACTTACTTGCGGACATGGGTGATCGCCAGATCATTGATCCCAGGCTGGTATCCTGCCCACGAAGTACACGTCGATTTGAAGATCTGGGCGTCGGTCGAGATATCCAGCGACCGGGAGGCACCTAAAAAGTCAGTGGAATCATATGGGAGGATGGTGCCGCTTACCTGGCTCGAGTGGCTTGAGTTCCAGGCCGATGTAGTAGGTCGTCGTGTACATGACATGAGTGTCATCGGCGGGCTTGTTCTCGGCTGCTGCGACATCAGTGTTCTCGGCCCCATTCAGCGCCGCAGCCTCATGAGCTGCGTCCTTCGTTTCATCGGTCGTCTCAGTTTTTGTTCCTTTGTCCTGGTATTTGGTGGACCCAGACTTGACGGCCTCGATCTCATTCTCGGAAGAGACCAGATGGACCCTCTCGAAGCCCTTGGGGAAGGGATGAGCAACCGCGATCGTTGCTTTCCGATCCAAGGCCCCAACAAGATGTCTGATCTTAGATTCAACCAGACCAGACCACACCGACTCTGCCTCCTTGGTTCGGCTGGATGCGGTGATGCTGAGGTAGTATTTGTAGTCGCGTGTGAAGAAGGTGTGTCGCGCAAACAGATCCTCCCAGCGCAGCTGTTTCAAGAAGATCTTGTCCACAATGTCTCCACCGCGCTGAAGTTCACGAAGGATAACGGCCTTGGTGGACATGGAGACGTTGTGTGTCGCGCACATGGAGGGATAGGCCGGAGTGATGATGGGCATCAGGTGGAATCGATCGCCGTGGTAGATCTATACCGATTAATGCTGTGCCAAACATCTGATGAACGATCGTGCCTACCTTGGGATTCCAGACCTTCATCTGAAGAGGTCCATCTTCAATCGGCTTCAACAAAACCGGCTGAGGCCATGCCCACTTATTCATGATCCGGAAGAACTTGCCGACGATCACCGAGCCGGTTGCCTGGGGGTACAATTGACACACTCTTGCGACCAACATAGCCCAAGCTACACCACCCGGGAAACCCACAATGTTCGAGTAAATCGCTCGACCTGTTATGACTTAGCACGACCCGTTCACGGACATGGAGGCACGTACGTTGGGCCCAAAGTTTGATGGCACGCAGGGCCAACCGGAACGTCTTCTGCTGGGGCACAAGCTCCAAAATCTCATCGGTCACACGAGTGCCGTTGAGCGATCGGACCTCCCTCTCATCGAGTCCCCGCAAGTAATCATTATTCTTGAGATCCAGGTTGATTGGAATCGCAGGTATGATCAAACGAGCAAAGATCAAATCGATACTGATGCCAGACAACTCGAGCTTGATGATCGGAACGTAGGCATCTGGAACCGGAGTCATCTTTTCAATAGCGCCCGGGGGAGCCATTTTCTCAAGAATTGGTGGGAAGTCGGAAAAGAAATCGTCAATTACGACATGCTTCGGGCCAACGACCAAGGTATCAATATCCGATCCTGTAAACAACACAAATCAATACCGTGACCCGCTCGTTGCAGATTAATCCAACTCACCCGGCCCATAAACACCCAGGCGATAACTCCCATACGTAAAGATCTTCCCTCCAGCCGCCTCCACAGCTGCTGGAGAGAGTCCTTTCTTCCGACTGACGGTCTTGACAAATTCGAGGGTGACACGCTGGATGAGCTGCAGCACTTGTTGCCTAATGCGCAGTTGAACTTAGCGCCCACCCGATCAACCAACACTCATCGAACTCTTACCTTCGGTCCGTCTCCGCAGGGCTTTCGAAATTATTCTGAACCTTCAACTCGGTGATAAGGTCGTCATTTGCTGCGAGCTCGTCCGAGGTCGGCAAAACGGTGGAGATGGGAGGAGTGACTCCCCACTGCCGAACTGGTGGTGCCGCCATCTTGAATCTCAACTAGATAGAGTATTGCAGAAGCATGCGATTGCGCCGTCTACCAACAAGCGGCTAGGCACAGGAAGGAGAGACAAAAGAACGACTAGTGAAAAGAATTAGGATATGGGCAGACAAAGGAGATATCTGGCCGGTGAACTCAAAGTAACGAAATGGAAAGAGAAAGCAAGAAGGGCGAAGGGGAATGCAGAGCAGCTTGATCGATCGGGGTTGGAAATGAGGAGGCGTCGCCGGCCGAAAAGAGGAAAGGTGCGCGCAGCTGACTCAGCACATACCCATCATCACGTGCACCGCGATTAACACCAACTCAAGACGTGCTGGCTGGTGGGTCTAGAACTACTTCTGTGTACACAGAACTCTGTACTGACACTATTCATGCTAATTGCTACTCCCCCGCAGCCAATCATCAGGTATTGCTGATAAATCAATTTGTTTATCCAACACAGATCTAACACAACTCAGTTCTTGTCAAAGAACTCCGCCAGCCGCTCATCCAACCATTTGACATCGTCCTTGCTCTGGCCCGGTCCACCAGCCCAGTCTGCACAGCAACGTTAGACATGTCCAGTTGATGTAGCACGGAAACTTACGGCCCCAGATGGAGGGAAAGACGTCGAGAGTTCCGATTGCCCGCTGCATAAAGGCAACCTCGTATTCCGAATCCTCCGGCCTATCGAATGTCAGCATCGCCACTCAGGAATCAGCACTGGGCAGCACTTACGGGAAGTAAAGGTCCGTCTTGCTAGGTAACACCAGCGTCTTCGCCTTGATGGAGCCCAACGCCTTCTCGAAGTTACCATTATACGGCTCCTGCAGGGATACATCACCATTCTGCCATGTCTGCAGCATCGTCAAAAGGTTTCCGGGATCTGATGGCAGTCAGCATCTCACTGCAATCCTCAACTCAGTAACCAACCTTTCGAAAGCGCCCAACTTTCCCAGAAATTCTGCATAAAGTCCTCCAAATCCTCGAATCCCAACGCCGTCTCATACAACTTCTCCCTATAAAACGCCTGCGAGAAACCCCTACGCAATCACCGCATTAGCCCCAAACCCATCACGCCACAAGCATAGCATAAACTCAACTCACCAGCCCGCATAACCCCTCCCAAAAGCCTTCAACCCAACCTCCTTCTCCGTTTCACTCCAAGTCCTCAAAGTCTGCTCCGCATTCAGGACCCCACCCTCCCCCGAACCCTTAGACGAGATATGCTTCGCGGCCATCAGCGCCGTCTTGACTCCCTCCAAAAACACCTTGTTATGCAACGACGTTCTCGCAGACCCACAAAACGGCACCACCAGGTCCATGAAATCCGGATACTGCGTCGCCCATTGATAGCTCTGACCCGCGCCCATCGACCACCCAAGAACTGCCCTGAGATGAGTAATCCCCAGATGCTTTGTGACTAACTCATGCTGAGCGCGCACGTTATCATAAAACGAACATCTCGGAAACGCCCCGGCATTCTCGTAATTCGAGGGCGACGTCGACTGTCCGTTTCCAAATAGCGCCGGAACAATGATATAGTACTTCTCAGGATTAAGCGTCTTATCCTCCCCGATTAACCAGTAATTGCCAGAGAGCCCTAGAAGGAATTATTAACTTGAACCCTCAGAATACCCCCGGGGGTTAAAGGCAGGTCAGGAAAAGAACACATACATCCCGAAAACCAAGAGGGATAGACAATTGCGGGGGAGCTCGGATCCCCGAACGTCTTGTATGCGATGTGAGCATTGACCAGCTTCTCTCCACTTTGTAGAACCCAGTCGCCGAGAGGGAAGGTCTCGTAGTCGGTTTCAGCCATTTTGAAGCTGCAAGATGTAGAATTGTTGGAGATGGGGGTGTTTGCGTACTGCTGTGGGCTTATGAGGATGAGATGGTGGTGGTGGCTCGATTAACGGCGGCTACTGTCGGGAGTGCCGACTTCCTTCGTCTTCCCCGCTCATGCTATCTCTCGGTCATTGCGGAGGACTTTCAATTGGTATTAAAAATGCTCTGCGTGTCGGTGTTGGCTTATCGGAGGATATTGATAAGGTTGTCTTCTATTCTAGTGCATCCTCTATGGGTATAATATGCGTGTGTACGTCTAGTCATCTTCTGAATCAATACAGATAGGAACTACCCAATCCTTCGTTCGCATGTTCATAAGGTCATCGGCTAGGAACTCAACTCCATGCCGCAACAAGCTCACACAGCGTCTCCTCTCCTCCCACGTTCCCCGGAAACACAACAAACGGTACCTCAGCATGTCTCGATGTTGGTTCATCGCACCGCCATAATGGCACCCCTGGCGCTGCCTGTCCGACAATCATGGCGTGTTTGATATTGAGACCCTTTGTTGCTGCGTCGGAAGAGGTGATTCCGCCCTGTGGTGGGTGGGACAACCCGTTAGTCATGATATAGGCACACTTGGTCCCATTCAACGAGAAAAGAAAAATCACACGGGATAAGGACAAGGAAAAGAAGCATACCTTAGCAATAATATACCGCGGTCTAACCTCCACCCGTCGCAACACCTCCACCAACGCCTCTGCAACCTTGGATCCAATTGCCAAACTCGACAATTCGTCTTGTCCGGTGATCAGCCGCCGGCTCGTCATTACAAGTGTGTCTGTTCCCGAGAGAAGATGAGACTCGACCTCCTTCACGACACGGGATATGACGGACTCGGACTGATCGGCGGAGGTGATCAGCTCTTCGACACTCAGTTCGATGATAGCGAGGGTGTTGGAGCCGGAAGGACCGCGGCGGTCGGTGAGGACTTTCAGCTGGGAAGTGGTCTTGGGTACGTAGGAGCCGGCGACTATTAGGGCGCCAGTTTGTCTAGGAGCTGGAAGAGAGAGGTCCTGCGCTGTTAGAGGGGGTTGGGAGCGAATGCCGAGGCTGGTGGAGACGAAGGCGGCGCCGGTGCGGTAGAGGTAGTGTTTTGCTTTGCCTTTGAGTTGGGATTGGGATTTGGCTTTTCGAAGAGAGCTTAGCGGATGGTATGAGGGTGCTTTGGATGCAGCGCTTACCTTGAAGAAGACCGGCAACAAAGACGTGCATGTCTGATTCGGCAGCGGCGTTGACAATCACCACACCTCCTTTGGGGATGGTCAAGAGCTTCTCGCAGACAGTATTGGCCCCCCCAGTTCGGATGTCTTCGATTGTGATCGAATGAATATGATGTGGTGTGAACCGCCCAGGAGCCTTTTCCATCACGTAGTCGCGCAGATTCGAGCTCTTGTATCCAAACGTTGCGTCGCGGGCGAATTGGGTCGCACCGGCCGGGACGAGATTCTCACCTTCGGCTACGTAGTGGACGTCGTTGATCGTGAGTCGTCCTCCCTGGAAGAAGAAGGGCGCGAGCACGATGGCATCTGCAAGACCGAAGACAGACTGTGCAACGTCGGCTTCGAGAGGAAAGTGACCACGGAGTGTGCTGTCGCCGCGCAGTACGATATCGACAGTTTGCCCGGCAAGTTTGGCAGCTTCGAGGACATTTTCGCAGATAGTCCGGATCAGTTTTTCGGCCTCGATCGGGGGAAGAGCGCGCGAATTGGTCAAGATGAAGAAGCCCGGGGTCGAGGGTTGTTGGAATTGCTCGAGCAGAGTAGGAATGTCCCACACGGTGAGGACGGAGATATTATGGCAGGTTTGGGTGCCGGTTGGGTCATCATCGAGCACGACAAGGCGACTGAGAGAGGAGTTGGAAAGAAGCTCGGAAATCTGGTCTTGCGCGTCAATGGTGGACTCTGGTGGTAGCTGAGCCAGAGTGCTGTCGCGTTGAACCACGGGGTATTCACGAGGAGTAGCCATCGTTGACCTTGAATTGACTTGCTGAAGAGAATTGGCCCGGAAGCATGAAGCTTAAGAGGTGGAGAGGGAAAGCGGGGATCGGCGAGAAAGCCGAAGTTGGCCCCGCAGTAAGGCCAGGAATTCATCATATCCAAAATGTCTGGGTCGATTATCAAATGCAACTCATGTCTCGCATGCTATCGACAGGAAAATCTGGACATCAACAAACATGCACCCATGCAGAAACCCCAAGCGCCGTGACATGTGCAGAGATGCAAGCCGGTCATCATGACTGAAGCATGACTGAAGCGTGACTGAACGCGGATATCCCAAGCAAAAACAAAAGGAAAATGAATGATCGCACAGATGGCTTCCAATCCGTCATTATACATGTCCTCCCTTTTATTTTCCATGATAAGCAAAACCCTGTTGTTTCCCGACACTCCCCACACCCTCATCCCTCGCGAATCGATGAAAAGCAGAAACAAACCACCCGAAGCAGGACATAGGAGAGAGCATTAGCAGTCACGCCGAGATCAACGTAGCATGTAGAGCATAACACAAAAGGAAAGTCTAGAGACTTAAGTCTTAACCGACAACACTGCGGAAGCTGAGCGCTTCCAGGAAGCCTCCCAGGTCTTCCTTCTGCACTTCCACCACACAGTGCTCGAAACTGTCAATGCGCACTCGAGCGCTGGTTTCTTGCACCACCTCCTGGAACGCAATACCAAATCGGTTCCGCAGGAGGTGATTGTTGGTTCGCAGGTCCTGCTCATCTTCGGACTCGGACTCCGATTCCGATGATGATTCCTCTGTATCCTCCTCCTCGTCGCTATTGTCTGCGCGCTCTGCTGCGCGCTTGGCGCGACGTTCTTCTCGCTCCTTTCGCTTCTTCTCCTTGGCTTCTTTCTTCTTGCGTCGCTCTTCCCGGCGTTTGGCCAAGGCAGCAAAGTCGACCACTCCGCCACCTCCTCCGGTACCCACGACAACATAGAGATCTCGATCCTCATCAAGCCCGGCAAGTACAAGCGGAGTGCCCAAGGCCCGCCTGCGGCCGACCTTAACGGTATCTCCTCGTTCACGTTCTTGCACCCGAATAGCCTCTGCGACCCACAAGGCCAGCTTCGTCAATGCCCCGGGGTTTGTGAAGAGCTTCACATCCGGGCCATCTTTGACCACAGCGATACGGAACGCTCGCAGATGTCGAATTTGGTGTTTTGCGAGGAGCGAAGTACCGGTGCGAAGGATGGCTCGGTGGAGGTGCTGGGCAAGAGGGAGCGAGGTCTGAAGAAGCGTTGGGGATTCCGAAGTCAGCGACAAAGCGTCATAGGCGCTCCAAAACCGAGGGAGAAGACTGGCTAGATCGGACTCGGTAGACCCATCATCATTAGCCGTCTGAGCCGTTCTGGACGCGCGTTTGGCATCCCACGCCCCGGGCGCTTCCTCAGGTCCAACCTCAAGGATTGCACCGATGATGACACCCACATCGGTGGCGGAGAGACAGGCTTTCCAGCCCCAGCAGCGGACAAACCCCCATCCCTCGCGAGAGGCGGCATGTCCAGACGCCTCCGGCGGTACAAGTCCGTCCAAGCCGTACATCGGCGCATACTTCAAAAGGCGTTGTCGCAGTACCCGCTTCAGCTCCATGTCCATGTGTGTATAGCTTTGGTGGCTTTGGTTCAGACTGATTCCCATCTTGGCTAGCAGTTTGTGCAATCGCTTTTTTCCGTTCTCCGTCCAGACATGAAGCCTGGATGCCAGGTACGGGCTGTGAAGCATGCTGTCATAGAGCGACCAATGTCGCACAAGGATGAAACGAGGTTCGGGAGACAAACGAATCGACTTGTCTGTCGGTGACCTTGCTGTAGTGGGGATGACACCGTTGATCTCCCCCCTGATGTCGCGGTCTCGCTCATAGGGATCCGGGGGGTTCAGTCGCAAAACCTCATCGCGTAGAATCTGCCGTATTCGTTCGCCCCTCTCTCCACCCCAGCCAGCCGAGCCTCCATACTCCAACGCATTGGAAACACCCACTCCAGACATTGTACGGCCACTTAGTTCCAAGCTCGAGACACCCACGATGGCCAGCCACAGTAGATCATTATCTTCACGACCGAGCTCGGATGCAAGCGAATAGACAAGGGATGATATCGGTTCTGAGTACGACGTCCCTGACGAATAGTAACTCTGTAGCACCCCCTCATGCTTCCTCTTCAGGCGCAGCAATCGCCGTCTCAACGTGCGCGCAGATGGCGGTTTCGGCTGTACGGGCGACGGTGAATCTGACGTTGGCGTAACGGAGCGTGACGAATTGGACGAATCATGCGCCATCGTCCGCGGGCGAGACGGCGACGAGATGAGATAGGACCCCTACAAGACACATTAGCACTAGCTCAACACCACGACCATGACGTCAAACTAAACCCACCGAATCACTCCTCCTCCGCTGACGCGGGGGCCCATCCTCATCATCCGTATCGTCGTCATCATCCTGGCGGGACCATGATTTGCGCTTCTTCGAATCTGAACTCGAAGGATGGTCCGCATCACGATCACTCTCTGAATCGTCTGCATCATCTTCCTCCTCATCCACTTCGGGCATAGCCAACAACTCACAATATGCGTCCCGCTCCTTACCTAATTCCTCTTCGATATCCCCATCATCATAAACCACAATCCCCCCGTTCCTGGACGTATATCCCGTTGTAATGCATCCCTTCTCAACGCCGCGCGTTTTTCGTCTCGCATTAGCATTCATCTCCCCCACCGCGGGCTGTCTCTCACCCCCGAACACGTTTGCCAAGTTCCATGGCCGCCGCGCGTCAAACACCCAGACCTCGACCCCTCCCATATCCTCCTCTTCCTCTTCCTCCTCTGCATTACTCAAACAGAGGATCTCACTCAGGTCCACTAGCCCGCCCACCCCCAGGCAAACGACGACCCCACCACTGCCGCCATTCGCCGTTCGCATTGGCTTCACCAACTCCTCCCCGGCGCGAGCGAGATCGCCATACCCGGCCACCGGTTGAATCTTATGCGGGATATAGTCGCGTTTCAAGAGGGCCGTGAGAATTCGGCAGGCACATAGCGCATCGGGTTCGAGGGTCACGAGAATCAGTACGGGCGGGGAGAGCGGGTGGTGGGAGCGGAGGAGTTGTTGGTAGAGATGGGAGATGAGTTGTCGAGGGAGATACATGGCGAGAGGGAGGGCGAGGGAATGGGAGGTTTTCTAACCCTCGAACCGACACGAAGAAGCAATCACGGTGGACTATTTAGTGGGTAGAACGCGGGTAGGTATGTGTGTAGAGGGCGACGAGAGGGAGGGCCGTGGGGGAAAGGAAGAAGCGAACGGCCTTTGACTGAGGGGGAAAATGAAGGATATGAGAACGGTAGACGAGTCGAAGACACTAGACTCGAGTCCACTCCATTGTTATTGTTATTGTTGTTGTTGGTCGTGGACTTGTGGTGAAGGAGGATTGTGTGCCGGGGAAACTGGGCGCTGTAATAATCGGACGGCGCGCGCATCTCCAGCCCGACGACGCGTCTGGCACGTGCGGAGGTCGCCGCCAAGACCCTCCCCATTATGGCCCTGCAGGATTTCGTCTGCTCGTCGGCATGTTGCAGCCCCCCTTTCTTCAGAATGTATGTAGTAGTACTCCGTAGTAGTACATACTGAATAGATAGGGCTTGCCCCGGGGGGTTGACACGGACTGGTGTTTCTGGATCGATGGTCGAAGGAAGCATGGGCTCGTCCAGTCTCAAAGCATATCGCCCGGGTCTGGGCGTGCGTCAAGAAACAGTGCATTCACTATGTATACATGCCAAATTGATTATAGAGGTAATATGAAAAGAAGAGACCCCTGAAACGCCACCCCCGCGCTATCCTGTCAATAAAATTCCGGATGCAGTATCCAGGACGGTGACCAACTGCATTCTAAGAGTAATGCACAGTATGACTCGCATAGAACGCAATGGCATAGCGTCAAGTTCAAGCCGAGGACGCGCCCAAGATTGACCCTGTAAGCCAGGCAGCAGCACACGCGCCCAGGACGGATATCCCGACAAACCGCTTCTGCCACATAGACTCCTCGGACATCTTCGCAGCCCCGACCTTCGTCCCGACCGTGTAATGCGGGGAAGACTGCGAATGCGCACTCGCATCTTCCGGCACAAACGACTCATTCTGTCGGATGAGAGACTCGTGGTCGCGTGCGCGCCATCTCGCCACGAGTCGGGCAATCTCAATCAGATCCTCCCTCAGGGAGCCCGGCTCCGTCGCATTGACATTCTCAACTTCGACGTTCTGCACATTCCCGAAGAAATCCGCCACAGTCCGTAGGCGGCCCTCTTGCTCGCCACCGGGGAACAGATCCCACCGCACGCCGGGCTGGGAGTGGATCTTGGACTCGTCATACGAATCGAACAAGTCGCCCAGCGTGAGTTTGGAGTTGGCGCTCGTCACCTGAGTCTCCAAAAATTCCAACACATAGTATGTCCAGCGATCAATCACCGCAACACCCACATCATTGTCCGCATGGTGAGAGTAGGAAGACTGGTCAAGCGCACTGGATCCGGTCGCAATGATATTCGGCGAGTAGAAATGCGTGTACATGGTGTTTGCCTGGCACGTATCGATCATGAACAATAGCTCGTGGTAACGCTTCTTCTCCCACATCTGACCGAAGGCATCCGCCAAGTCCCACGCCCCGATTTCCTCGGAGTCTTGGAACTTCAGGAACTGGTCTCCGCCGTGGCCGGTCATGTATACCAGGACGTTACTTCCTGCATCGGAGCCCAGGCGCTTGCTGCGCGGTACATCTTCATCCAAGCGATCGGTCAGGAGGCGGATGAAGTTTTCCACGGTAACCTCGTACCCCCGATAGTCCACCTCGATATTGTCGCCGTAGAGATCGACTGCGCGATCCGCGTTACTGTAAACGGTTCCCGGAAACGCATTGCGGGGGTTGCAGGCCATGTCATCGGGGAGCATCAGGATGATCTGCGAGTCGGGGATGCCCAACCGCTTGACGGTCCGGTACAGGGAGAGGACATTGGCGAGATGACGGTAGTTGAACCAGAATCGGGAGGTTGAGACGAGGACAGCCCAGTTGGAGGTGTGTTCAGAGGACACTGTAAGGGTAAGTAGAAACAGGAGGAGGGGGAGGACTCGAAGGAGCCCAGAATATAGCTTCGACATGGCTAGTGATGGAGATTAGGCCATTGCAGACGCCCTCAACCGGCGACTCGGCAGCAATAATGATGATGATCAATCAAGCCGCACTCGGGGAGACGGAACCATTCCTGAGGCAGAAAGGCGGAGAAGCAGTGGAGTGCATTAACCTGTTATGGCATAGCCTTGTCAGTGACGTATTTATCGCGGGTCTCGTACCATAATAACATTAACTGATAAATACACTGCAAAAGAACGATCCAGATACACGACAGTCATGCCATTATGTACACTGGGGATGCGAGAGAAAGCAAACAATCTTATTGCAAGAAGTAGGAGGAAGTATCAAAGAGTAAAGCTCCAGAACGAACGCCCCTAAGAGCTATCAAACGGGAGTAGAGAGGCCGCATCTCCGACCGGCACGACTTGTGGCGGTGGATTTAACTACGGTTTGATGTTGCGGTTCTGGGGAGCAGTCGTTGGCCCAGGAAAAACCAAAGGCGGCTTGGCCAGATGAGAATGAAGCTTTTTGAGCGTTTCTCCAATGTCGTTCAGGCGCTTGGGATATACCTCGCTGGCAGAGGCGGCCCGATAGTAAGTGCGAATTCGATGTTGATGGGCATGCATCAGAGTGCTTCCATCTGGGGCATACCCAATGAAAAACGGATCGAACTCCCCTCGATTGGCCTTGGCGACCTCCAGATGATAAATTTGCTGGATGGTATTGAGCTCATAACAGGCGTTATCCTTGAGTGCCTTGAATTCAATGTCTCGTCTCCTGTTTCTCCAATTCTCCATGTCCGATGAGAACCTCGCCCACGTGCTCTGGACCTCCTCTGCGTATCTCTGCATCATTTCACGAATTACAACCAGGATTGCGCCACGATCCATCGTGATCCCATTCCCAAAAGGGGGACAAAAGTGCACGCATATCGGCTTGATGCTAGTGCCCTGGGCGTCTGTTAGGCGAAAGAACCTCCTCCCGGTAAAGTCAAGGCGTGCATATGCCGCGTCAAAATCGTAGTAGTAGGCCTTGCCATGAAGCCACTTGCCATCAAGCGATGTTGTCATCCCGACCTGCAACTTTGGGGCTTGGACATCAAGAAATGGGGGTGCTGGCTCTAAGAGGAGCTCTGGCAGCGGACAGGGTTTCTCGGACAGGCCCGGCAATAGTTGGATCCAAGATGTACGAGATGACAGCCCGGTGTCCTGAGCTTTTTCAACAGTTGTGACATCCGGTATCTCGGTGCTAAACACGTCGGAATCGACATCGGTACATTGTAGGCCCTCAATGGTCTCTAGTGCGGTGACAGCCGCTGAACCAAGGTTTGGCATATCTGACAGGATTCCTGTAGGTGTTGGAACGAGGGCAGATATGTCAGGTAAAGGTGGAGGCCACAGAAGAGCGAGGGCTGGGGGCTTCGGGCTAGAGGGCTCATATTCGGTGTTCCTCTTACGCTTCTTTGCGGATACCGGACTTGAGGAGTCAGCAGCTGTCATTATGGTAGGCCGGAGTGGAAGGAATATATGGTGTGCAGGCAACGCAAGGGACAAGATGGTTGGAGGGATCGAGGTGCAGGTTCCTTGAAGGAGCAAAGGGCTGTGGACTCAGTAGGTTAGACGCTCATATCGGTGATCGTTGGAGATCACAAGGGGCGCACCTGCAGAGGCGGCATGCAGAGGTGAATACCTGCTCTAGAATCTGGAACGTTCGTATCCGAATGAAAGATTGGTGCGGTTTATATATAGGCCACCTGCATGGAAGGGAAGTTGCCCGAAGAGATGGGACCAAATAGAGGAGGGCCCAGAGACAAGTGATCAGGTGACCCGTATTCACCAACCCCGTATCCTCTGTATCGGCACAAGTCCATTTGTGTATGGCTGCAGCCGAAGATATAGAAGATAAGCCCGACTGGGTGGTTGACCCAAGGAACAGAATATGGGATCAGCCACCTCCTCCAACTCATGGCATTTGATACAACTGATAAGTCGCAGGGGTTAGATTCAGTATACGTACAACAGCGATCAAAGTAAACAGATAGACATTCTGAGTTGACTCAGCAAATCCCTACATCCCATCTTGCTTGTCCATTTTACCAGCCGGACCTTGCTCCCCCTTCATGATCCGATCAGCATGGCGTCTCACCCTCGGATACACATCCTGGTAGGCCGTCGAGCCCATCCAGGCGTCGAGATGACCCTTGCCCGTGAAGACCTCTCGCTCGTACCACTCCCTTCCGTGAACGTTACACAGAGTGGTATATGAGACATCTGTATTCTCGGCTGTAAACACCATATTTCCAGTCCCTGATAAGAACAGAATCGGGATGCCTTTCAAGCGGTCAAGGTTTTCCGGTGTGGCCAGATTATTGTATGCCGGCCCGTTGGCCGTGACGTTCTCCAGACGGCCCGTTTCCATGAGCCATTGAAGAGAACGCATGGAGGTGCCGCCGAGGAAGCGCTCGAGCTGGGCATGGGTAGCATCGTTGAGGTTCTTATGGGTCCAGAGACTGGGATATTATTAGAAGGTTACCGGGGGTACAGGCAGGGCTGTGGGAAACTCACCGGCCAAACACAAGTTCGCTTCGATGACAGACAACCGATCGACAGGACTCTCGGGCGTCACCTCCAGGATAAAGTCGCAACGCCTGGTTTAAGAATGACTGGATGTACGTGTCATTGCGACTACTGGTGCAGTCCCAGTAGGGGCTGACTAGCCGGGCATACAGCGATGTCGGGAAGCCAGACAGGAGACTATCAACCTTCCCAAACTTGGGATTCATGAAGACCATTGAGGCCGTGATGCCTTGAATCCAGTCGCCAGGGATTGTGCCGTCTAACAGGCCGCAGGCGAGGGCTAGCGAGCCTGCGCAGTGGGCGACCACGTAAGTCTTGGGTGGCTCGTTCGGATTAATTGTGCTGGCGACCTTGCGCATGTGAGCTAAGGCAGCGTGGATATCGCGCCGCGCATCGTAAGGTGTGTAGCCATCTCGGGCGACAGGGGTTCGGCCAACTCGATGGGTGATACAGTAGGTACGATATCCTAAGTCCCGGAAAAATTCAACTGCGTTGCGTTCGATGGTTGGAAGAGCGAACATCTTGTGGTCAACTGCAGCACCTGGGATGAGGAGTAGGGTTGGTGCAGGGCCGAGAATCTCTCTTCCTTCGGGGGAGATAGGGTTCCACATTACCATTCTAGTGGTAATCCCATCGGATGCCGTCAAGGGAATGGTCGAGGATGGGCCCACTTCCTTGGATGTGTAGTCCAGTGTTGTGCCCGGCCATTGGAGTTGGCCGAGTGTTGAAAGAAAAGGCACAGAGAGCTGTCGGGTGAAGTAGGCGAGAAAGCTTGCTGCTGATCTAGCCCTTGTCCATAGCGATGCTCCACTGGTAGAGAAGGTCTGGAGCTCGTAGCCAAAGTCGTTAGGTTGGATGCGTAGCATACCACGACCTACAACCGCACTGTCTTTATCCGTGATAGTGACATATAGAGTGCTGGTCTGTCTCCAGAGCTCAAGTGGGTTGAGGAAGGACGCGGTGTTCACGGTTTTGTAACCATTGAAGTGTAATCTCCTCCCACTTGGTGAAGTCATGTCAAAGTTGTATGTTAGATTCGCTGTATCTGGTTCCCGGGAGTCGTGGTTGAACAGTTGGAAGGTGCCGCGGTGGGCCATGAAATTTCCTCCGAGAGCGTTGCAAGTGAATGTTCCGGTTAAGTTGGCCAGATGCTGGCTGCTGTTTACCACTGGAGATTGTCAGTCTAGCTAGCTTGGAAAGCAGCGTGTGCTATAACCTACATTCCTCAGTGCTCCAGGATTTGACACTCAGGAAGAAGCGTGCATTTTCACACCGGCCCCGAGCGAGCCTAGTTGCGACCTCGAAGTCTTTGACGTCGTGACCGGTGTATATGAAACCAGTCATAATCTCGGAGAATACGACACCGGCAGTCTGATGTTCGGTAGCAAGCCTGGCTGCAAGTTTCGTGGTATCTGCATCTCGAAGAGAAGGGAAAGCCGGAGAATTGAACATATCCAACTGGCCTGAGATGCTATTAGCAGCATGATATACACATGGCCTCTGCTCACTTGCCATTCCGAGTGTCATAGTCGATGGAGATGTTTCGCCTTTGTGCCATCATCTCAACTGATCGTTCGGCAAAGGCAGTAATGGTAGCAAATGGGTTGACACCAACAGCTGCTGGCAAGGCAGAGCTGTCGCACACTACCAGTCCCTCATATGCCTCGCGTCCATTGCCTCTCAGTAGCTCACCCATGTGATTCACCACTCCATTGTTGCCAGAGTTGTCTTTGCTGATACGAGCACCGCCTCTGTGACAAACGTTAGGTAGATTATTTGATGTTGGAGCGGTGTCAGGTAGATTCACATAGGATGAACTGTGATTTCCTGCCTTCCCAATGTACTCCACACTGGATTAGCTATAAAGTTCCCCCCGACAGCAGCGGTCATCTTCTCAAGAAGATCGTGGATGCGAGATACCGATTTAGAACGGCCCACGCCTGAGTAAGTGAGCATTGGCTTGTCATTCTGGAGTGTCAGCCTTCCTTGGCTACCTGCAGAGTCATGAGCAATAGAACCTGTGAATCAGGTGTGCCCCTTACTATCATGAGACATGATCAAGTATACGGCAGTCTTCTGGACGCTGCCCTCCGAGAAATATGGCCCAAGAAGCTTGCCTTTCATTCGGGTAACAAGCTTCGCTATCTTCTCGACAGGACTGTACATGGGACGCCTCATATCCGGCAAATATTCCAGCATGGCAAACATCAGTGGGGCAAGAGCGTATGGCACCGCGCAGTCTTCCACCACGAATCCATCCAACGGGTTTTTCTGATCCCGTAGATCGAGCACCGAGGTTATACATGGTCCTACTGGTCGATCTGGAGTTGATTCAGGACGAGCGATGCAGTTGGCTTCATAGTCGGTGTTGTAGCTGTCACGGCGTCTTAGTTCAGGCCTGCACAAAAAAAGCAGCAAGTAACTTGCCCGAAGCCCAGCATATCTCCATTCCCACTCATCTCGGTCCCGAGGTCATCGCTCAAGTCCAAGCCCATCTGTCTGCTTCGGAGCAAGATCTCGGTGGTGCCGATGCTCCCAGCTCCAAAGAAAACGAACTTCTTTGCATGAACCCACATGAGGTCTTCGAAAAATGTGGTGAAACGATCACGGCCGCAGGAGCGCCACGCAAAATAAACAATATATCCTTCCCGGTTGGGAGCTTTGGTAACGTATCTGACCTCACAATCGCAGAATATCTCGGCGCCCCAATTCCACGCATCACTGAGGTAGTTCACAAGTGTTGTAGACTTACTTCCATCATTGATGCCGGTTGCATCCATGCCCGTCAGTTGTGATGCCTGCATGTAGACCCCCGTGCCATTCGGACCGTCCTCGAATCGAGTTGTTTGCGGAACACGGTAGAAATTATCGCCCCAACTCATGAGCTCCGATTGCTTCTTGAGCAGGTCCGCTTTTAGAAGTTTGGGGAAGGTCAGGGGGTACTGAACAGGCTCCAGGACGCTCTTCGCACGGTCATAGTCTGGAGGCATCAGGAGAGGATCTGAAGTGGATCAGAAAGGAGACTGCTTACACTTCTTCCACGAATCATGTCCTCTCAGTTCGTCTGGCCAGACTCCCATTTCCAAAACCTTCTTGTGAGCTTCCAAAAAAACATTGGCATTCAGGAGACTGGTGCCACCCAGGCCGTTGCCCATATACACGTTCTGGCCTTCTCCGACCACAAAGTGGTATAGACCATTCGAGTTCCCCGTGTCAACCATGGCCCCGGGAATGCTTCTTCTGTCTCCAGGAGCAAATTGGCCGCTGACATGGAGCTCCTTCACCGCGTCCTCCAGCTTCTCGGGGAACTCCCCAGGCCATCTCTCTCTCCCTCGCTCTAGAACGCAGACGCTTTGCCCTCCTCTCGCCATTCGGCTGGCGGCCACACCTCCTCCATATCCTGAGCCAATAGCCACCACATCATAAGAGTCTTGCATAAGCTCTACTGGTAGAGAGATCCGGGGAAAACGGCGCTGAAATTGAGGTCTCTCCTCGGTTCCATTGGTAGAGTATACCCGGGGCTCTTCAGACGGGGCCTTATCATGAGATGGCCCCCCATTCTGACGGGGGTGAATTCCATCAACACCGTTCACACTCCGGTTTGTACCCCGGATTCTGTCCTGTGCAGCAGTCGGTCCATCCATCGAGAAAAGGTGTGTTTGTTCAGATCAAGCCTCGGCCTATACACAAGTGACTATCGGGCTGACGTTAAAGTAGGTCTCTGAAGAAAGTTTGTTTCGTGCTTTAGCTTCCTGGGGTAGATTTCGCTCAAAATAAATCGAAGATTCGAGAGGAATTCGGCATACCTCATTTCAACAGAGATAAACACCCAAGTCCATCACATGCCGTAGAGAGGGATATAATGAAAGTCATATGAAAGAGTTTTAGGCCTGGGATAGACAACGCCAGCATCGTACATGGCTGAGCACCAACTGGTCGCCTGAGTGTGCTTCAGGCATGTAACGTCATTCTTTTAGCAAAAGAGGGTGAAATTGGCTCTATGGCTGAAGGTAGATGAAAACGTTCTGATGACATCGGTCATCTCGAGGCAGGCAGCCATCTCGTAAGATCCGACGCCGGAAGTTGCGCCCGAGACTATAGTTCGGTTCGACTCTGGGTCGACCTCACTTACGCCCTCGTCTGGTCATCTTGAGGTAGCATTCACTGGCGCCACCAACCTCTCTCATTTGTCAAACCACCCAGTAGTCGCTTTGTCGTGCCGAGGGTGGAAGGCCTAGACTATCATGAGATGAGTCGCAGCACCTGATTGCCTCGGAGAGCCATATCTACATCTAGACAACTAAGAGCATTATCTTGAATGTCCGACACTCTTCATCAATTAGTTCGGCAGTCCTCGCACAGTACTTGATGGTCACCATGTCTTCTCAGCCTGGTCGAGTCTACGGCTCAGTGTTTGGCGAAGAGTCCGACTCGTATCCCAAGTACACAGGCTCACCCTGGCTGTTGTTTTTCGCTGATCTGGGACTCTTCCTCCGCAACATTCTCTACCTACCATGTATTTTCTTGCCTGTCATCCCATGGCCGTCTGGGCGTCTGGATGAGCTATATCCATCACTAGCCAATATCTTCGACATTTCCCTCCACTGTTTTCTGTTTGTCCTTCAGCTGGCCTTTATATTCTCACTGCCATTGTTGATGTACCTTCCATTCTTCTTATATGTCATGTATGTTGCAGCAACCCTCACTTTGAATACGTTTATCTGCCAAATTCTAAACCGTGGGATTCCATCCGACGGCCTCAAATCGACGGAAGATGGCTTTTCGAGATTGTGGGTGCGACATGATGATGAGTACTGGGTTTTTCTCAATGGAATCTGCGTTGGGTGAGTACTATGCATGTCGTTCCAAGTCATAACAGTGATATTGACCCAGCTAGGAGGAACTGGCTCCAGAGCAACATCGATCGAATTTCACGGACATTCCACCGTCCAGTGGTTGGTGTCCACAATAGAACGTAGGCCTCCCTTTTCCTGTTCTCCTTGACTCCCCGTGTTTTAGGTCCTGACTGTGGTAAGGGCCGGCGTCATTTTTGACATCATCCAATGCCTCATTCAACGATCCATGCTGTACGCAACAGATGACGTTCGCGAATGCTACGTCCTTGTCAAGAAAGCACTGTACCGGCAGGAAGTCAAGAAGGTGGTCTTGATCTTGCACTCACAGGGTGGCATTGAAGGTGGCATGATTCTGGATTGGCTACTCAACGAAGTCCCTCAGGATCTCATCCGACAATTGGAAGTTTATACTTTCGGGTGTCTTGCAAACCACTTCAACAATCCGTACCGCGACGCGAACTCATATAACACAGCCACTCATTATGCGCGCACGGGAGAAGTTACAGGAAATGTTTGCAACCGCTGTATCTTACACATTGAGCACTACGCCAACAGTAATGATTTCGCGAGCCGATTTGGGGTGCTGAATTTCGACCACAGTAAACCCCGGGACCGTCGGGAGAATCGATTCATGGGGAAGGTGTTTGTAAATCCTGCATCGGGCCACCAGCTCAACCAGCATTATCTTGACACCATGTTTCCTCTTGATCCAACCAAGCGTTTTACGCGGGATCCGCAGGAAGGTGACTTCATGGACATGGATATCACGATAAGCCGGCATGACAAGCCGGAGGAGGAACGGCCTGTCACGATCCTCGACGCAGCGGGATTGTTGGAACCTGGTTCTGGGGAAGTCGATGGTGTCAGTCCAACCTCGGTTCCCTCTGGGGCTGGTCGGAACATGAAAGCCGGAATTGACATGAGGATAAAGGTGCACAACATGAGCCGATTGTGGCTGTATCGGAATGGGGGCCGTCCATTAGCATGAGTTAGGCTCTGCTACGCAGTTTTCCATCAGGCGCTTTTGGATCTATCTTCACGTGATTGAGGAGCAACGTCGCCAGTATGTTGGTGGGCCTCGCAATAATGGTACAGTCCTCCTCGGTTGCACAACATGGGAATCTCATCACTTCATCCGAGCACACCGCGATTACTCAGCGATTTAATTTTCCTTTGTTTGCTTTAGCGATGCTCGCCCTAGAATGTCAGCTTATGCAGATTCCAAGCTCTGCCATACTCGCATGTAGATTGATTCACCTAGCTCCCGAGGGTAACGACGGAATGACGGGGACATGAGGAAATGGGGAAGCGGGAAAAGTGCCGAAGAATTCTGGGCCCCCCATCGAAAACGCGCCTCGGCTATAGCCCGAAGCGGACAGCCCCGTGCACCGCCAGATCGGCGAAGATTGAAGACTGAAGAGGCCTGCTCCTTTGCCCCCGCCAGACCTTGGGTCTCTTTTATACTCCGTCCGTATTCCTTTTTTTTTCCAATTCTTTTTCCAACTCGAATTTAATGCAACGCTAAAATATGGCGAACTCGGCAACCCTCTTCAAACCCCCGCCGCTGGACTCCGCAAAGGCGCCCATAGAGAATGTGTTGGACCTGACACCGGTGGTTGACGTGGGGAACGTATGTCTTTCAACTCCTTATTTCGTCGCCTTGCCTTGGAAAGTTTAACGACTGATCTTCTCTGCACAGGATGTATTCACCAATACGCGACCCCTTTGGCATCCGCCCGGAGCGCGAGGCATCTACGGCGGTGCGGCAATCGCCCAGTCTCTCGCCGCTGCGATGCGAACCGTTCCTGCCGATTTCGCCGTCCATAGCATGCACTGCTACTTCCTCCTCGCCGGCGACTCAGAAATCCCTATATTATACCATGTAGAACGAGTGCGTGATGGCAGGAGCTTTATCACACGAACTGTACAGGCCAAGCAACGCGGTCGACCCATCTTCACCACGACCTTGAGTTTTAGCAAAGCCAACAGCGGTGGTAAAAAGAAGCTGGAGCATGCTTCATCCATGCCACCGGTTACTCTACCGCAGGAGCCCGGATCAGGATCGAATCAAAGAATCGTGAAATCGGGCGGTGGTCCATTCGAGTCGCAAAAGGCGGGGGTTGTAGACCGTTAGTATACCTGGTATGCAAGCATATTCTCCGGGATTCACGCTGACAGTCACAGACAATCTCCCTCCTCAGGAGAAGAAAACCAGACGTTTTATGCGATCACGAGGAAGAATCTCCGACGCCGGTGGTCACCATGCCCATCTTTCCGCCCTCGCCTATATGACTGACAGTTACTTCATTGGCACCGTGGTCAGGGTCCATGATGTCCCTCGATTCTCTTCGCCTGCCGAACTTAAGAAGGCTCTTAATGCGCTCAAAAACCCTTCCGATCTGGACGATGAAGATATTGCGCGCGCCCTGAAGGAGCTGAAGGAAGAAGAAGCCACGGATCTGCGCCGTCGTTTGGAGGGCGCTTTACACAGAGTCACCAACCAGCCGCCCCAGGAGCGCAAGGAAGTGGGTATGCTGGTTAGTCTTGACCATTCAATCCACTTTCACAATCCCTGGGCGTTCCGGGCAGACGAATGGATGATTACAGAGATGGAGAGTCCTTGGGCGGGAGAGGGACGAGGCTTGGTGTTGCAGAAAATCTGGTCAAAGGATGGAACATTGATTGCTACATGCACCCAAGAGGTATGTCTACTGTTTTCCGACATTTCGTTGTGATAAATCATGCCTAATGCCAGGGTCTCACAGGGAGTCGTGCGACTGAAGCAAGATGAACCGCCTCGCTCGAAGCTTTAATCGTCAAACCACGTGCTGTTGACCGGTCATTGTGGATATACCCGTTTCTCTTCTTGACGATATTCCTTTAGATAATTAGATATTCATAAATATATTGAGTGGAGAGTGACAAGTTCAGTTTGTTTCCCCCTTGTTCTGGTCGGGTTATTTTGTTTTCTCTATGACATTAGATGATGCCGGCCATGGAGAGCATTGATATTTTCGATCACGGTCCTGCAGACTGTATATCTGAGATTCAAAAGTTATGGATATCTCTCACGAGTGAAAAAGAGTGCATTTTCGGCTGGTCTGAGAGGGTCTTGCTGGTATAAGGTCTCATGAACAAGGACATTGGGTAACGTAAGAAGTGTTGAACATATTCAAAGAAGAAGGACAAGAAGAAAAAGATAAACAATACAGAGACAATGCTAAGACCGATGACTTTTCAATCAGACAGCCGCCCATCCGTTTTGATGGCCCAATGCAAGAAATGATGCCAAACCGAACAAATGCCACAAAAAGCCTCCCATGCAATGGCGCCCTTCCGCCGCCTTCCCGTCTTACACCTCCATCTTCTCGGGATCTTGTTGATACAACCGCGTCTTCTTCTCGCAATATTCCAAAGCCTTGGGTCCCCAGACTTCTCTCCCCTTGTACTCACCCACATACTCCGGCCAGCTTTTGATTTCTTTGGCTAGGTTTTGCAGCTCCTGCATCGGAAGCTCATCCAACGTGGTCAGAATGGTCTTGACCCCAAACACGATGGTCCCCGTCCGAGGCAGCCGCCGGAAAGTTTGCCGTTCGCGACGAATGACAATTTCCTGCGGCGTGGGATCCGGATTGTCTTCAGACAGTGAGGTTGGCCGGTAGAGGATGTCGAACAGGTCCTCGTCAGGCCGCTTCACTTCAACAAAGTAATTGGATCTCTCCATAGGCGACGCAGGTGTGAGTCGAGCCAAGAATCTAGAATAATAAGATCAGTCTCTTTCCTTGCATCCGCTATTCGTCTTCGCTGTCAGGAAGGACGAGCAGAGGACTCACTTGCTGACCGAGTTGGCAACTTGCTGATGCCACAGAGGTACCGGATTGTGAAGCTTGGAGATGGTCCAGCCAATGCGGTCCTGGACTGTCCAGCCGACGGGGAAAAGGCTTGCACTGGCGGCCCTGCAGACTGGTCAGTCGGCTCATCATGAAGGAGGGTTGAATTTCTGAGACTAACAAATAATATTCATTATCCTCGTTCTTCATCAAGATGCTCAGGTCTTCCATTGTCAATCGGACGGCAATTTCAAGTGGGTCAACATCCTTGTTTTCCCCTCCAAAGGCGAATGTCTCTCCGGTCATCTTGTTGTGGACTATCGTCTCATCACCGCACTTCTTCTGTTCGAACACGTTCGAGAACCGCTGGCAGAGAAACTCAACCACCTCTTCCAGTGCCTCCAAGCATGCGTCGTACGACTCCGGGAGACATTGAAGAACTTTGCTCTTCTCAGTTTGCAACAAGTGGCTTCGGACTTCATGCTCGTCCATATAGTTCTTATCAATGGTGAGCCAGTTCTCCACGTCCAACTTTCGAATGTCCATCATGACCCGGTATCTTTCCCTTCCCTTGATGGGCTGGGCCGGGTAAGGAGCCATCCTCTTGAACTCATTGAAGCCTGACTGTTGGGCGTCTTGTGGCCGCCATGCCGATAAGAGGTTCTTTCGATATCTGGTGATAATAAAAGAAAGAAGAAGAACTGACAAAACAATACATGATAGGGGATTCATTGTCTTTGAGAGAGAAGTCCACACTGACAAAGGGAAATGAGGAAAAGGAAAAAGGAAAGAAGAGGATCTTCGAAGAAGCTTTTATTCTTCACGCATTCAAGAATCCACGCCACAAGTCTGACCCGAGGGGCAATGGAAGAATTCAATATGGCGAAACTCTCTGCCTCGGGTGAGGACAATGGCTCCAATTATAATCAGGAAAGTAAGCCATAGTCCCAACGATCATCGTTAGAGTCAGACGATTAACTACAAGGGGACTTCTACATTCCGGATTCGAAGAGCCGGGTTGGATTCTGATACGTTCTGCCTTTCCCCGCAAAAGCCGCAATTCGCCGCCCCGAAAAAAGAAAAGGAACCTGACAGCATCCACATGATCCAACTGAATTCTCAGCTTTCGGTTCAATCGAGCTCCACTGGGTCTTAGTGGTAAACGCGGGGATGAGGATCCATCAGGAGGGTGAACTCTATGTGGATGAAAAGCCCAAACCATGCGCAGGTCCGTCTCCGCCCTGGATCCGCAGCCCGGCCATGTACTAGCTGCTGGACGTCACTTCAATTGCGACGGTACGTGCCTACTAGTCTCGCTTTGCCCGGACGGGCGTGGCACTAACTTAATGCGCTTACTCACATACGACGGAGTCCAAAGACGGGCAAGGGCTATGACAAGAACAATAATACCTCTCTTTACTCCTTCCTTCCCATAGAATCGTCAGGCGGAACTCACACGTACTTCGTCCGTGCGCGTCGATTGGAAGACCGCGTGAGCTGAACCCGATCGGATCCTAGGGGAAATGATTCCCCTGTCTAGCAGGTTCCTGCGGTTCCGCTCCAGCGGTATTCGTCTTTTTTTACCCGGGGCAGACGCAGGGAAGTAGAAACGGGTACTTCCTACTCGATGTCATTACGAAATGAGAAAGAAATAGCGCACTCCGGTATGCTGGAACCACCGTTGAGAACCAGTCAAGCGTATCTCCAGGCCGGATTGCAGGAAAATCATACATCATCACCTGTGCAACAGGATATTATGACCGAGGGAAAGCGCGTGGGATGCTGCGTGGGCCGACTCCCTCTCGGCACCGGGGGGAGGGGGTCATCAGCTCCAGCGTAATAGCAAATAGTCATCTTTAGGCGGCTATGAAATTCTACGGGCCTGCCTACCATGCTGGGGATAGGACCAGAAGAAGGCACCGCTGGGTCTCCATCGGTTTTGAGTGACGTGCTGGCAGGCTAGTCCTTCCAGTTGCTGCGACTGGTCAGTTGGGTTTGGCGTGCGAGGCCACTATATTGGGGCTAGGTCGTTAAGAGAAGGCCTCGAGTCAACACTGACGTACTGTGAGGTGTCCTTGCAGTCCTGCCAGGACTCTACCGCAGACACTACGCTACTATGCACCCGCTAGCGAAAATCTACTGTGTCTGGACGTGCATCCATCCAGAGTGAGTCGTCACCGGATGTCCGTGGAGCGAGGGAAAATTATCAATAAACCTGGGCGGGCGATCCACTTCCGGCACGAGTCCAGATTCTGCCCTTTTTTCTCGCTCCACTCTTCCCAACAGAGACCCATCTGGGGTTTTGCGCTGCAACCGCCCCAGGTCGCGCAAAGCGCGCTTGCCGCAGGTCCAGTCGAGTGGGTAACTAATTACTATCTTCTCCATGTGCGACAAGACGGCGGTGTCTCAAGGAAGAATGCGTCTTTTTTTTCACGTGTGTTCTATCTTTTGAGTCTTTTTTTTTGCCTTTTGCCCTTTTCGTCTCTTTTTGCTTTTTCTTATCTTGATTTTTATTCTTATTATTATTATTATCTTTCTTTCCTCATTCGCCTCTGCCAACTGTCTGATTTTGCCCCTTCCATCATGGTCTGGCTGATCTCAGATCCCCCGCCAAATGATCGAGTTTATTCACCTTGATTTCTTGACTTTTCTTTTTCTTCGTCTGTTTTCGGAGATAGCCCCCTTCCTTCTTCACTTGTCACATCTGTCCCAAACCGTCCACCGAGAGAACCAAATCCTCCGAGCCACAGATGATTCTCGGACCGAAAATGTCATTGCCCCGACTTGCTTTTTGTGCTAGCCTGTCAACAGCAGCAATGGGACGGCGGCGAGCTCCTAGTGTCTTGACTGACATCCTACTAAGTGGACCAGCCTACGGGCCAGAGGTCGTCTGCCTTCCGACCTTCCTAACCCGTGGCCCATATGGAGCACGGCCAAAACTCATGTCTCGATTATTTCAGAAAGGACAGGCCGGCGCACGGTGCGGTAATCCACCCTTCGTCAGTGATCGTCGAATGGATGAGGGAGGATTTGCAAGCCCGGCGGGCCATACGGCACTACTCCGTAGCGTTGAATTGACTCGGCTCGGTTTTAGTCTGGGTCTTCGAGAGTCTAGAGGTCTCGTCTTCCTGGACCACGCCATAAGAGCGGGCAAAGAGAAGAGTGCAATTCCGTGCTGTGGGACTCGACTAGGCCACGGTTGGACCCAAGAGGATCGACCTCGTGCACGGACGGTCGTGTCGGTCCTACCATTGTGGTTCTCCACGATTCTCCGCATGGCGATGGTACTAGTTTTAGGCCTACACCGGTCTAGGTAACCGATAAGCCACTGGCTGGGCTCTTGAAAGGGCGGCTTGTGAGGTAAGACACTCGTACTTGTATCAAGGCGTCGAACCCAGCCTCGGGGCCCAGCAGAAGTACAATATCAGAACCAGTCGGGTATAGACCGGGGCGTATCTCGAAGCGAAGCTAGCGATGGAGTAGATACTTGATGGTCCAGGGCTGCTCTCCACCTCCGTCACTGGATGGGGCTCTAGTCGCCTTGGCTGTTCCAAGGCAGCTGAACATAGCACTGCCTTAGTCTTAGTAAGATGATGGATGGGCTGACGGGAACACAAGTGATGCCACGACGGCGCCGCGATAGGCAGGCCGGTAGGATCTCCTCGCAGATGTCCTGCGTGATGCGTGGCCGTCCCGTTTGGGCCTTTTGTTGCCGCCCATCATGTGATCGAGGTCGTGACCAGCCCCTGCATCATGTGATTCCCGCCTTTCTTGCAAGGAGCCTCGCGCCAACGTCGTCCATCCAATGCACCCCTCCTCATCCCCCCCTCCCTCCCTTCCTCCTCGTCACTGATCCTCTCTCCCTCTCTCTCTCCCGCCAGCTGTGCTACCCCTCGTTTCACTCCTCATCGGGATCGAGCTGCTCAGCCAGAGTGCAGTCATTGCACGCGATCCATCGGCCTTCTCCACCGTTAACTGGTCTTCTAGGCAGATCGAAAACCAAAGACTTTCTGCACCACCATGAGCTGCACGCAGCCCCCTCCGCTACCAACCGATCCAGATGCCCCGCCATCCTTCCAGGGATGGCACATCTTCGACTCATCATCGGATCACTGGAAGTCACTACAACCATCCACCAACTCCACGCCCCGCGATGAGAGCACCATGCAAAGCTCCACGGACACCAAATCACAGCCCCCTGCACTTTCCCTCGTAACATGGAACGTAGACGCCTTCGCCAAGTTTCCCGACGACCGCATGGCTGGCATCATTTCTACCATACGCAACCAGACCCCCCCGCCTAACATACTTTTCTTTCAAGAAGTATCCCGGGCAGCCTTAAAATACCTGTTCGACAATCCCTGGATCCGTGAGAACTGGTACTTCAGCGAGGGGAGCTTCAAGAACTGGGGTGGGCATGCATTCGCAACCGTGATGCTCCTTTCCAAAGTCGACTTTAGCACGGAAGAGCAGGATACAGATAAGATATGCATCGGACCAGTCTGGCGAGTCAAATACCCAAGTAAGTTTGACCGGGATGCTCTCTGCTGCGATGTCTTCCTGCCACCGTCCGGTACGCGTGTTCGGTTGATCAACGTGCATCTGGACTCTCTCGCTCTTCAGCCTAATCGCCGTCGACGGCAGCTCGCTATCGTGGCAGATAACCTTCACTTAGCTGGACATGGCTTTGTTGCGGGAGACTTCAATCCTCTTCTCCCAGAGGACGACTGCCTTGTTACAGCTAATAGTCTAGTGGATATCTGGAGCGAGTTGCACCCAGATGATCCAGGCTTCACTTGGGGGCTTGATGGTCGGGAACCTTATCCCCCAGGTCGTTTAGACAAAGTTGCCATTCATGGACTCAAGGGACAGCAAATTGACATTCTACACCCTGGTGCCCTCGAGAGCTCAGGTTGGGGGCTGCTACTAAAGAAGCTGGACCCGCCGTTGCCATGGAGTGACCATTCCGGTCTGAAATGCTGCTTACGTCTTGCTGAAAGACCCGTATGAGTGAAGGCCTCTTAGCCTTCTCTTGGACTCGCGTTCCCTGGATTTTCTCATTCACAACTAAGACCCCACACAAATCCATCAGATATGACCTACACACCAGACATAAGTCCCCTATTACCCACGCACCCATTCACTCAAGAACCACACTCAGGAATCTAGCCTCCACTCCCGACATTGAAAAGACACTACCAGATGAAAAGTACCAGGTCTCAATTAGGCACATGCAAAAGACAGGGCTACTCAAGGCTACCAACCTATTTCCTTCTACCTACTCGGTGATCCCGGAGCAGGCTTCTCACATTTGGTTCTTAATTATCGCAAAAGCTCTATTCGGAGAAGATTCAAATACATGCATAGCTTACTTGTTGTGCTAAAAATAAGAATTCTTGTCAGCATTTCGCGGCATTGTACGCGTATGATATACATGTCTGAACTATCAGTCTTATAAGACATTACGTGGCTCATTATCATTTATCGTATGGATGGGTCTAGTAGATATGACTCTGGGTGGGGATCGTTGACCCTGCAAGAGGGTACATAGATCATGGATCGGACTTGTGGGGATGTAGATACTTACTGTATGATCGTGGTACCCAATTTCGTTTATTGGTAGCTATTAAGCTATTACCTATTCACATTGGGATATGTAACAAAGAAAAAGAAAAAAAAATCCTGAATTTCCGGAAACTCGTGCCCAACCGTCTTCTTTATCGTTGGGAAGATGCAATTCTGGACGGTCTCTGTTGACCTGTTCTAGCCCGTCCGGGGGGATAGCCCAACACATACTCCGTCAACGTGCGGGAGGGACTATCATGGGATTAAATAGGATTCGTCAAAGCTCATCGAAAGGTATCCAGGGGAATAAAAAGCAAGCACAACAAATAAACCCCCATATGTAGTGGGGGCCCGCAACAAAATGGTGGAAATGTCCAAAATCGTCCGCAGGGACGCAAGCTCAAAGAATATTAAACGCCCTCCCAGTGCTGTGCTGATCATCATTGGTGTATCACAAAAGTCGGACTTCCGCCTTCAAACGTTTTGTTTTTTTTATTTTCTTTCCGTTTCTTTTTCGGAGCTCTCGTGGAGGGGCGCTTTTTTCTGCCTTCCTGCCTGACTCCCGTGCCCGACAAGGCGCGCCTACCTGAACTTGGCTCTGCATCGGCCCATCACCTCGCCTTGACAGACTAGTTCCGCGCTGAATTCGCTGCCGTCAAGCGTGAGGTAAATGTCAAAGTACACGCGGTAAAAAGTACCTTGCGGGGTGTCCATGCGTTCAAAGTCTGTCTCCAGGTTCTTGCGAGACAGGTCCGACGTCAGAGTGACAACTTCCTTGATGCCTGCATCGTACGTTAGTGTGCTCATCGCGACGACGTTTCCGGAAAGCAACTTACGTGGATCCTTGGTGTACTCCGGACACACATCCTCGTCACATGCGTACAGGATGTCCTCATACATGAGGGTGGCTCCCGGTGCAACCTGTCGGAAAAAGCTAACCTTGACTGGTTCGCCGATCTTCACTCGCTCGCCTTTTTGCATAAAAATCTGTCTTGTGTACTTGCATCGATCACGGCCATCCAGACTAGGGACTCGGTATTGCTCTGGGTGGTATCCTTCTTTGAAAGGTTGCAGAGTGGCCATCAAGTAATGGCGTCGAGCCACACGGTGTGTGATTACCCGCTCCGTGATTCCAGCAGTCACTGCGCCTTTGACGATTGCAGCAACCGAGTCCATCGGTCTAACCACCTTGGACTGGTATTGGGGAGGGACGTGAAGCTTGATCTGTTGGAAAAGATACTCCGAGGCACCGAAGCCACCCACAACAAGGACGTTCTGTGTTACTGATTAGTTCTCCCTGCGTACCTGCACGAATGGGTACAGGGAAACATACCTGGAGCGAGCGGTTCTGTGCTTGGATGGCGATGATTTGGTTGCGCACCAGTTCAAGAATTCGATTGACGACTGGCTCGAAACATTGCAGAATTTCCTCGTTGGTGAACGTCATGTACCCTTCCTCAATGCCTGCGTCGGGGAAGTCGGCTTCGATGCCGACATCCACGGCCCATTTCTGGCCATTGTTGCGGAAATCGGCCTTGATACGGTTTTCGAAATCCATTATGCACTTTGCATACACCTTGCCCGCGGTTCTGGAACCATCAGGCAACTTCATCTTACGAATCTTCGCACGGAGGATATTGCTGAAGTTCCGGTTGAGAGCGGTCGAGCCGCATGAGTCACCTGAACCAGCGGTGCATTCTGCGACACTGAAGGGTTGCTCTTCCTCAACCTCATACGCAATTAGATCCACGGTACCTCCTCCACAGTCGACAATCAGGATTGCATCACCGATTTTAAGGTTCAGCAGGCCGGTCTTTGCACAGAAGAGAGCAGCCGCCTCCGGTTCAGATACCAGGGTAAGGCGATTGTCGTTCTCGTCCCGCAGGAACCCGGCCTGAAGGGCCGCCGCTCGGGTTGCCGCTTTCCCGGCGTCGTTCCAGATCGCCGGGACGGTGATGTAGTACCGAATGTTCCGCTCTTCACGAGTAAACACTTCACCCAGGGTCTTCTGTAGTTGGGCCCGCATCGCCTGCCGCAACTTGAAAAGGTAGTCGGCCGCGACATCGATCTCCGACTTGCCCGGAGGCAAAGGCGGCAGATTGATGGGATCAATGTAGGTATTGCCGGACAACATTAGTTGAAGCTTGAACCACTCGACCTTCTGCACCCCTTGCTTTGGATACCCTGTGGGGGCCAAAGCGTCGGCGATGTCTGGGCCCCAGCCCACCACTTTCTGATATTGATCGTAGTACAGCACGGTGGGAATCTAAACAAGCCAAGCAATGACCTGGTCAGTAGCTGATCATCTGCGGAATTGGGGGACTGCCCACCTTTTGTTTGGTGTGAGTTCCTGCGCCGGGCCACTCTGTGATGATATCCTCTCTTGCCTCGTTGTTGGTTGCGAACGCAAAAGCGACCCCCGAGAATGTCGTGCCAAAGTCAATGCCCACGATCAACTGGGCCTTGCTCCGGCCGGCGCCCTCGACTTCTACGGCGGGGTTCCGCATGCCATACTGGGGTTGGTGAAGACCAGTGCCCATACCGGGCGCAAGAGGCTGCTGCAAGCCGTAACCTGGAGGAGCGCCCATGGGAGCCACGGAAGATTGAGGATAAGGCAGGTTGGTATTTAAGGGCGGGGGGTGGTGAGCCATCGGCTGGCCCGGGGGCAGAGGGCTGGTGGGCCGCCCGGCGGTGTTGTAAGTGTAGCTTGGGGGGCGACCCAAGTTGTTCTGGTTATTCATGGGGAGACTGGTGGTGGAGGAACTATGACCGGAGGGCGGAGAGCTGGGAGAGGTGGTGGACGACGGAGGGGCGATGAGGGTACTGCTGGATGGAGCGTTGACTGATGGGTGGTTGTGCTGGACAGGTGAATGGTGCTTGTTGCGCTTCGTCCCGAAGCTGAACGATTTGAAGTTCAACCGTGAGCTCATCAGGTCGATATGGATGACCGATGATCCACGGAGGGGATAAATAGAGACAGGAAGGGGAGGGGGGAGAGAAGAGGAGAGAGGGAGGAGGAGGGGAGGGAGAGAGAGGAGAGGGAGGAAGAGAGCAAGGGAGAGAACGGAACAGTCAGATTAAAAGTCGACGGGAAAACGAGGGTAAGAGGCCCCCAAGAAACAAGGGAAGGAGGTGGGCGAAGTCGAAAGAGGCGGTGCGCTGCGATGGATCTGAACCAAGTGCGGCTGCTTAGGCAGAAGAGCGCGACACAGCGAGAGTGCCTTTGGGCGGGGAGCAAAGGAACACGAGGAGGAGGGTGGATTATTGCGGGGGATGGGAGTGAGAGAGTCTGCCTTGATGAGGGAGCAAATTCAGGAGAGAATTCAACAGGCTGGCTGACAGATCTCGATGAAACAGAGTGGTTACCCAGTAAATGCTCCTTAGTCACTGACAGGGTGGTTGAAAGTAATCAGCCAGCACGAAAGATGATGGCCTGGGGAAGGAATCCGTGCTGGAATGATTGAGGTGAGATAACGCCCGCTCGGGCGCTGAGAGATGTCACCCTGGATTCCTGTAGCACTGCACAATTCTCCGACAATTCGACCGGGCTGAAATAGAAGTCTTGCCCGGGCGCACTCACTCCAATGGCATCCTGATGCTGTTGCTACCCGTGCAATTGGAAATCCTAGATGCAGTGAATGCATGCAGTAGATGATGGAGAGGGAGGAGGTGATGAGGGTGAGGCTGTTGTGGATGGATCCCAGCGGTATCATACGGTACGGTATGGTTCGAGACGAGGGGGGCGCCTTCCTTCCCCAGTGGCAGCTGGCCTCGGAGTAAGCCAGCCGTTGGCTGCCACCTCCGAGCCCATCGCTTGTACGCCCGATTCTTTCCTTCCGGGTTGCCTAACACGAGCGAGTCCTGTGAGATACTTTGCAACTATGCCCATGGGAGAGAGGTAAGTGATGTAACACCCCTCTCCCTCCCCCCAGCCTCCTTGGGTGTAAATGACAAGCCATGGGCCCGATGATCCCCTTCACTTCCGCTGCTGACAAACGATTTACCCGCCGGCTCGCGGTGGATCTCCAGCAGTCCTTTGTTTGGCGGTCAACTCCACCGTCGGCTGTCTAGGGCCGAGTACCTGAGCGGTCCATGGCACCAAGGAATGGCCCCAATCAACCGGCGGGTTCAGCCACGCCGCTAAGCCGCCCACAGCCTTGTCGCTTGCTTTCTTTGTCGTCCTGCGGCTGAATGTCGTATCGTCGATCCCCCGTCCCGTACCGTACGAACCGTGACCGTCCGCGACCTTCGCGCCCAGCCAACTTGCCAACTGCAAAAACGACATACTCATCTACAAAGATCCCCAGGGAAAACGTCTTTATGCATTCAGCTTGCGTGCTATCCAATGGGACGGGCGATACAGAGGCAGCAGCATGCTGTCCGGGTCTTGGATATACCCACATAACGGCCTTTCGTGCGCGGGTTGGCGCTTTTCGATCGCAAAGCCCATTCGCTGCACGAGGCAAAACACTTCTGCCTCCGTCAGCTCCACATTCCCAGGCTCACCAATCCCTTGATCGTGTCCCTCGTCGTTCCCGCCGTGACTGCGGTTGCTCCCGTCCTCGAAATGCCACAATAACGGTCCGACGTTGATCCAGATGCCGTTGGGTTTGAGGCAGTGGCGGATGGCCTCGATATATCGAATGAGATTCGGCGCGGTGTCGATGAAGAATACGGTTGCCACCGCGTCAAACACCCCCTTGTTGCTCGGATTGCTGTAGAGCACCGTAAAGTCGGCGGCAGACATACTCATCCTGCCGAACGGCGCCGCGTTCGTTTGGGCCTCCATCATGGCCGTACCCGGATGCGCGTCCGGGATCATGACCTTCTGCAGCTGTTGCTCCCTGGATAAGAGATTGGAGAAATGAAGGGCGAATGGGTACAGCGCATGCTGTTGGGGACCAAGCGTGTGGTTCAGGATCCAGCTGCTGGCCAGCAATTGATGATAGGAAATCTCGTTCCCTTCAGCAGCAAAGCCTGCCTTGCAGACTTCGAACACCAACCTGCCCAAGCCAGCGCCAGGCACAAGCACCCTCACTTCTTCTCCCGACCCAGCCCGCTGACCGAACTCGTCGCGCAAGTCACGAAGGACAGGGTCATAGCACGCTTCACGCTCTGCTTTGCCCTCAGCGCTCCAGTCCCGGTAGAACTGTCTCAGGGTCGAGTGCGCCTTGTTGACATCGGATGAGTTTGCCGCGCCGTGCCAGTTTTGACGCGGATCCTCGGGGTCAGGGTTTGCAACCAGCCCGAACGACGAGAGGCCTGTGGCCAGAATCGCATCGGCGATCTCGGCGTTCACATCGATGGCATCGTCCACCCGGTTGAAGTTATCCAGGATGGAGAAGGGCGGCTCAGCCAGCATCTGCCAGTGCGCGGACGGAAGCGCATAGAAAGCCTGGCGTCGACGGTGCGTTGTATTCATGTGAGCTGTTCTCCGGTATTGCCTAGCCAGGTCAGCGGAAGATCCTCGGTCGCCACGTAGCCCGACATCAAAGCGTCATCGGGATGGCCATAGGCATGACCCTCGGTAGATGTAGCGTCGTCTCACATACAAAACGAGCGACAAGACGGAGTGGGCTATCCTGCACTTTACACGCACCTGAAGGAGTCAAATGCAGCAAAGAGCACTCGCCGCTCGTCATTGTCAGCCAATGGGTCGAAATCGCCGGACCAGCTGCGGATTTCATCCGGCTCGTCGTGCTGCTCGGATGTCATCTTGGTACTAGTCCTACGCAGTTAGTACCAAAGATGGATGCTCCCGGAATTGATACCAACCCAAAGTTCTATCCAAAGGCCACGGGGGTGGAGGACGCGACTGTGCTTGAACTCGTAGAAACTCGGCGTGCCGTTGAAAGAAAGAATGGAGGAGGAGGAGGAGGTGGTGGTGGTGGTGTGTAGTGGGGACCCGCCCAATTGCAGGTTGGCGGGGAAGCATCCAGAAGCGGTGATGGACCTCGCATCCACGCGACAGTCAATTGATTTCATTCCACCATCAACATCCTGCAGATACTCTCCCCAAACACCAATACTACGACACCCCACTATCTCTACAGAATACATACATACACAACCAACAATGGCAGAAACAGCAGCACCAGCATTACCGATCGAAATTTCTCTCCCCCTCCCCAAAGCCCTGCACACAACCGCGCACATCCACCTTTCCTTCCTCGACACCTGCGCCATGGTCTTCCTGGCCACCTCCACGCCCGGTGACTCCGCAGGCAGCGTCAAGCCCATGGGAAGTTTTATCTATGCCATGCCAGATGTAAGTTCCTCCAATTCCTTTCTGTCCTTTCATATCTTTTCTTTTTCCTCCTCCCTCCTTTTCTTTTCCCCCACTATTCCCTTAAATATAAATAAATATATCTGGTATGTTTATATGTATACCCATCCACGGAGATCAAATTGACCTCTCCATTCAACCACCAAGCATATACAATTAACTCGTCTTACTTTACCTTGTCCACCCCCCATGGATCAAAGGCCATATACTACACAATAGTTCTTCACCATCCCACCACTCATCCACTCCTCCCCCTCCCTTCTCCTCAATCCACAAGAAAACCATACACTTACAAACAAAGCAGAGAACCAACCCCACCGCCACAATCTCCACAACCATCTACTTCTCCCCCTCAAGCGTGGAATACACAACCCGGGTAGCCAAGATCCTCGCCCGACGCATGAAAGTCCCCGTTTACGTGGGATGTAGCATCGACCCCGTGGGTTTGGGGTTGCTTGTGGAAGAGGAAATGGAGGGGGTCAGGGGGATCGTGGACGTTGTTATGCGGAAGTGGGAGAGTAGGAAGGAGTAAAGCCAATTAATACTGTTCAGAGTAGTATCGTATCCTGCTTTTCTTTTTTCTTTTTCTTTTTCTTTTTCTTTTTCTTTTTCTTTTTCCTCGTGATGTTGGTGATGTTGAACTATTGAGTGAGTGAATGAAGATCCATCGACATTGGGAATCTGAATGGATACAGGGATTAGGGTGTAGAGAGTGAACGGTGGGGATTGAAAGGTAGGAAGGGAGAGGGAGGGAGGGAGAGAGGGAGAGTGAGTGTGAGTGTGTGTGTGAAGGGTATTAAATGAAGGGGAAGGGTGATAGTAGGGATCGGGATTTGCATAGGGATTGTAGTCAATGGCATTGATGCCTGGTTGGTTCTTTTCAGAATTGCGGCTAGCATCTAGTAGCTTGTATAATGGAGAAGATTAATATTAATCTTGATTCTCCGGTGATGGAGAGAATATTATTAAAGGGGACTAGTCACTCCATAGAGCAGCATAGACTCGGACGTATATGGTACAGATGATCAAATTGAAATTGGTGCTCTATACTATATTTTGCTATAGTACCTCCTACCTATAGGTATAGTATAGTATAGTGTCTCTAGTAAAACCGGTCGATCAGGTGATCCGACGCATCACATCGGAGATTCCGATGGCCCCTCCGAACGGACGCCATGTGGGCACCGGCGCCCATGATAAGAGACACACGGAATACGAACCGCAAATGATCCCTTCCCTCCATGACGAATTCTCGCCTCTGTGTGGCCAGTCAGCGGAATGGACAGCTCCGGGCCCATCCTGGTAGCCGGACACGTCCGCATCCTTCCGTTCCGGTCAGCTCGCTCAGCCCTTTCGGAAGATAGATGAAACGCAACGGCCCTGCTCCGGACGGCTATCGGAATCAGCCCCGAGCCCTCGCGGCTAACTAAGCATTGGCGTGGAGCTGGCGCTCTGACTTACCTTTGTAGGTCATTTAGACGTCCTTAGTCTCCCTGTGGTTATTATCGTCGCCGTTAGCTTGGCAAATAGTATCTTGTCACTGGTGGCAGCTGCCAGCAGGATGGGTGGTAGATATGTCTAAGTAATTCCTGTTCCTGCAACTACCCTGGTTCGTTTGTCAACGCCATCCCCAAAGAGAAGCACGACACCTCGCCTACCACATACAAGCCATTAGTCTCGTATAAACCGTTGGGACATCAGGGTGGGTATGGTGTGCATATCTGGCATGCGTCAATTCGCTTGGGGCTCTGGATGAGCAGGTATACTCATTTGCATAATGCATGACTGTGTCCCAGAATTCACGGCAGATCAGTCTAATGACACCTGTTCAGTATTTTCGAATGATTCCATTTGCTTGGTCTAGGAATTCCAGGATAAGAGCAAAGGAGCGTGATGGCATTCCTCAGCAATTTTCGTGCGGCTTTTGCCTTCGTGCCTCCATCGGAGCTCTTTCGGTGCTTCTCCGTTTAATTGCGCTGGGCCCATCCACTTGGGACATACGAATCAGAAACGCCGCAGTTTCTCGAGCGATATGCTAAGGAACAGCCAATTCTCGAAGCGTGTCTCAGAAGCCCTGGCAGCTAGCGCATTGCTCTAGATAGGGCATGAACATACTCGCTTAGATAGGGGCTGGCGGCATGTCTAGATCCGAGACAGATGCGGCGTTCTCATACAGAACAATAACGCTGCCCGTGAACCAATATATGCCGGAGATTGCAACAAGGCGTTGTGATCAAGTGGCGCCGCTGGAATCCTCGAAGGAGTCTGTCACTAAAGTGCTCGTAAGCTTTTGCTGAATAGTCTAAAGAAGGACCGCTCCGTCTGGAAAGTACCTCTGGCTGATGAGTTTGGAGTAGCTGCAATACCATTAGAAAACCTCGACCTAATATCGCACTCCATGCGCAACCTGATGTAGCCCCGGTGGTGCCAAGTGGGTTGGCTGTTGCCGAAGAGCCCTCGCATGCGGCAGGAGATGGCTCCTGCACATGGGCACAGCCGGGCACGGTTGGATAAGACGGTATGACCTCACGGGCTGGATTATTGGTAGATAGTAGGAAAACTCTGCGGTGCGGGCAAATTACGACGACAGGGGATAATCCGACCATGAGGCCGGCCATTAATATCGTGCTGCATGGAGGTCAATGCATGGCCCACGTGGACCGTCGAGCTCGAAGCCATCCATCATTGGGCCGACCGAGCTGGCGCCGAGGGCCGAAGGAGGGGAATAATAGCACGGGAAGAGCCAAACCATTCAGCGATCGGGAATCGATGAAACAGGCGGCAAACAGACCCTGGTTGTGCCCTTAACCCCCTGGTGCCCTGGCCATGTCGGGTGTCTGGATTTTCGTGGCCTGGGCTAGGTTGGGGGTCATTATTGGGTGGATAAAGAGAGAAGGTTACTTAGTTCGTTCCGGTTGACGGAACTCACCGAATGGCGGCAGTCTTCCGTGGATGGCTCCGCTCTGGCCTGACTGTGCAGTCACTAGTGACTAGGATCATAGAATGAAGCTATGAGCCCACCTTCTCTTGCTTCATGACTCGGGATGAGTCCGGCTATGATTGATTTATTGGAGAAGTAATATAGGGCCAGACGGGCCAGACGGGCCAGACTGGTCAGCCCAACGAGCCAAGCCACTTGTCGTGGTACCCGCGAGTAGTAGATAGGTAGGTAGTAGCAAGATGGTTAGTGAAATCCGAAATGTTGAGTAAGGGACGCTACCTATACAGGATGGGGTGCAGCGGCCGACTGTCACGGGAAGGGCCACATGGGGGGCCGGACCCTGGATACTGACTAGTAGGTAGTCACTTCTTCTTCTTCTTCTTCTTCTTCCTCTCTCCTCTCCAACACCTCCAAGAAAAGAATACTAATAACATCCACCCGGCCATACTCGAAGGGGATGCTTTCCCGCCCGGCTGCCGGAACGCGGTCGACGAAAAATGTCAGTGGCTGCTAACTTTAGCCAGCAGACAGACGACTGGCTGACAGGTGCGGAAGCAAAACGGCTAGCTAGAGTTCGAGTGTTCGAGAGGGGCCACCCTGGAACGCGATCCGACTATCGTTCTGGCCCCAACCACCACTGGTCAGACTGGTCAGTAGGTCTTTCCCAATGGATCATAATCCTCCGTCCGTCATACGTACTACTACCTATTACTACTACTGTACCGGTAGGATCTCATGGAACTTCCCCTCTCGTTATCGAATTTAATTTTTTTTTTTTTTTATTTTTTCCCTTGGGTGTTCCCCTTCCGGATCATTCCCCCATGCCCGGGGTCTAACCGTATCGTCGCATCGTTGAGATCTCGGTTAGAACATCCGGCCATGGTACGTTACATGGGACCTTAACTTGCCCTAAGTCCTAAAGGACATGGATATGCAGTCTGCCGGTCACTAGATACTCACTAGCCCTGCCAATTTCAAGTCTCGACTCCCCATACAGTTCAGATGAGATAATTTCGGTGGATATTACCTCCTCGGAGACGCGTCCAACAGGCATCCCGCCTCCACTGGTGGACGATATCAGCAAACTGATCAGGCATCTGAGCACAGTGCGGGTGCGGGTGCGGGGACCCATTATTATTCCACCAGCATCTCGACACGAGCCTAGATGCCCAGTTGGAGTTGTCCAGGTTCCTGAGCCGAGCATCCAGCCAACCTAACGCACCATCATGCAACAAACCCGCAGGGGTCAAAGACCAATCCTTCCGTGTCGGTCGTGACTCGCGACATCTGACTGCGACTGAGTCCTACTGGGCTGTGCAGCTCGCCGTGCAAGAGAGATGGGTCATTGGGTCTTCCCAACTGGACGCCTATCTGACCTTGATCCGGAAGGTGAGCGAGGAAAAATAGGAATGGATCACGAAGCTGAAAGGGGGGGTTAGTCCGGGCTGGCCAACGGCTAGAGGACAGGGGGGAATGCGTAACCTGCGCCGGACGACGACACCGCCCAACGACTAAGGCGTCCGGATGTTGTCCGTCTGTGCGATCCCCCCGTTCATATTGGCTGGGGATATCATTTCCGTGGTGGGCAGGGCAGCATGAAGAGGAGCAGCATGCAGCAGGATCCATGATGCGGCTAGAGCTCGTGCCTCCGCCTGCCTTTCCTGCGCAGGCACGCGGCGGCCATAGTCGGCCCTCGGTCGAGGGTCATGGACTGCCCATGGGATGGAGAAGGCTCTTGTGCTCCCTGTATGTAAGTACTAGGATGTAGGTACCAGGTAGACGCATTATTCTTATTCTTGTCGCCGGAACAAGGGAGCCGAACGTAAGTAGGTGCCTAACCCAACATCTGCGTCAGTCAGCTAGCCACTCAGCAGACTATGATCCCATTCTGCCGCATCAGGGCTGTCATCCGACAGCCTGCCTGTCTGCCTGTCTGCTTGCTGATTATCAGTGCGACAAGCAATGGACCCTGTTCCCACCCTTTCCCCTTCCGTTAAATTTGGGATCGACACGGCCATAAGCAGCCCGGCTTTGATGCCGCGCCGAGACGCAGATACTACTGGGATAGGGATGCCAAGGTGGACTACTCGAGGATAGTCTCTCGCCCGAGTCGACGGCTGTTCTGCTGGGCAATAGGAACGGGGGCCAGATCATTGGTCCAAGACCGGGCCGGGCTAAGCTACTAACTAGTAAGCGGTCGCCAGGCTGACGGGGTTGGGACTTGGGAGGGGATGGATGGAGTTGATACGGTGGCCACACAAGCCTCAAAAGCAGCCAGAAGGAATTGCGTAGGAAAGGGCGCCAAGCGAAAATTCTGACGACCACACGACAAGAAGACTAAGCCCCATTCAGCAGGAGGAGTCCAGCCCATGGCTGGCAAAGCCCGAGAAATGCCAGTCATCAGTCGTCAGTCATCCTGTTCCAGGGACAATAAAGATGGGGCGGAGATTTTTCGCCGGGCGGATTTCTCCGTGTTTCGTCCGAAGCTGGGGCTGGCGTCACTCGTCCGACTCTCCTCGCCATCCAAGTAAGATCTAAGTAACATAGTAGTACGTAGATAGATCGTTACCTCAAGCCACAGTGAACCAACCAACCGCCCTCGTCAGCAACCGAGAATAATAATAATAGTAATAATAGTAATGATTGTTGTTGTCACTGTTGTGTTGATATTATTCACCATCGCGTAATACGCAGGATTTGCGGTGGAACTGACCACGGTTGCTGCCTCGTGCACCCATGTGGCTCGTCCAATGGGCTCAGTCCGGAGGCGGGATTCCGAGTTGATCGTCAGAAACGATGCTGAAGATGTGGTGTCGCCCTTGCACATTCTTTCGCTGGGAGGCACGAAGATAGGTTGCACGCGGCCTTCGGGGTGGCGTACCGTTTACTGTCCGACAGCCATTCTATTGGGGATGATCGGGATTATTATTATCGAAGTGTGCTATGCGGCTGGATGGCAGGGCGTCTCTGAGACAGCGCTTCAGGAGATTGCAAGATCAGGGGAATGGAATGGCACAGACTCCATCCTTCATCGGTGAAGAGAATAAGAATAGCAATAGCGATCCTCCTGGGCCTCCAATGATCAAGCAGCCCGGTGGCCCATCGTCCGGCGGTGGTTAAGGTAAAGCGGTTTTGACTTTCCATGTTCCCGTCAACCGCCAGTCATCAAGCCGTCACTGCTGGGAACCCAATCTACCCCCAAACCACTCGGCTTCGACCACCAACCCCCATCCATGGATTGGCACACTTGCTGCCGTACACCACAGGAGTTGCCGTGATGATCATCAGCGAACCACGGCCTCCCAGCCTGCACTCGCTGAGCAGCCAAGCCCACCCGCCAGGCCTGCCAGACAACCGGATCCATGTAGGTTGGTCGCTTACTAGTAAGCTGGAACCTCCTCAGCTGCAGGTCAGAATTTAAGCACGGAGTTGCTCTCCGTACGGGCGATGTCAGAACCATACTTAGATTCCATCATGGCCGAGCCTAGGTACCCTTCCGAGACCGTTCTCCGTCCCAACTTCTGGAGCTCAGCCATTCCGCCCTTTACCTTGGTGGGACCGTGGACCGTGGATTAAGAAAAAAAAATATGATTAAAAATAGTAGAGAAAAAGGATGACGGCCACGTCGTGATCTCTGGGAGGAGCCGTAGCCGGTACAGGACACTGCCACTGCCGATCTCGGGATACTGCCAACCTAACTAGAGGTCTGATCCTCTACTAAGAACTGCCAGTTCAACAGCCGGTGGGCGATTGCAAAAGAAAACCCAAGCAATCAATCAAGATGAGAACCGATTCAGGCGCGCGAAACGGCGAGCCCAACACGGGAGCTTGTACAGTAGTGCAGCAGAAGCGACGACGGGCCGTTACGACATCGGCCGGCCAGCTGGGGATGATACTCCTTGGTAGGGACGGACTAGGTGTTTAGAAACTAGGGAGACGTTCGTCAACAAACTGCGGTGGGATTCAATCATCAGTCAACAATCCGACTGGGCGCAGGAAATCAATTTAGAGTATAAACGATCAAACAAAGAACCCGCCAGATGGAGTTTTCCGTAGGGCCCTGTTAATTTAACGGAAACATCGCATCGAGCATATTAATAGGAGAATCAACATTTTTAGCAGTGGTCCACTGGGGCAGGTCCCATCTTCATCGTCATCGTCATCCCGCTCGTGTTGCCCCTCCACGACTAATTGGGAGGAAGGTTAGGTGGAAAATAAGGAATTAAAAAAAATTAAGAAAAATTAAGAAAAAGGAAAAGAAAAAAGAAAAAGAAAAAAGAAAAAGAAAAAAGGAAAAAGGAGAATGGAAAAGAGGAGAGGGGAATGAAAAAAAAGCAAAAAACAAAAAGAGAAAGGAAAAAAGGAAGGCCAACCCACCAGTCAATCAACGGAACCGGGGCAAAGGCTGTCGGCAACAGATTCCTAAGGATAGACTTCTGCAGTAAGCTCAGGTGCTAATCTCCGCCCTTCTCGATCCGATTTGAGTAGGTAGCTGGCGTCGTTTCAGCCATGTTTTTTCTGCTCTGTAACCGGGGTCAGCCGAGAGACTTTCGGAGTCGATTCCTGGGCATGGGAGGACCCTGGCGATGGAGCTTCTGGCACGCCATCCGAGCCCGGGTCGCATGCAAGTGTGGGCATTAATCTATTTGCGCCGGTTTTCCTCCCTCTGGTTGTGTTGGTTGGAAGGGAATAATGCTGGTATTCGGTAGTTGCTGTGGTTGATGTCTGTATATGAAGGATTGGTGGTCGTGAGGGGAAAATTCCCAGCAACGGAGAAAGAGTGAGAGAGAGAAAGCCATACATACATACAGTACGGAGGAGTAAGTAAGTAAGTAGTAAGTAGAGGGGCAATCAATAATAATAATCATAATCAATCAATCCGGAAACCCAAACTGAGAATATTAAAATGACTAAATAATAAATCTGAATATTAAACTAAAATAATAAATCAAAATAAATGAGAGAAACGAAACCAGAGGCTCCGGAGGGTTCATTGCAGTGATTATGCGTCCATCATCCGTAGTATGACTGCCAGCTTATCATCCCTTCCATGACTGAACTGCTTTTCTTCTATATTCACTTCGCTCCCCAGGCTTCTTCTTGCTTGCTCTTTCTCTCTCCTCTTCCTTTCTCCCTCTCTCTCTCCCTCTCTATTTGCCAGTCAACTCAACCACCACCACCCTCTCTGCATTAATTCTAATTTTCCTGCTGCAACCATCCCCCTAGCTTTCCCTCCCCTCTCTCACCACAACCCCCCCCATCTTCATCCATCCTCCATCAACCACCTTCTCCTTACCCTAGCTCTTGTTGGCTAGCTAGCTGTTACCCACGTTCCTTGCAGCCCCTGCACCGACCTCGGAATAGGTGTTCGACCTTGTATGGCTTCATCGGCGCCGACGACCTCCATCTGTCCGTTCCAAGTCCAGCTACACTACCGCATCTAGATGACCCCACGGTTCCCCATCGTCCCAATCTAACTTTCTGGTCTGGAACACCACACCACACCACGTCCACCATTTCTGTGGCTCGGATTATTGGCGCGATCGCACCAGCTATTCCATCCCCCTTCCCCATTTTCCATCTTTCGCCACTGCGGCCAGCTTCCCGAATCAATCCCATCCAATCCGCTCTTCCCCTCCCCGGCAGTTGATTGTTGGCGCTCGGGATTTCTACCATCTATCGGGGATCCAATTTCCCCCCCCCCCCCCCCCTTCCATCGTCATTGTCACAGCGCAGCTATCATCAGCACTAGTGCCCATTCGAGTTGCATACAATAGGAAGAAGCTGTCCCATCATTTCATCCGACGGGATTCTGCTTCTTCCTCGCTACGCCTTCATCCCATCGCCTCCATCGGACGAGCGGGCATCGTCTGGTCCGCGCTTGCTTCGACCTGCGCCCCCCAGGTTCCCCTTATGAGGTTGCATTGCGGGTGTCAACATGCAAGCGCATTACTATCACTCCTCGACTAACCCGAACCAACCGGGAGGGTCGTATGAGCTTCCTCCGGTGCACGCGGTAACCTCGCCCCCAGCGCCATTCCAACCGCATGGACCCGCGGCTCCTCTTCTTTCCGCTCCGCCGAGTCGACCCGATAGCGGGTTGCGCATGGCCCATCTACTTCAGCCGTTGGCACAACATATGCCCAATCCCCCGCCGCCGCAAGTAACGAACGTTCCCACCTACTCGCGTTCGTACGAGTCCAGCGGCTCCCCCGCAGAGGGCGTGTCTATGTTGCCCGATGCACCCTCGCTGAATGGCTCCGGGCTGCTTCAGCCCGTTGGCGGGGGTGGTGCGGCTGGTCCGCACGCCCACCACCAGGCACAGCAGCCCTTACAACAGAAGCGAGCGTATCGACAGCGAAGGAAAGACCCCAGTTGTGATGCCTGTCGGGAACGCAAAGTCAAGGTACGTTACGCGGCGTCTGATGTTACTCGGGTTGTCGCATTGACCCAGGTTGGCTCATTTCGTTTAGTGTGACGCTTCCGAGTCCTCCAGTTGCACAGAGTGCACCAACCGCAAGGTTCGCTGTCAGTTTACCAAGGAGACTAACAGACGCATGTCTTCAATCAAGTTCGTGCCGTGGCCGTTCTATCCGTGGGAGTCTTACCATTCTAATGTGCCAGCAGACAAGTACAGGACCTTGAGAAGCAACTGCTATCAACCAAACAACAACTCCATCAACTTCGGTCGGGGATGCTACGATCCGACAATCTGATGGACTTGGACATTGACGGCGCGGGGCAACCTCAACTGAAACTTCCGGACGTCGGATATCGTCCCCCGCGCCGGCCACAAGCGCCGGTGATGCAGGATCTGACCGAGGCTCGTGCCAATCTGCGGAAATACGGGAGGGGCATCCTGAGGGTGCCCCCTCCATACCGACAGCAAGGGCCTAAGTCCTTGTTGTCCACCGACCCTCCCCCACTGCCCCCGAAGGAGGTGGCCAATCGCTTGCTGGCACAGTACTACAGCTGCATCCACTCCGTCCTTCCAGTGATCCATTGGCCCACCTTTGTGAATGAATACGAGAACGTCTACCAGGCCGGGACGCTCCTAGGAGTTTCCCGGGAATGGGCAGCAGTACTGTTTGGAGTCTTCGCCTGTGGGTGTCTACACACTCTGGAGGCGAATCGGGAACAAGAAGGCAAAGAATTCGTGAAAGTCAGTTGCGGGGTGATCGACGTATGGCAGGACAACTTCACCTTGGACCAGGCACGGGCGGCGCTGCTGGCCAGCATCTTCCTGTATGAAGTGAATTCGCAATCGGCTAGCTGGGTATGGATTGGATCTGCGATAAGAGTTGCGCAGGAGATCGGGCTGCACCTGGAGTCGGGGCCCTGGTCCCCTCTTGAGGGTGAGATTCGAAAGCGGTTGTGGTGGGGGATGTACACTTGGGACAGGTAGGAGTTACCAGACGTGGCCAATTGCTGGGCGTGTAGCTTACTGGACTTGCAGGCTTCTCGCCTTGGAGATGGGAAAACCAGTTCTCATCAATGATCAAGACTGCGATGTGGATCTCCCCTGTCCCATCGATGAGCAGTACCTCTCGGATGGCAATTTTGTGCCGGAAAGCCCGCAAACGTCGCCGTTACTTGCCACCATCCACGTCGTTCGATCCATCGGTCAGCTATCGCGAACCTTGAGAAGTTCCACGATTAGCCAGGGTACCCTAGAAACGTTCGAACGACACTTGAACACCTGCCTCGCGACCTTCCCTCCCCAGTACCACCCCAAAGCCGACCAGTTCCTTGATCCCCGCACGCTCGCCCCGATCCTCTACCTCCAGAATGCTCGACTTATCCTGCATCGCCATAATATTTCCCCGTTCTGTGCGCCCGAAACTCGATCGTCAGCATTGGACTATTGTGTCTCTACCGCCCAGGATACGGCACGTCTACTCTCGCGCTGTATGCGCCCACCGTCCAGCCCTGGCCATGGTTTTGTGACTACGGCCGGCGATGACTGGAGGCCACTGCTGGCCTCCTCCGCCAGTACTATGCTGTGCGCCCACCTCTGGCGCAGCATACTGTTACTCCTGTTCCGTCAGGAATATGCTGCCGCTCTCATCTGTGTTCAAGCAAGTGCTGCCATTGGTGATTCACGCGCGGTGAATGCTGCCTGCGGGCGCTACCTCGCATTCTTCCTAAAAGCGGTGTTGGACCGGCTGCGGCGCAACGAGTTGACGGTGTTGGAGCGGGACGAAGAGTTGATGGCATATGTGTCGGGCGACATGCAAGGCACCGCTGAGGCTGGCTGGATATGGCAAGGGAGTGAAACCGGCTCCCAGTTGGAGACGATGTCGCCCAAAATCAACAGCCCCGTCGCGTACTCTCATACCGAGAGCAATGACCGACCCAGCGGTGGGTCGGAAAGCTGGGACGGCTGGAGCTGGGTGGAGCAGACGGTGCAGTATCTCAGCGAGAGAACTCAGCAGCAGCAGGAGCTCCAGCATCGTACAAAGCCCCTGGAATCGATGTACCTTGGCCCGGAAACAGCCAACACGAGCTCCGATGCGACAACGCCCCAGTCAAGCTCGTCTCATTCGCGCATGACCATTGCAAGCATAATCTAAGCTGGCTTTGCAATGACGACATTTCCTACCATGGCGGATGCGACACCCGCCTTATTTTGATTGATAGGGGACTATGTGAAACACGGCCGAAGCTTAAGCATTCAAGTCGCCCTACCCGCCTAGGGCGCGAGACCGTTCCCCTACCGGGGCAATCAGTTGTACTATTTCTACTTGTATTATCGTCGAGGCGATTCTGTGGCGGCCCCACAGGCATGTGAGATGAGATCATGGATTACGAATCAGCTGCGATGTTTTAATTTCCGTAGATAGTGTTGGAATCTTGTATACAGTACAAGCATGTATAGCCGGAAGCTAGACACTGAACTTGATCCTTTGGCATATGAGCATAGCATTACCACGGATACATTATATCACATTGGGTCATTAGATAAATGAACATAACACAAAAGGTTTAGACTTAAGTCTCCAAGTTAATGCTCCGTCCGAAACGAGCATACAGGGCGACCTTTAACTGCTGCAGTTCATCGCGCAAGTCACTCAGCTTCTCCTCCAACTTGCCCACCTCGACATCGACTTGCTCCGTTGCCGTTGAGAGCAGCGACTGGGCCTCTTCAAGGGGAAGCTGGAAGAAGGCATCCCCGATTTTGTACCTGTCCTGGTTAGCAATTTCCAATCCAGAATCCATCCATCCATCTCTGTACAACGAAGGAATGGATGGGCGCGTCTAGGGGATACTCACGGCACCAGCTCATCCTCATCGGCCAATTCCAGCTCCGTGGAGATTTCTTCCAGATCTTCTTTATCTTTCTGTGGGGTGATTCTTAGCACGTGCATTTTCCATCGACAATGACTAGCTTTACAAAAAAAAAAAAAAAAAAAAAAAAAAAAAGTACGGATGGGGGGATGGGGGGATGGGGATAAACATACCAACTTCAACTTCAACTGCTCCTCCAGCATCGTCTCACGCTGGTGCAGTCGACTAAAGCGGTTGATCTTTTCTTGGTCCTCGCGACGGACTTCGTTGTCCTCGCTGCCCGTGAGGGCTTCATCTTCTTTCGAGAGCTGAGGGGTTTTGTGTCAGTAGGTACTATATTGGTAAACTGAGAAAATCGGGGAGGGTTATTGTACGAACCATACGAGTTTGCATCATCTTGGCGGGGGGGTGTGGTGGGGGTTGTTGATGTTGCTGGGGGCTCTGGGCTCTGGTGTTGAATGATTGATTATTGTTCGGTGGAGGGGAGCCGATGAGTGTGATGCCTGAGGCTGGAGATTTCCGGATTGGGGTGAGAGGGGTGGTCTGTGCGGGGAGGTGGTGGGTGCCTGAGGTTGCATATTGGTGATGGGTACGAGGTTTTGCATGAGGAACGCTTTTGGTGGGTATCATGTAGTGGAGTTCTACTAAGGGTGTGTATAGTATCCAAGGCTATGGGTCAAAGTCTAGATAGTATGGTGGGTGATGCCTTTAGAGTTGGATTGGCTTCGAAATAATGTCACTGGAGGCTACCGGGTATACATCTGTAGTAGGACTACGCTGTCCTCGCGGAAGATTTCGAATATGGACAACCACCAGCTGGGCGTGTGACATCATCCCCGTCAGCTGCTCTCCGCATTGCCGATCACGTTCAGCCCCTGCCACGAGAGACACTCGATCGCCATTCCATCCATCGTCATCGGTGTTTACTGAAGCGGTCGGTGGTGGTTGATGCTCGCGTCGGAGAAACCCAGCTTGCCGGCCACCGCATCGCCGACATCCGCTTCGGGACAGGCCCATCCACCTTGGCTTCTCCATCTTCATCTCGGGGCTTCCTCGCGCCTCCACGCAATCATATAGAACACCTCTCGACACCCCCGGGTCTCGAGTCTACGACGCTTCCTTGGCTGGTTGTTTAACCCTCGAATCTACCGCCTCCACTGTCGAGCTGAGCTCCGGTCATCATCCATCTACTTCACCGCTCCGACCGATCCAGTTCCTCTCTTTCAACGACACACAGCTTAACCGCCACCATGCGAATACCCTCTAGCCTCTCGACCCTCCTCTTCTCCTCCGCCCTTCTCCCCAGCCTCGCCTCCGCCTCCGGATTCGACTGCAAACACATCAACGTCGACTCCTTCAAATATGACCTCAGCTCCCTCGGCGGCGTGCACACTCTCTACCACGTCGACGAGACAGAAGAATACACCGTCAACACGACCTACGTGCTCAACATCTGCAACATTCTCAAGGGCGCCGCTCACCGCGGACATCTGAAATGCCCGACGTCCAAGAACAGTACGTCTTTTACCTCTCAAACCCTCAATCAAACCTCCTCACTAACCAAACCTTCCCAAACCAGTCTGCGGCTTCCAATACAAAACCGCCCTCGACAGCCACAAAGAAGAGAGCATGGTATTTCCCATCGTCGGCCTAGACCATCTAGGCCACGGCTCCAAGGACCCCGAAATCACTCGGTTGAAGAAACTCGATTCCGCACAGGAGGGTCTCCTCGTCAAACTCTCCGGCGGCGAGTACTATGACGAAGAGCAACAGAAGAAGAAGGACGCGGGCGCCGTCATCGAGTTCCAGTGCGATCCCGACCGGTCGGGATTGGAGGGTCTGCAAACCACCGAGGACACGGAAGCGGAGGAACGCCGCCGTCGTCGCGCGGACGAGAACAACGATAACAACAACGAAGGCAATGGCACGATTCCGCTGGGCGACCGCAGTCTTCAATTCACGAGTTTCGGGCCCGCGGACGACGATTCCTATGTGCTCAAGCTGAATTGGAGAACGCGGTACGCGTGCGATAATTATAAGGATGAGCCGGATCAGCAGACGGGTGATGGGTCGAGTCATTGGGGATTCTTCACATGGTTGATTATTATGTATGTTCTTCCCTTCCCCCACCCCTTTTTATCGTTAAATTCCATTGGAGTTTACTCCCTACTCGTTCGAACACCAAACTAACACAGCCCTCATAAACAGCCTCTTCCCCTGCATCGCCGCCTACCTCATCTTCGGCTCCTGGCTCAACTACAACCGCTACGGCGCCCGGGGATGGGATCTTCTCCCGCACGGCGACACCATCCGCGACATTCCCTACCTCTTCCAGGACTGGTTGCGTCGAGTAGTAAACACACTCCAAGGAACGGGGACAAGAGGGGGATATAGTGCCGTTTAGGATTATTCTAGAAGGCTTTTTTTTTTCCTTCGCTGTGGTTTTACGGTCGATTTGGGTTGGGTTAAGTCGTGGCTATCAATGAGTGTTGATGATTCTTCGCTTGAGAAGACTAGTATGTATACCGTTCTATCAATAAGATTGAGTTGTTTTGGGTACTTTTTTTTTTCTTTCTTTTTTTCCTATCTATCTTATGTCTGTACTGTAGAGCTTTTGTTAGTTTAGGTGTTGAAATATAGACATGGATATGGAATTGTATACCTCACACTAGCAAGGAAACAATACCATTTAACTAACTAACTACAATAATCAACTCAAGCCAAGAACCATCCTGTATACCATATAATCATTAACCATAGACTAATAGAATACTTAATAGAGTAATACTTTGAGAAAATCAGGTATCTGCTCTGCATTCCCAATCCTGTAAAGTAATACTATTCCCGGCGCACCTAAACCATGTGATAGTGTGAACAATGCCATTTTCTGATATGGAAGGGGGAGAGATATGTTTGTTGATTAGATTAGTCGATCGATCAGTACTAGATAAATCTCGATAGGCGTAATTTAGTAGCCCGGCTGCATTATCGTGTTGTGTGTTGTTTATCTGGATGGATAAATAGATGGATCTCTTCTCATATAGATTAATTGCATTGTGATTGCATTGTTATGTGCATTAATCATTCTGGACACGTAGTACATTAGAGTCATGTGCAATTTATGCAGATTTTGTGGTGTGTATTGTGTATATCACAATCGTAACGGGGAACCCAGTGAATAACTCACTACTCACTACTCAACCACGATGAGAACAGATACGATTACGACGGAAATAAGATAGAAGGTTTATTCCACCAAATAGATTGATCCATTCTCCCTGCCTTATGTAAATCAGTCAATCATCAATCAACAAAACGAATCATAAGAATAACGATCATCATCACATCAAATGGCGTCATCAAAGCTAAGGATTCACCATGCCTAGCATCGTTATCTGGCATACCAAACGAAGTTAAAAGAGTGGATAGCCCCTCTTTTCTGCTCCTGCATAGTTACTTAAATTCATCGTCGTTCCCTCTTCTTCCCACCTCGTTCTGTTCGGGTGGATGGCTCGGCTACACGCGCATGGCGAATTGCTTCAGATACAAGTAATCCGCCATGTTGGCGTCGACGGCTTTACGGATCAGAGCGGCACCTTCGGGTCCGTATTTCTTGAGCCAATCGGCGTCCCATTCTTGTTCGGTTTTGATGGCATGCGGCTGTGTGGGTGTTAGTCGATGACTGACTGGCTGTGTGCAGGGTATGACTGATGATGACTTACACGCTTTCTAGCAACCAGGCCCTTCGATTCGATCGCATCATTGTGAAAGCCTCGCCACTTCTCGAACGCATCCCGAGCGTGCTGGTGGTCTTCCTCGGTGTCCCAGTTCAACATGTCCGGGGTGTACTCGAGTCCCACGCTACGGCAGAACGCCTCGATCATAGGCGCCGGCTTCAGGAGCATATCGTCGGCATCGACCACACAGATCTCCGCCCCGGATTCGTGTCCGAACCCGTTCGTCACCGGCCGAAGCCGGTTATCAATATCGTCAGCGTCTCGCTCCTGTGTCGCAATATGCGGACCGATCTGGCGCACGCTACGCAGATAATCGAAGGTGCGGCGCAGCTCGTCATACCCGGCCTCGGAAAGGTCATAGTTGTGGAACCCAGTCACATCGCTGAGGGGCGGGATGGTGCAGCGGTAGTAGGAGGGAACACTGTGATGCGGATCACGGATGAGGAAGGCAAAATGGAACTGGGCGAGGATTTCGGTGGGCATCACGGTGGGATTGCCTGGCTCGGGCGCCGTGTCGTACGGGTATGGCTCCCGCTTGGAGGGTTTCACCTGTGCGAGGTTGTCCAGCGCAGCATGGCCATTGAGCCCATTTGTGGTCGCGCCGTTCAGCTGCTGGTGATGGTGGCCGTTGGCATGATGGGCGCCAACGACCGGTTGGGGAGTCGTCTCTCCAGTCGACTCGGTCCCCACGCCACGCTTGATCCTTCTCAGTGATGGCGCGATGCTGGCCGGCTTGCCGTCCGGAGGGAGAAGATAGTGCATGATGTCCTTCATGAAGATGCGCTTGCCCTGCGGTTGGTAAGTATCTTGCGACAACCAAGTAGAGGACAAATCAAGGGCTCGTAGGAGTAGGGCTGGTGAGATCCGACGCCGTCTTGCAGGTGATGGCGAGATACTACCTGGGGCAATCATAGAAGAAGACCCGCAACTCAACCGGGGGAAAGGGCATTTGGTGTCCTGCATATCCCGGAGGCTTCTACGGTGTAGCAAGGACCATTTGGCCCGGCTCAACTCCAGCCGGGCGCATTACGACAGACAGGGAGAAAACATGGTGTAGAACGGAGAAAGCAAAAAACGCGATCAAGAAGAAGGGTCGGACCTCAGAAGCTTCGCGCTCGACTCGATCCAGGACGGTTTTGAACGTCGACTGGCTAAAGCCGCTGTCCAGACGCGCCTGTTCATCGTCGGCGAATCTGGCCGAAAGCCGTTCGGGCCCGTAGTAGAAGGCATCGCCAAACGGCTCGTGGATACACTGGATGGTATCTCGACGAGTCATAAAGACCTGGGAGGTGTCAGCTGCTCTGCCCGACTCTCCGATCCCAGGGATGGATGCGATCATGCGTACTCGTTCAAATGCTGTGGAGCATGCCCGGGGATGGGTAGCCACGAAAATGGGTTTCTGTGACATCGTGCAAGATGTGATGGGGAGTACCAGATCTGGTGGGTGAAGCGAACTGAGCCTTTTCAGGTCCAAATTCGACGAAGCTGAACAGTGCACACTACTTATGACCAGGGAATTTCACCGCCAGCGTAGGGACTGAAGGGACTGTTGCCCCGAACAAGACAAACACGCAGAGGGCTGTGGGAGGAGTCTGTTATCGATGCAAAGATCGGCAAGAACGAGCCAGCACAGGCAGTCGTCGCGAATCCGGGCAGGATTGGGCGAGAAGATAGAGAGAGACAGACAGATCGACGAGGGAAGCCGATGGGAGGGGGACTTTTATAACCAGCCGGACTTTGGCAGCGGAGGGGGGGATACGGGGGAGACCTCCACGGGCAGCGCAGCCATCACGAATAGAAATGACTGATCGATCAGAGGCCTCGTTCCTCACTCCAGGGCCAATGCTATGTCCGGCAAAACAAAACAGGGAAGGTTGACCCGTGGATGGACCAGATAAGGCAGTCCTACGAGGAACGAGGGTCAGTAGTACAGCTGCATATCCACTACTGTCCAACGGTCCCAGGCTAGTCGAGGGGTTAAAACGTAATTGCTTTTCGGGGGCCCCTCTGCTATCCACAATGGTGGCCAGAATGCTGAATTAATCCCGCAGGAAGTGGTGGTGCCTGGCATTATTCAGAGCGATGTCGCATTTTTCACGGTCAACGCCGGCCGTTCTGATGTGTCATGACGTGGGTTGTCGGGAAGAGATTTCGGCTGGCGGCGATTCCAATTACGATCTACGCCTCTCTCCCCTCCCCCTTGATCAGATCTCTGGGCTATCTGGTCGGGACCGGCCCAGTAGGCTCGAGCGAGTTGCTTGACCATGGGCCAGAGGCTCCGGAAATACGACAGTCGGTGGTTCAACAAGGCTGACAATGCCGGGTGGTAGGAGGGGTTCCCACCGCTTGACGTCACGCTCGGGCCTGGAATGACCTGACCATGGGCTGCAAGCCCGCAATAGCCTGAGGAAATAATATCAAGGCGCAGATTGGATGGAGGGGCAGTGGCGGGGGGGGGGGGGGGGGGGGGAAGGGGAACAGGGGAGGAGAATTATCCGGAGCTGATGCATTCATAGGATGGTCTCATGCACATGGATGGATGCAGTGCTCACGATGTCTTGTCAGAAGCACAACCTTTGGCTACCACCTAGGATGTAAGAAAGTATCAGCAGAATATTCTCAGCAGGGGATGGCACTCGTAGATTGGGAATGGACCACCACCACCACCTGGAACTCTAATCCCGGCCAGACCAGATGGCTGCATGCCAATCAAGGCCTGGTATCATCGTCAACGTGGGGGGTATTTTCCCTTTATTCGCTGGAGGAGGCTGGCTGTGCTAGTAGTGTTCAGGTGGATTCTCAGATTCCCAGGACGACAGGATGGTGGTGGTCATGTCGATGATCGTACTCCGTAGTGGATGCTCCAAGGAGCTGGACGTTTCGACTTGAGTCGAGCTGAGCAGTTCTTTCCTTAGTTACTACTTCCAAATTGGGCAACTGGCCAGTCTCTGGTCACCTGATCCGGGCCCCCGCTTCCCGTATCTCCGGCCTGAGAGCTCAGGCCATCCGCCTACTACTAGTCTACTAGAAATCAGGCCAGAAAGGACCGGCAGCGACACGTGACTTCTGGGTGCGGCGGGATCCTTCTGGAAGGCGGTGGAAGTTGGCCGTGTCGTCATGAAGATCCCACGATGCCCAACTGGCAGCTATATATCCAATCCTCAAGCTCGCCATCGAGGGCTCTCACCAGACTCACCAGACTCCCCACTAATAATCATCAGACACCACTTCCTGACAAATCTCTTAATTCTACGCCTCCTACCTCTACACCTACTTATATCGCTCCCACACGCACTCCCAATTACTCAACTCAATTGACTTCCCCACTTCTTCACACTCTACACACACCATGAACGGCGCCCAATTCACAGACCGAGCCAACAAGGCCCTGCTGGACTCCAGCAGCTTGGCTGAACAATACTCTCACTCTCAAATCCTTCCCGTTCACCTCGCAGTCTCTCTACTCAACCCCTCTCCAGATGAATCCAAAGACCAACAAGCACCCGCCCATCCATCCCACGAGACCTCCTCTGCCCCTCTTTTCCGCCAGGTCGTTGAACGTGCCCACGGCGACCCACAGCTCCTCGAAAGAGCCCTCATGAAACTGCTGGTCCGCCTCCCCTCTCAGGATCCTCCTCCCGAGACCGTCAGCGTCTCTCCTGCCCTAGCCAAAGTCATACGTTCTGCCTCAGACCTGTCCAAGACACAAAAGGACAGCTATGTCGCCATCGACCACCTCATTCTATCGGTCTCTCAGGACTCTCAAGTCCAGCGGGCACTGGCGGATGCCAGCATTCCCAACGTCAAATTGATCGACACGGCCGTGCAGCAGATCCGCGGTACGAGACGGGTTGATTCGAAGACTGCCGATGCCGAAAGCGAGAACGAGAACCTGAAGAAGTTCACAATTGACATGACCTCCTTGGCCAGAGAAGGCAAGATCGACCCCGTTATTGGCCGTGAAGAAGAAATCCGTCGGGTGATCCGGATCCTCAGTCGACGAACCAAGAATAACCCGGTGCTTATCGGTGAGCCCGGTGTCGGGAAAACCACTATCGTCGAAGGGCTGGCTCGTCGGATTGTGAACGCAGATGTTCCGGCCAATCTAGCTCAATGTCGACTACTCTCTCTTGATGTCGGTTCGCTTGTTGCAGGCAGCAAGTACCGTGGTGAATTCGAAGAGCGGATGAAGGGCGTTCTAAAGGAGATTGAAGAATCCAAAGACACCATTGTTCTCTTCGTCGATGAAATTCATTTGCTCATGGGCGCAGGCTCAAGCGGCGAAGGTGGAATGGACGCTGCCAACCTGCTAAAGCCGATGCTGGCTCGTGGTCAGCTGCACTGCATCGGTGCCACTACGTTGAGCGAATACCGCAAATATATCGAAAAAGACCAGGCCTTCGAACGCCGTTTCCAACAGGTTCTCGTCAAAGAGCCGTCGGTTTCGGAAACAATTTCCATTCTGCGTGGTCTCAAGGAAAAGTACGAGGTGCACCACGGTGTCAACATTCAGGACGGCGCCATCGTTTCCGCGGCAGAGCTGGCCTCACGTTATTTGACAGCACGCAGGCTCCCTGACTCGGCTGTTGACCTGATCGATGAAGCGGCGGCTGCCGTGCGAGTGACCCGCGAATCTGAGCCCGAAGAGTTGGACAACCTGGAGAGAAAGCACCGCCAATTGCAGATCGAAATCCATGCCCTCGAGCGTGAGAAGGACGATGCTTCCAAGGCCCGTCTGGCAGCGGCCAAGCAAGAAGCAGCCAATGTCGCCGAAGAGCTGCGGCCAATGCGCGAGAAGTATGAGAGCGAGAAGCAGCGCAGCAAATCCATCCAAGATGCAAAGATCAAGCTCGACACCCTCCAGGTCAAGCGAGATGAAGCGGAGCGCTCTGGTGACAACCAGACCGCCGCCGATCTCGAATACTACGCCATTCCCGAGACCAAGCAGCTCATTGAGCGACTCGAATTAGAGCGTGCCAAGGCCGACACTGAGCAGCGGGAGCGTCAGGGCGAGGCGGGCCAGGCGTTGCTTGCAGATGCGGTCGGTCCTGACCAGATCAACGAAATCGTTGCCCGTTGGACCGGTATCCCTGTGACGCGGCTCAAGACCACCGAGAAGGAAAAGCTGCTGAACATGGAGAGACATCTTGGCAAGGTGGTTGTAGGCCAGAAGGAGGCTGTGCAGTCGGTCTCGAATGCCATCCGACTCGGAAGATCCGGTCTCAGCAACCCCAACTCGCCGCCCAGCTTCCTCTTCTGCGGCCCCTCCGGAACTGGTAAGACCTTGCTGACCAAGGCCCTGGCGGAGTTCCTCTTCGACGACCCCAAGGCCATGATTCGCTTCGATATGTCTGAATACCAGGAGCGGCACTCGCTGAGCCGTATGATCGGTGCTCCTCCGGGATACGTCGGTCACGACGCGGGTGGTCAGCTCACTGAGAGCCTCCGTCGTCGTCCGTTCTCTATCCTCCTCTTCGACGAAGTCGAGAAGGCAGCCAAGGAAGTTCTTACCGTTCTCCTCCAGCTCATGGATGATGGGCGTATCACCGATGGACAAGGCAGAATTGTCGATGCCAAGAACTGCATTGTGGTCATGACTTCCAACCTGGGCGCCGAGTTCCTCTCTCGTCCGACCACCAGGGATGGCCGCATGGATCCCCAGACGCGCGAGTTGGTTCTGAATGCCCTCCGCAACTACTTCCTTCCCGAGTTTCTGAACCGCATCTCCAGTGTCGTCATCTTCAACCGTCTCACTAGGAAGGAGATACGCAAGATCGTCGACCTCCGCCTGGACGAGGTCCAGAAACGACTGAAGGATAATGGCCGCAATTTGGTTATCGATTGCTCCGACGAAGTCAAAGACTACCTCGGCCAATCCGGATACTCGCCCGCGTACGGTGCTCGTCCCTTGGGTCGGATCATCGAGCGCGAGATCCTCAACCGTCTGGCCATCCTCATCCTCAGTGGCAGAATTCGCGACGGTGAAGTTGCCCGCGTCATCATGCACGATAATCGCATCGAAGTGCTCCCCAATCATGAGCCTGAAGACATCGATGAGGAACCTATCGACGAACCTATGGTGGACACCGATGAAGAAGTCTTCGCGGAGATGGAAGACGGCAGTGGTGACATGGATCTGTACGAGTAAACCGACTTGACAAAAGTTGACTGATTGCTCTGCATTTTTATGTTTGGAACAGATTTTTTCCTTTACGATTGACGATGATACGGTTGCTTGTTTTCCTTTCTTGCCTTCTTATATGTTCTCTACATCTGCATTTCCCTGATGAAAATGACTGTACAGTCGAGTCGGCCTTGCTTGTTTATAGCTAGCATGATGCATGCACATATCTATGTACACTAATTTGATAATCGGTTGAACCGAATGTTACTTATCTATCCTTTCAATAAGTATTAAGTACAATTGAGTACTTCTCCAGGTCAATTCGTAATATAATATAACAACCTACTTTCACTCAAGCTTCACCCTTCATCTCCCTCTCCCTAAACCACCTCACAATCTCCCCTGTCTGACAAAACTCCACCTCATCCCCCCACCCCTTCAACCAAGTCAACAACCGCTCTAACATACCAATAACATGCGCCATTCCACTCGTATCCGGATGCATCAAAACCGGGAAAATAGGTTCTTCCTCGTTCTCCCTGATCCACAGGAATCGATCTTTCCACAGGTTTTCGATAACACGGACATCGGTGTATCCGTGGGAGTTGTGCGCATGTGGCAGGAACTGCATGGGGGTCATGTCCTCCATGTACCAATTGCAAGGGACACAGACGAGAGGACGGCGGTCGGTGGTGGTTTGCGGGATGGGGTGCATCCAGGTGGAGGCGGGGAGGGAGAAGTCAATGGGTTGGAGAGGAGGACGGCGGGGGGCGAAGAAGGGGTGGCTGTCGTGGTCGGTTAGGGAGGCGTCTAGATGGATGGGTTGGTTAGCGTTTGTTGGCGTGGGTGTGGGTGGTAACAAGAAAGAGAGGAAATACCGTATTCGAAGCCAAATTCTTCGAGGAGATCAAGAGTGGATTCGCGGAGTTGATATAAGGGGGCTCGGTAGCCGACGGGTTTCTTGCCGGTGAGTTTGGTGGCGATCTCGATGCACTTGGTCAGGACGTCGCGCTCTTGTTCTACGGTGAGCTGGTAGGCGCCTTCGTGGGCGTAGCCGTGCAGTCCGATTTCGCAGCCTGAGTCGATCACTTGGCGCACTTCCTCGGGGAAGCTTTCGGCGGAGTGGCCGGGGATGAACCAGGTGCAGCGGTCTGCGAGGTTGAGTTTCTTGAGCATGTGCAGGAGACGAGGGACGCCGACTTTCGCAGCGAAGAAGCCTGCTGAGTAGTCGGCGAGGATGTTGTCGGGGTGGTGGCCGGTTCCGAGCCACCCGGAGACGGCGTCGAGATCGATAGAGACGGCAACGCGGATTTTGTTGCGCTTAGGGTTGGATAGTACGGGCGGGATGGTGGTGGTGAGGCTGGTTGTTGGGGGAGCTGAGGTGCTGTCGTTGAGATTCAGGCATTGACCCGTCATATGTCCTGCTGCGCGGTGGGAGGCTAGGAATGCGATTGTTCGACATATCGCCTCTGGAGTTGCCGCTTGTCCAGGGGACGTGCTAAGTGAGATCAGTGAGGATGTTTGTGAAGAAACAAGGAGTTCGTACGAAGCCTGCGTCCCCGTTGATGCATTGACAGGGGCAACAACATTGATTCTTGCGCGGCCGTTGAGACGGACAATATCGGACTTCACGCTCTGGACCAACTCGGTCTGCAAATCACTCTCGCTAGATAACTCGCCTGTCACGACGATAGCAAGATTGTCTAGCTCTCTGCCCAGAGACTGCTGGGCGACTTGAGCAGCTCGAAGGAAGTGCTTGATTGTGAGAAAGGTTCCCCGTACATTGACGCGGGATGTCTTCTCCCAGGTTTCCAGCGGCAACTCCCAGATGGGGAGGCTGTTGCTTGGATCAGCGGTGCCAGCATTGGCGATGAGGATGTTGATAGGACCAAAACGCTTGCTGGCTTGCGACACGCTGGATCGGATGGATTCCTCGTCTATAGTATCCCCCTTGAGAACATGGAGTCTGGCGTATGCATCTCCTGTGGCTGTTTCGGGGATCTCCAAGTGACGATCAAGCGCAGTCACTTTACATCCTTGGTCTGTCGAATGCAGTCAGAATCAGACTTCAATACTTAAACCCTCTAAAAGGCCCAAGAAAGCGTATGGGAACGAAGAATGGACAGTGATAAGACAGAATCGTCGGTCGGAAAATCTGATATGACAGATGCCCACCTATGAATCGGCTAATACATCATCGAGGGCTACAAGAAACATATATCGGACCATCGAACGGGGGAAATCCATAGCAGAGAATGCGTCATAACAGTGGCAACAGTCCTCCGTAGGGAGGTCAACAACATACCTAGGAATTCCTGCACCGCTTGCCTACCAATGGCACTTGCGGCACCTGTAATGAAGACATGGAGGCCTTCTAAGCCTAAGAATGATGATGGAGCCATAGATTTGCCGAACAGCCCTTGAAGAGTTTCTACTGTGTATGCAGCTCTTACAGCCAGATGACCGGTCTTCAGGACACGCACTTAATCTGAAGCACGTGGTTAGTCTACATCTCGCAGCGATAAGGCAGCGACTAAGTGTACAAGTGCTTACTTCGGCTGTTGTGCAGAACGTAGATGAGGCTGCTTCCTTCGCTCCGACTGTCTTGATCCTGGCCCAGATTGATTAGACACTAAATAGAAGCCGAGCCGCAGGGACGAACTTGAAGAAGCCCAGGGATCGCACTGGGATGGATGACGCTCTGCGTTGCACCACCAGCACCAACGCATCCAGCCACCGATCACGTGCCCATGCCCGGCCGATTACGAGACGGCATCACTAATGGGATCTGTCGGTGACGATAACATTGCTCCCCTTAATATATTAATGTCGATGGCGGGGATCTAGACTGTCAGCCGCTGCGACGCTGACGCTACACCCGAGGACAAGTCGCTCGTTCTTGCTAAACCCTGCGTTGAGTCTCGAAAGTCGAAGGATCCGAGGGAAGGATCCGAGGACAATAATCTAGTAGTGATTAGTATAGATTAAAAAAACCCACCCCAAGGAAACGGCGTCTTTCCATCTGGACTAAAACGACGACTACGTACCAACCCAAGACCCCCAAACCCACTCTCTGCGGTCGCTGCCGCCGATTTTCTATGGTAATAGAAATCCTGTGTCTTGTTCACGGTAGATATTCGGGCGCGGGTTTCGGAAATGGCCAAATCCGTGAACAAAGTTCGCCGGTGTCTCTCATGTCTCGGAGGATGCATCCTCTAACCTGGAATGATTCGTGCCAGAGGCTGATCGGCCGACCCCAAACATCTAGTACTTCAAGCTAACAGCAGCATTCGTCGTTGGCGGTATACACTAGGATGGTCAGGAGGGGAATTCAACCGTTTGCATCTGGGCGATCGCCATGCGTTGAACTAAAAACCACGTGGATCTTCAGTCCACGCTCAGGTTCTCGGAGGAAAGAACGCCAAAGCTGTAGGGCAGAGCTACTGCATTTCACTCTTCAAGGGTGAAATCCCAACACTCAAAGCAGAAGCCTTGCGATCCCGCAACCATAGAATAATAGATCTAGACTCCATGTGTATGAGGCACCTGGTCTATCCGGTGTCCGGAGCCCCAGTCACAAACGCAAAGTGGAGCCGTGGCATTATCATCAATGCAGGGTCACTGTAGCTGGATGATGGGGACCGTGCTGATGGTGTTGCATGAACTGTCGCATGGCCCAGGCATAGTTGTTGACCCCGATTTGTGCACTAGGAGAGCCACCTTGCAGTAAACTTTCGGATGAGAGGAAATCAGAGAATTAGGGGGAAAGGCAACCGTAGGTGGAAACGCGAGATTTTTTTGCCCCTTAAAAGGTTGCCCAAAACCTTAGGTGAAAGTTTGGTCCTCCGGAAGTCTATGGGATGAGTGGGCGGAAGTGACATCTGATCAGCCATAGTCAAGCCTTGAGACACTTCATTAGTTTCAACGGCAGACTGTAAAAGTCTAAAGCACAGGCTCAAGCGGACCGCGTCCCGAATCTACAACAGAGAGAGACCACAAACCTTCTCTTAAACGCTAAGATGAGGTATAGTGTAGCCTACGGAGTAAGTGTAGACTTGTTTAGTCTTTCCCATTCAGCCCATCAAAGCGAGATAGGGGTGTTGTTCTGAGTTACGATAACCCACAATCGATTCCAGACCAATCTTCGTTTACTAAGCGGCAAATGTGAGCCTCGTTAACATTCAATCTTGCGATAGAAGTGGTCGTGTCGAGGTTCTCTACTCACGATCCTTCTCCACTGCGGATGAGCCTGGAGATCCTGGCCAGTGTTGTCCGCGTGTCGATCCCTGGGATGGCTGTGGTCAAGAGACAGAGCAGGTGCGTCGCTGTACCTTACAACACAGTGCAAACCTCGATCCGTGGAAACTCTGGTTCGGCCTTATGCTCCGTCCGTACCTGAGCAGATTATATTTATCCGCCCTGAACTGATCCATGGATCAAGTAATGCAGTTCGGCGGCATAGGGCAGTCCAAAGTTGAGATCATTTCCTAAAGCGGTTGCTGCTGGGTGGGGGATTGGGGAGGGAGTGGCCCATGGGACCACATGCCAAATAGTTGTGCACGTAGATGCCGGATACAACCAATACCTACTCCGTAGAGAACAACATACGGCCGAAAAGCTCTTCGAAATCCGTCGGAACACGGTGTGGTTGGGTGCTTGCCAATAAAGCCTTGGTAATTTTTGGAACTCTAGGGAAAGGCTGTTGGTTCTGGGTTCCGCGTAGATTATTGCTAACGCGGCCTCGGCTAAACTTTAGGTTGCTATCTATGAGTAGAGACAAGGTCAGCACAAAGTTAATCCCTTGATGCTTCGGACGGTACCTGCCCTAGGGAGGTGCTCTTTGCTCCAGGGGCCCAGGTTCCTGTCAGCCAGTGCTGTGCCGATCCTTGGCACAGAAACTCAATAGTAGATAAAGTTAGGGGGGCTGTCGAAAAGAGAAGCGTACACGAGGCTTCATCTCTTCCCACATCTAGTAAGGCTGGATTTGAGTTGGGGTAGCTGAACCAGCCCCCTGAGTTGACACTTGGGCCCGGGGGAATCCTCGAGAGATCCTGGAGCGCAAAGGAAAGGAGCATACTCCGTAGGAAGACTGGAGGAGAGACAGAGGGAGGCAAACGAGGACGAGGCTCGGTTAAAGGCCGGCGCTCGGCAAGCCAGTGGTATTGTCAGGAGGTTTCCAATGTTACACTCATCTTTGCGTCGACAGGCGTACCAGACGGTACTCGCATGTAAAGAGTCCACGTGACCGCCTGTCACGGGGCGATCGGACCTGGATCGGGTCAGGCGTCGGCAGGGTCGGATACTTGCTGCCTTGGAAGCCTTGAAACTTGATGAACGGCATTCTGGAAAACACTTGCCAAAACTCTATATGTCGTCGCATCGAGGTATGAAACCAGGAAACACTATGGTATGTCCAAAACTTTGTCTTTCCATTAATATATCACATAGTATGTTTTGTCTATCCTGTTCGCTAGAAGCCAATATCGCCGTTCTCCAACCCCGTGGTCGTAATGGGCTCCCTCTCGGGATCCTGGGTCCCCCACATACCGATGATCAGTGGAATCATGGAGGCCGAGCGATGGGGTGCCGAGCAAGTTATATACAATAGCCAGGAGGGCATCCGTATCAGATCATCCCGTAAACGAAAGTGCCGTGAAAGAAAGGGAAACTGGAGAGCGATCTAAAGAGTGTGATCAGAAAGGGAAATAAGAAAAAAGATCCTGTGTAGGTATCGATAAATAATAAGATGACCGAGAAGCGAAAGCAATGAAACAGTCGTGTCCTTCATGGTTCTGGGTGACGGTCTCCTTCTAAAGTTTGGGACTTGCCGCTCTCCCAACACTTCGCTGGACACGTCTCACGCTCCACCGTAACCGTCACATCCTGGCGGATTCTGAGGGCCCGTTCGGAGCCATCCTCGCTGGGTTCGCGATCGTCGCTCGGCTCCAGACTGGCATCCGAGATGGTCTTTTGTGGCGTAATAACGGTGCTTTGGTTGTAGGCGTGCATGCTGTATTCTCCAGAATGTAGCTGACTATGAGCGCCGTAGTTGCGGAGTGCAGATCCCTTACTCGTCCAGGGACCAGTTCGATACCGCTCTGTAGTTGCCTTTCGTGAACCCCCAGTCCAACTTTTGAGAGCAGGAAACACATCGCGAAGAAGCGACCAAACGAGAGGCAGGTTGGTGACCAAGATAGCTACCGTTGCTTCCCGGAAGTACCAGTTCATGTAAACATAGGAAATGAGGGAGGGGACGAGACAATAAAGTTTGTTCAGAATGGCCGCGACGATGACGAAGATTCCCATGCCAAATAGAATCAGGAGGATCAACTTCTGCTTCAGAGGTACTCGTACTTGGACCATGAGTGGAAGCCCAATGAGGAGCATGAAGACATCTGCAGATATCGACAGGCAGCCTTGAATGATTTCATAATATTGATACGTTGAGCATTGTTCTATCTCAAAGTTAGTAACGTCATAATAGGGTTGGGAAGCAACTGACCGTATGGTGTTGGCACGGCCCAATAGTTTGATAATGGCCGGCAAATAAGGAATAGAGACATCTCATTGCCAACAAAGCCCAAGGCAACATATACGGCAAGGTAAGTCACCCATTTCCGTTGGCGCAACCCTTCCCTGTTAATCAGATTGTTAGATGAGGGAATAATTCTGTTGAGGGGCAGTTCTTACGTGATACGGGCATATATCACCAGCATGCATGCCTTCATCCCATATATCGCAAGAAGGAAGGAATGTTCTGATACGAAGACCCATTTGCTTCCTCGTATACGATCTGCCTTTATCTCTGGTGTCAACTTCTCTATGTCGCTCTCATCCATCAGATTGGAACCCCCTATGGAGGCGACTTCGTTAAGTGCGACACATAGAAGAGTATACCAGACGACAGAGAATAACATCAGGTAATCATCTGATTGGAGATTCTGGTAGCCTAAGCGGCGTATTCGTGCTGCGCTATGCGATTAGAAAAGAACAGAGTTAGTAAACGACAGTTAGGAGCAGGATATCTCTGTCCATGCTAACTTACAATCGTAGCACGGCACCCAGTACTCCTACACCGTAAAGGGTCCATGTCTCCCTAGCAAAACTCTTCGCGAAGGCGGAGTCCAGGCTCGCCATATCACTAGAGTGCAACCTAGAGGACCAGACAAGACCGGTCAATCGGGATCACCTGAGGGGGGGGGGGCCAGCATGTGCAGGGGCCGAGAGGGAGATGGGCCGATAGATATACTGGATGACAGCACTCACATATTGCAAAGGTAAAGTTCAAGGGCCGGCGCATTGGCCGAAGGATGATGCGTTCAGATCGATCAATCAATGGGCGGTCCAGATTTGGGTGCGTCCTGTCCACATAACAGACGGGCGACTTTAGTAGATGAAAGAAGCCAGGAACAACAATCCTTGACGATGCACATGGCAGTGGGCGGGCGAATAATCGACGGCAGTAGCATCTCCAACCCGGAGCTAGTACCAAACCGTCAACACCCTTATTGTGGGCAACTCGAGGGAAAAAAAAAGACCGGGCAGAGGCCGAAGGTAGGTACTAGGTAAATCAGACAGGCGGATCCATGATGACTGGTGGCTCAGGTCGGCTGCGGGGCTCCCACCCGGTCTGTGGATTATGGATTGTGGATTGTTGGATTGTGGATGAATGGTGGGATGCTCCACGTCTCCAACCCAGCAGGGGTTACACAGTACACAGTAGTACTATCCCGTGGCTGGCAAGGTACTGGACACACACCCGCATATACCACCATTCTCCCCCCCCATTCGTCCGATACCCGACCTGATCACCCCGTGCTGTTTCCGCTGAAAAATAGTACTAGTATCTAGCGTTTCGTATGCATTGAATCTGCACCGTATAAATACGCAGAAGGTGCATGCAGGATGGACTGTCTAAGCGATCTCCTGACAGTTGAGTGGCCAAGTTTATCCCAGCAGTTGCCTCCTCGTCACAATCGAGCATAGGTGCCGCACTGCCGCCTGAATCATGGAGCCATGTTCGCAGGTATTGACGGGATGATCATCCCTCGATCCCCACTTCTGCGTCTGCATGGTGCATACGTAGTTACGTACACTACCGACTGCGTACATGCTTAGCAGGTCATCCTACTCGCTCCGGCTTGCGAACTTAGCCCACTTGATGTTGGGCCCGATCAGTCCTAGTCCCGCGGATTGAAAGCTAACTGTAGGCTGGGGAATGTGCAATTAATTCATCTGGACAATACGCTTGTGTCACCCACACAGTGTATTTGATTTCGATGGTGGGCTCCCGCTAGTGGCAACTTAATTTGGATCAAAGGCCCACTTCGCCGTAAACTTAAATCTGCCCCTGCTCCGCAACAGCCAGTCAGCAGCCAACCCGATCCTACCCCCAGTTGCATCGATATTGCAAGCCAGCCACACTTGTTGCTACTACTTGCCTTGGCTCTTTTTTTTTCCCGCACATATCAAGACAAACTTACCACGCCGTTACTTTGTCGGTGGAAATTAAGCTCTGACTCGCTGAAATCTAAAATTGAACAAGAGTTCGTGCGGTCTTTCAGCTCGTGGTACGGAGTACGTTTTTACCGCGTTGTCTTGAACGTGTGAGCTGATCTCTATGGGTGTGTCCAGCAGTAGTGTCACTGTCAGGGTGTCAAAGGGTCATAGCCCCATCTCCCCCGGGGGTGGGGGATCGGTTATACCAATTCATAAATCTCAAACCGCAAAACTGGGCTGGGCAGGAGTACTGTCTTTATTAATCTCATTTTATCCATGCCTTAGTAATTTCAGCGGGGTTATCGCCCTCCTACGTCAACGTTCGTAACTGCATAGCGGCAGGATCGGGATGATTCCAGGAGCTACCACGTTGTTGGTGGGTTAAGCGAAAAGTGTGCAAGTATCTCGGCAGGATCCTAGTCTTACATAGTAGCAACTAGGCAGATACTACCTTAGTCAGGGGTCCGTTAGTTCTTTTAGTAACCACTAGGATAATCCAGTGTGCTGGATTCGAAAATGCCGCCCTGTCGCATGGCATGATCATGATGTAGCACATGTAATTAAACCAACCCTTAGATAGCCCGTCTGCAGGTCATCCTTACTAAAGGGTACCCCGCGCTGAAGTACCCCATCTAGAAGGATTCGGGTAGCGAACTTGTAACCCTTGGGATTATTCTGAATAGCCGACTCCCAGCTCAGTGTATGCCACATAGCCATCAACAAGCAGTGTCATCAATAACATGCTACATCTACCCCTTTCTCCATTCGGAATTTGCCCGCGATGGTCTTAAAATGTTTTAACATTCTATGTAGGAGTCTTCGGAAACCCCGAAGGCACTAATCTAGTTCCAACCCAGCTGTTACCCCCGAGGCAGGGCAGAACCCAGATCGTTGTCCCGATCGGTGAACCTAGACGATATTGGACTAGCAGGGATGTACAGGCTACTATAATAAACTTTGGGGGACTACCAGTCAGCATTTGCCATTGCGATGGGGGTTTCGATTGGCTTAAAATGAATAAAACCGGATTTCGTTTCACCAGCCCAGCGTGGAAGGCCTGGTCCGTGTTCTGGAACGCCAGCATGGAAACCCGTTGCCGTAGTTGGAATTTAGAAGAAAGACGACTACAGGGTTTGGAGGGGAACAAACCTGATGGACTGTTCTCATATCTACTCCTGATAGTACTATGTATTATCCGGCTATTAATGAGGAGTCAGGAGGATATACAACCGGTGTCTCTCCGAATCTGGATTTCTCTTACATGATCCCCTTTATATAAATAAATTTGTTCAAACGCTAGTAGTACGGGTGAGACACATCATCAAGGCCACTACAGTCTCTAGCAAGTAGCAACTGTTCTATATTGATGCGCACAAGGCCCGCCACAGGGCTTGGTAAACGTTATTCTGCCGTTAGTTAAGACGGGACGGAAATTTCTCGCCATTTATATGCTATATTAATATTATCGTTGGTGTGGGATTGTGGCGGAGAGCTGGCTAGACACTTTTGAAAATGCGACACAAGCTGAACGCCTAGCCTAGTGTCTAGTGTCTGGTGTTTGCATCTGAGTCCCCTGGCTAGAAGCACCCACATAGTAGATTGTATCCCGGCCGAGCCGAGTGGTATTTCAGTGCGAGAGCCCCAGTGCTACTAGATACTAGTAGGGACTATCTCAATCCGCTAGAACATTCGTGGGCAACCCCCCGCGCCTACAAGGGCTTTGTCGACTCGACCGAGAAAAACACCATCTCTATTGTGTAATCTTACAAGTCTTGGATAATAGTGTCCTGATAAAATCATAAAAGTCCTTAGATAGACGGGCTTTAAAAAAGGTCCGATGCGTCGGAAATAAAGAAACCCAAGGCCCACGGTCGGAAGGGCGCCGTGACATCTTATCATTGGTTACAACCGGATGCCCCCACTTCCCAGAGATCCAGAGTCTTGGCGTAAGCACGCCGTGGTTACACGAAGCTTACCTGTGGCAGTAAGCAGAGTGCCCACTCTTTGGCACGGATCCGAAGGATGCAGGCTCTGTCTGGTATCTGGTATCTAAGATGTATAGATAATGGAAAGGCCTATCTATCTACTAACCGGTCGAGCAAGGTAGAAGTGGCCTATAATTGTTTATCGATAGTCAGATAATATCAACTACGGTATCATATCGCGTTGCTCCATCTGCTTTCCTAAATTCCGCACGGAGCAGCTTTTTCGCCTTTATTCATTCGCTTCCGCTGCGTGATCGAAGACCCTTACAATACCATCGAATACTTTAAAGATATGCTTGATTCCCAGAGATCCAGTACCTTAAAAGCACAGATGAAGCCTTTTTTCCCCAGTTGTGGGGAAAAGACATGTTCGCCTGCCATCCGAACTCCAGCCCACCCAAGCCGTTCACTCTATCATTTCTATGACTGTACACTTAAAATCAACCTCAACTTCGAGGGGTTCCGTGGACTGCTGATGAAGGTATATCTGCTATAGCTCCCCCTTCGGGTAAGGTGCCTCTCCGCGTGCTCCTGCGTTAGCGGCCAGCGGGAGCCAGTCAGAATCGCTTCCCGACCCGCTCCCGTCGGTTGGTCACCACCAGCGCGCCTGTTGAATTGCTGATTGGTTAATGTCCTCCTCGAGGGGTTCCAACTGGCCCCACCCATTGGAGGGCCACCGGACACTCAGGTGCAGTGGGAGGTCTCATACTCCCCAGCTGGAGTATACCTGCCAATGTCCCCCCAGTCTATAAACTCCTGGCATCTCCCAGCTCTGCTCACTCTCCTGGTCTTTGTACCTTTCTCGTCGGTATACGGTTGTGGTAGAAGCCATGTCGAGTCCTTCTTCTTAGGTTACTATCCGATTACTATCCTGGTCGACATCTCCATACTTCAGTCGTGTCTTCTTTGACGTTACTCATTGCTCCTATCACCCAGCAACACAAGGATAGTGTAGGAACGACCTTTCATCAACCTGAGTATTACTGTATCTCATCTATACGACTTGACCTTTATCTGCATCTCGCCACTCCGTCTTAGCGTCTCGAACCCCAGCTCCGATTCTGTTCTTATTCGCCTCGATATTCGAAATGGCCGCAGAAAAGTCGACAGAGAAGGTGGGAGCAGTTGAAGCTGCGGACGATCAGTCTTCGATTGAAGTGGTCAATACATCGGGTCACCGCCAGGAAGTCGAACGGAATTTCAGCTTGTTGAGCATTTGCGCCGTCGCAGTTACGACAGGAAATACGTGGATTGCCCAGGGTGGCAGTGTGGTATGATGGTATCAGATGAGACGGCAACAGAAGAAGACAGCTGATGGTGTCTTTATAGACAACTGCGTTGAGTAATGGAGGACCGTCAGGTGTGATCTACGAATTGTATGACGCCGCCTCAACCCTAGAGGATTCTTCAGGCATTGGCTAATTGTGTGCTTAGCATTGCGGTTTCTGTTTGCTACTGGCTGGTTGCGGCATCGATTGCTGAATTGGCATCTGGAATGCCATCTTCCAGTGGAGGTATGTCTCTTGAATACTGGCTGTGGCTTGGTTACGTTGCTGATGACAACCATCAGTCTATCACTGGGCTTCGATCACTGCGGGAAAATACGGTCGTGTTTGCGGTTTCTTTGCCGGTTTTTGGAACTGCCTTGCCTGGATTTTGGGTGCTGCTTCCATGTCCGCAATCCTAGGACAGCAGACCGTCTCGATGTATGCCCTCATGCATCCTGGGTTTGTCCCTCACGCATGGCATATCTTCGTGAGCTTTATCATCTGCACCTGGCTTTGCTGCTGCATCGTCCTGTTTATGAATCGGTTCCTTCCGCATATTGGTAACCTTGGACTGCTCTTTATCCTAGCGGGTGTGTTCATCACCATCGTTGTATGTGCGGTCATGCCCCATGTCAACGGTTCTTCCTATGCCACGGACAAGTCTGTATGGAGCACCTGGGAAAACGACACTGGTTATTCCAGCCAGGGGTTTGTCTTTGTTGCAGGCATGCTCAATGGAGCTTATAGTGTGGGCACACCCGATTGCTCATCGCACCTTGCGGAGGAGATCCCTAGGTAAGATCATGTTCCAAACCAAACTTTTGCTTGAGATCCTGACCATGAGCGTAGCCCGAGCCGAAACATTCCCAAGGCTGTTCTGGCCCAAATGGCCGTCGGTTTTATCACTGGTATCCTCTACATGATTGCTCTGTTCTATTCCATCACCGATCTCGACGCAGTCATCAATAGCGTCTACGGGTTCCCTCTCGCCGAGATCTATCGCCAAGCGACAGGATCTAAGGGTGGAGCCCTTGGATTGCTGATTGTCGCCTTTATCCCTACGGTCATTACTTGTGCCGGTTGTTATATCACTGCTGGTCGCACCTTGTGGACCATCTCCCGTGATGGAGCGACTCCCTTCTCTGGATGGCTCGGACACATAAACACGCGGATGCAGAACCCTTTCAATGCCACAATGGTATGCGGAGTGTTTGTCACTATTCTTGCTTGCATCTACGTTGGGTCCACCACTGCCTTCAACGCTTTCGTGGGTTGCTTCGTGCAGCTATCCAGTCTTTCTTACTTCGCCGCCATCTTCCCCCACATGCTCACTCGTCGGTCCTCGTTTGCACCTGGCCGTTTCTGGCTGGGACGTATCGGCTATGTCATCAACCTTCTTAGCTGTATCTACATTCTCGCTTTCGTCGTGATCTTTTGTTTCCCTTACGCTCTGCCCACCGATGCCGCGTCGATGAACTACGCCAGTTTGTTGACCGGAGGCTTGACGATTTTCGTGGCTGCCTGGTGGCTCTTCCGGATGAAGAGCTATGAAGGACCCAAATCCATTCCTATGACTGACAAGGTGCTCGTGGCTGATGCGAACTGAGTGTCAATGGTATGGAGTATGAACGCTTGAAGGGAAAGCTTTGGTATATGAATCAACGAACACCAAGCTGACGGATGATATTCTTCTAATGTTTGTGCCTTGGCGCATCTGATGCAAATGTTTACTGATGTAATCTTATGATCTGTATATAACCCTGATATTGGATTGGAATTTTTGAGTAGCTCTTGGACATACCTTTATTTATTAGTGTGCTAGCTGCCCAGGCACTTCGCCCGGTTCCTCATGTCATTTCACAAGTCACAGCTCCTTAACCTTCGAGTCTCGAACTAATTCCACAAATTCTGGTCACGCAACGTCTCGTCCTGACGAAAAAGGCAATAACCACTGTAGGATCACGTGACAGCGCGACACCCGCGCGTTTCGTGCCTGGCGCGCGGCGGAGAGAAGACTCATCAACTCCAGGGTCCAAAGGCTCCGGCAAATTTCATCGAAAACCATTAATCGCGATGGTCTTCAAGCCATTTAAGCCTCCTTCTATGAGGAAGCCCCTCCAGCCCACTGTTTCAAGACCATCCCTGCCAACTGAAGCCACCGAGATCGACGGTCCTCCAGCGAAGAAGCCGCGTCTACAGCCAGAACACCCAATAGACCTCGAAAATGTTGTTCCGTCAACTGGACGACTAGTGAAGCCTATACCCCAAACAAAGAACCATGTGGAATCCTCAGTAGGCTCCGGGAGTTCTCGTTATGCAGCCGGAGAAAGATATTTCAATGTCCTATGGTATGTCTATTCTCGTTCCGTCACATGCGTTTCTCGGAGCACAAAGCCACGCAGACTAACAAGCCGCAAAGGCGCAAGGTTACCACGAAGAAGAACAAAACGTGGGATGGCGACGGCATTATCTCCATACGCGACGGCTATGCCTACTTGCAGGATGTTTCTGGGAAAGACATGGGGCGGGGAATGCATGGTTCTCGTCTTGAACCCGGCGTCATGCTATCTATTGGGGGTAAGGAAGTGGAGATAGATTCAGAAATGTCCAGGACCGAGTATCTATCCGGTCGACAGTTTCTAAAGGCCAAGAACGAGCCGATTTCTCCGACAGCACTGCCCACGAAGGCGTTCGTTCCTGTTCGAAGCAGCACATCTGCTTCGACAACTTCTACCAAGGACCAGCCTGCAAAGCCCAGCGCTACACCGTTAGCGAACCCTGCTTCAAAGAGAGGAACGGTCTCCAGCGCATTTAAAAAGCCATTGTTGGAAAGCACGGTCCTACCTCAGACTCCGTCGGAGAAGCCTGTTCCGCGCCATGATCCGAACAAACCTGGAGCGCTGGTTATGAAGCGGCCCGAATATGTGCCAAAAGGGAAACGAATTGTGGATGTCGTTGTTGATCCCATCCTGGCGAAACATCTGCGACCTCATCAACGTGAGGGTGTTCAGTTTCTGTACGAATGTGTTATGGGAATGAGATCCTTTAACGGCGAAGGAGCTATTCTAGCAGACGACATGGGATTGGGGAAAACCCTACAAACTATAGCTCTCCTGTGGACGCTTATGAAACAGAACCCAATTTACGAGAGTGCCCCGGTCGTTAAGAAGGCTCTCATTGTCTGTCCGGTTACACTAATCAATAACTGGAGGAAAGAATTCCGCAAATGGCTGGGAAACGAACGAATCGGAGTCTTTGTGTTTGATGACAAGAGAAAACGACTGACTGATTTTACTAGAGGAAAAGCTTATAGTATAATGATCGTGGGCTATGAAAAACTCAGGACTGTTCAAGAAGGGCTAGCCAGAGGCGATAGTGTCGACATCATTGTTGCAGATGAGGGTCACCGATTGAAGACACTTCAAAACAAGAGCGGTCAAGCAATTCAATCACTGAATGCCACGAAAAGGATCATTTTGTCTGGCACCCCGATCCAGAATGATCTGAAAGAATTCTTTGCCGCGGTAGACCTGGTCAACCCCGGTGTTCTGGGAACTTTCAAGTCCTTCATCAGGGAATTTGAAGGCCCCATAGTAAAGAGCAGACAGCCCGAGGCAACCAAAAAGGACATCGAGAAGGGAGAGGCCAGAAACGAAGAGCTACGAGAGCTTACCTCCAAGTTCATGCTGCGCAGGACAGCAGACATTCTAGCCAAATATCTCCCTCCGAAGACAGAGTATGTGCTATTTTGCAATCCGACACGCACGCAAGCGACCATTTACCAGAATGTTCTTGCCTCTCCGGTCTTTCAGAGCGCCCTTGGAAGTTCTGAAAATGCTCTCCAACTCATAACCATTCTCAAAAAACTCTGCAATAGCCCATCTTTGCTTTCTCCAAGAAATGTGAACGAGACACCTAGTGAGACCATCACTGCTCTGTTATCTTCTTTGCCGCCGAATCTCCTACGCCATTTCTCTCCATCATCTAGTGCCAAGATTCGTGTCCTGGACCAGTTACTTGATAACCTACGTACAAACACCTCGGAGAAGATAGTCCTCGTCTCTAACTATACATCCACATTGAACTTACTAGCAACCCTGCTAACGTCTCTTTCCCTCCCCTTTCTTCGCTTGGACGGCTCAACTCCTGCTCAGAAACGACAGTCCCTAGTTGAGGACTTCAACCGCCTCCCACCAAATCTCTGCTTCGCATTTCTCTTGTCTGCAAAAGCCGGAGGCACCGGACTCAACTTAATAGGCGCCAGCCGCCTCGTCCTATTCGACGTGGACTGGAACCCAGCTACTGACATCCAAGCCATGGCACGAATCCATCGTGACGGCCAAAAACACCACTGTCGAATATACCGTATTCTCCTCAAAGGCAGCCTTGAAGAGAAGATCTGGCAGCGTCAAGTAACCAAGATCGGGCTTGCAGATAGCGTCATGGAACACCGGGACAGCATGGCCCAATTCTCGCGGGACGAGCTCAAGGACCTATTCCGGCTAGACGAAGAAAGCAAGTGCCAAACACATGAACTTCTAGGCTGTGACTGTGGCGGTAACGGTGTTCTGCCATCAGAAAATGATCCAAAGCCAAACGACAAAGACGACAACGATGATTCCACCTCAAGCGAGCTCTCCGAGCTAGAAGACTTCCCCGATCTACCTACCCTACTCAAAGCCTCAGAAGTGGACATGGAGAAGCAAGAGCGCCAGCTCCGAGACTCCCGCGCCGCTCTTCGATCCGGAAAAACCGACGATGGCAGCGGAACGACCAAGCAAAAGCACCGAATGCAGCAATCCCTCTCCCAATACTGCCATATAGACCCCAGTCACCTTAATGCCACAGAGAAAGAGAGTACCGAAGGTATCGAATCATCAATTGACGATGACGTTCTCCTCTCTCTACTCAAAGATGAAGACAACCGGATCGGTTACATCTTCAAAAAGTCCAGTACAGCAGAAGCGAAGGGGGACATCCCGTTGTCCCCGGTGGTTATCCTGGATTAATTGAAATAGATAAATTCATAGATCCCTAGCTCGCTAGCTAGATCTCGGGTTTTTGTCACGTCCTGCATATAGACTTATCTTATACTTGAATTTGGAAATCTACCAAGGTAGGTTTATATTATCGAACGAGTCGAGGACGCGGTAAACATATCTATATAATGTAACTGATTGTAGTAGGATTATAATAGTAACAGATGTAAGTTGAATTGAGGTGAAGATCTGGGGTCAGAATTCATGCAAAAATCTAGATAAGCTGCATCACACATTGACATTGGGTGGGTCGGGTCATCTTCCGTATCATATACATATGGACATCTAAACTTCATGAATTGGCACAAGAAAGTGATGAGGGGAGGTAAGGGAGAAGAAAGGAGACAAGAGAAGGAATGAAAAATGAGATAGGATATCAGCAAGAGGGGGTATGAATATGCAGGTGCACAATAACGTGACATGAGGAAAAAGGAGATCGCTGAAAACAATTAGAATGCAGGGATTGCAAAGGATATAGAGGGGGGAAAAAAATGTATAGCTTGGGCATGAGTTCTGGTTTTTTCCTCCCAGAATACAAATTAATATCTGGACTTTCCGACAAGCCCGAAGGTGTATGCTGCTTCGGCTTCACTCTTCATCTGGATCATGTAGACCTTGGAGGTTCCGACGGTAACGCCGCCCTTCTTTGGCATGGCTCCACCTTCGTTCTCCTCCCAGACGGACACGGCGATACCGGTTCGAGCCACCCGCTCAAACGAGCTCTCGCCAAGACAGACATCGAGGAGGACCTCGCCACGAGTCTTCCCTCGGATAACAATTCGCTTCTCCAACTCCGGACCGCGGCGGGGGGAAGCAGCTCCAGAGCCCGGAGCACTTCCATCGACTCCTTCTGCTATGCTGTCGGAATCGCCACGTCCGCTAGCTGTGCCAGTATAGCGAGGTTCGGGAGACGCAGGCATGATTGTCAGCCTTGCGGCACCCATATCACGCCACTTGGATTGGGTTTCGCGCAAGTAAAGCCGAATCTTCGCGTTAGACAGCCCGATACCGTCGCCGCCCTTCATGGCGGCTGCTATGCGGCCGATGCCGGATGTGGGAGAAGCGTTCGATCCGGCAGAACTCGAGTACAAGCTGTCCTCCTTCTGGCCGTCGCGAGAAGCAATTGAGGAGCGGGAAATGTTAAACATCTTGCTTCCCGCTCCAAACCGCTTCAGTGCAGAGAATGCGCTGCTCATGGTCCCTACGCTACTCTCGGAGTTATCGGTGACCGATTGCGGAGAGCTAGATGCACGGTAGCTTCTCCTGCGGCGTGGCCAGCCAAACAACCCACCACCACTTCGGTTTGGCGACTCCATGGGAACCGGCTGCTCGGCGTAAGGGCCTCGGGCGTTCTGGAGTGCTATGTAGGTGGGGTTGTTGATGCGTGCTTGATTGATAAGGCCGTATAGGATCTCGCATTCGTCGGCATTCCTCGAGCGGAACATGATGTTGTTGCTCCAACTGATCTTTGATCGTTTGGTAGGAGGAGAGCGGATACTGATGTCAATCGCTGTACCGCGTCGAATAGGTACCAGGGGAGTGAGTTCAAGCGCAACCAATGGTCGTGCTTTGCTGTCCTCTTCAGTCCCGGATGGTGCATTTCCCATATCATATGCTTCAATAAGCCCAGGGCTGACCATAACCTTACAGTCATCAGGGAAGATGCTATCCCAAGAACCCTTTTCTGACCAAGCAAATACTGACGCAACAACAGTGGACGACTTGCTTGGTTGTGAAGGAACGGATCTATATCCACCCTGAGATGCGGAATTAGACAGTGATAGAGAACTGCTCGTAGACATGGCTTCTGGAGCCGGAGTCTTGGGCTTGGGAGGATGCTTTGCTTCAGCTAGCTGTGATACGGGCTCATCTTCAGACTCATCCGAGCTATCTGTATCCGAGTAGTCGGATCCTGAGTGTACTTCGTAATGGCGCACCGTTGATGTATCGGAGTCCGAGTAAGAATCCGAAGCTGTGGATGGTTCATATTCATGCTTCAAAGGCGAAGAGCCCCGGCGTCTCGTACGCACGCCACTTGGACTGAGGACAGGAGTGTTCGTAAGGCTGGAACCAGTAGAACTTGGTGAACGAGAGTGTGGTGGAGGTGGCGGTGGCTCGTCCTCGTTAGTTTGGTCTGATCCCGAGTGCTCGCGTGAATGGGTCTTAGTTTTGGTAGGAGTCTCCGGCAGACTATCAACATCCATAGCGGCATACTCGTCGTCCGATGTGGATGCTAACGAGTCTGAGATGTATGTCTGACTGCTGCCCTTCCTTAGTTTCGGGATAACAGGCAGGTCCATCGACGGCACGGAAGACACCCGGGGAGAGCTGGGCTCGGGAGTACTCTTCGTAGGAGTCTTGGGATTATGCAGTGCCTTGGGCTTCTTCTCCTCAGAGCGTCTGGGGTCCTCGTCCATGCTGGGATCCGTTGGTGTGATAGGACTTGAAGGAATGATTTCGCCATTGCGAGTGACTCTCTTTGCCTTTGACCGTTTGAGGCCATGAGATGGTCTGTCGTCCGCCGTGAAGCTCTTTCGGGGCTCCCTAGCATGCAGTATTGGTTGCGGAGGTGGGGACCTCACTGGTGAGTCATCCCCGATAGCATAATCCGACTCTGCGGTTACTGCAGTTTGTAGAGAAGTGCGTGACTCGGAGAGCCAAGATCCCACAGTACTTGGGTCCGAAAGATGGTCTCTAGGGGTTAGGGAACGCCGCAATGTACGAGAAGTGGGCTTCTCGCCGATAGGAACATTGATATTAGAAGGGCTTGGCGGAGCCTTCTGGGCCTGCGAGGCCTCGTTGGCCGAAGAGATTGTCTTTGCTCGTTGCCGCTTTGCTCGGTCGATGAAGCTCTGAGTTCGACAAATAGCCGGTGGGACAGGGGTCAGGCCCAACATCTGAACCCATTCGTAGCCGATGTCCTCTTCGTCGATGCGGAGCACTAGCAGTTCTTGCCAGGATTTGGTCTGCCCTGGGGCACTTCGTAGCATGACCACGATCTCACCCTTCGTGTCGCCATTCCGAGCTGAGACACATCCAAGCTCGATCGGAGGGAATAGCAGCCAGCGATCCGTATGATCAATCTCACAGATGAGTAAGTCCCCACCGGTTTTGTTTCCTGCGGTGCCATCTCTGAGAAGGAACTCTGCACGGCAATCAATGATCTGACCACTGGTGTGGTACAGCGAGAGATTGAAGAAATCACGGGCCCGGACCCTTCGACTTCGGTCGACATTGACTCCAGTGAGCGCCCCCAGGGTCGCCGGGTCTCTGGCGCGGGTCGCGTCGACGCTGGCGGCAGATTCATCCTCGAGCCTGGCTCTTTCTTCGCGTGCCCGGCGACGGGCTTCCGTGACAAGACTCTGATATACCGCCGCCGCATCCTCGGCCTTGTTGGATGGCTGGATTGTTTTGATCCCTTTGAACGTTTTGGCTAGGTACTTCAGGCGCACGAGGGGCCGCTTCAGGAGGTATGCAACGTCAACCTTTTCCCCGTCACTGTCCACCACATCACCGTTTTCATCCCGTGCCATACCCTCGTCCAAACTCTTCGTGTCGGTGTTGTCGCCCGCCTCGCCATCTTCAAGGGGCGCAAGGTTAACAATCACGTCTTTGAATCCTAGTCTCCAGGCTTTGAGATATTCACGGTACACTCTCTGAGCCCCATTCGCCCAGTTGAGTAAAGCATCCACGTCATCTTGAGGAATTCGCTTGTGCAGTGTTTTCAATCGCTCAATGGCAACACCCATATCCACAATGGGCTTGCTGAAGTTCACCTCGTCCTTAGGATCAGTAGATGGTCGAAAAAGGCCAGCTGCAATCGCCGAGTCGGATCGTGATAGCACGCAGGTCAGGAGAACAGGTATCACACCGCCAACCAGAGTCTTGAGCTCGCGCATGTATTTTGCCTCGTCACCAGCCAGCTCCTTGAGAAGGTCAGGAATATTCTCTGTGATGACCCGACTCTTCGCTTTCAAACTCCTTGCAGAGCGGAGACTTCTACTCCTGCTAGTTGGGGCAGACAAGACCGATATCAAATCGTCGTGGGTAGTAAGGCGCCTCTTTAGCTGGGAAGAAATTACAGGGAGCGAGTCGGGATCGAATTGGTCCCTCTTCTCCTCTTCGTCAAGCTTCTCCTGAGTGGGAGTTGCATCTCGCTTTTCTGATACAGGATCTTGTCCTGATACTGGAGCATCGGTGCCCGTGCTCATCGATTCGACAGATGCTATTGTGGAAAGAGAGTGGGCTCCTGTGGTGGGAAAGGGCTTTCGACGTCCAAGCGGCACCGGCGCATTATTTCCGGATACCTCGGAGCCCTCTGAGAGCACCTGGGTTTCCGTCTCCGATGTCTTGTCCTTATCCTTATCCTTATTCTTATCCTTGTCCTTGTCCTTGTCCTTGTCGTCATGAAGTCGTTCGCGGATAGGAAGCTTCCCAAGGTTTGGAGACGGCTGCTTCGGCTCATGTTCCGGAAGCCCCTTGTCCTTGGTTGAACTGGTGTTTTTTGTGGGCTCTACTTTCTCCTCCGGTAGCTTTATGCTTTCGCTTCCAGTTGGGCCTTCCTTCCTCGCTCGCCGCTGCGCTGCATCTTTCTTCGACGTGTCGCTCTCGAGAGGAGGGTCGATATCGCTAGTAGGATTCTGGGATTCCTCTTGTTTTGCGGGTGCCTTTTTCTTGCCGGTCCTGGTATTCAATGGTGCAGGTATCTCGACGTCGGATTCCATATCGTCAATAAATGGATCAGTAGTCTCAGAAAGCCATGCCTCTATCTTCGCGCCCCGGTTCGGAGTGGGCTTCGGAGGCTCCGGTTTGGCGAACATCTTCCTGGACTCGTCGAGCATATGGGAAAAAATGCCGCCCTTAGGTGGCTTCACAGTGCCCCGCCCTCTGGATGCAGAGCTTTTGGGTGCAGGGTGGTTTGGGCCTCGCGCACGCCGCCTGGAGAGTTCTGAGAAATCGGCTTCACTTGTCGCCCACTCAGAATCGTAATCCAGTGCACCATCCCTTTTCTTCGCACTCTGTGACTGTTCCGACCGTGCACTTGCATGGGCTTTATCCCCGGTTGCCGGTCGCGAAGTGGACTTTAAAGATCCATTATGTGACCCATTCTCCCCATCGACCTTGTCCTCCAGTATTGCATCGATATCCCGGGACGCTCTCGACTTCCGTCGTTCTCTTGTCGCGAGGTCAGGTGCCACAGCAGCCCTTCCCCTTTCTTTGTTCCGAGAGGGAGAGGGTAATACCTTGTCGTCTCGAGCGCCTTCGCCCCCACTTGCGTGTGGAGAAGTTAATGGATCGTTCGTTGTATACTCGGCGATGCGTTTCGGGGCAGGGAGCTTGGAAGTGGGCGTCTTCTGGGTGGGGGTTCGGTTCAGCTTCCAATGCTCATCACTGATGACTCGTTTTCGGGGGGTGCTCTTGCTTCGCATCCTCGTTGTGGGCGCTCTCGTTGTGGAGCCATTGGAGCTACTGGACGCCTTATCGTCCACAGGCTTGGGTTTGGAATCGGCTGTTGAATTCTCTTCATCGTCGTCGTAGCAGACCCCGTCATTGGCCGCGATTACCCCGCCTCCTTGCTGCTGCCACTTGCGAACCTTTGCTCGCACGGAATTGGTATCGTAGATGCCTAGGGGGACTCCAATGTCGAGGGGTTTCTTGGTGGGTGATATTCTGGTGCCTCCCCCACGGTTGGAGGGGCGCTGCAGGTTGGCAGGAGGCGGCATGGAAATCTGCGATCGGAGACAGCCATCAGCATTGCGTTCGGGGTCGCGGGAATAGAGCCAAGTCTGAGACAGGGTCTCCAATGAGATGCGATCCCCGAGCGGGTGTGTGGTGTTGTGGGAGGCCAGCAGAGGGGGAAAATCCACCCACCGACGTCACCCGGTTGTTTGTTTATGGGACGGAGGGGAAGCTCACTCTCAGTCGAGACACCGACGGCACATGCCCTGGCTTACAACAGCAGCAACAAGGTCGCGGTGATGCTGGGGACGCAATTGGACACTTAAAAAAGAGGAGACAGGAATTCTAGACAGGATACAAAATGCGAATCTGAAAGAACAAGCAGAGAAAAGACAGGGAATAGGCGGTCAAGTGCAGATGGAGACCGGAGGTAGGCAGCGCAGCTCACTAGTAGGTACCCAGTAAGTACTGCTCGTCAAGAAAGATCGGCTGCTGTTTGACTCTCCAAGGGCCTCATTCATTCCTCTGCCAGACGAAGACCGTCTTCGAGTTTCAAGCACCCGGCCAGCTTGGATGAACCACAACAGGACAAGCCACACGCGCGCCCAGCTGTATACTTCACGAGCAACTTACACTTTGGCAGGGCTGCCCGGGAAACCAAGTCGAATCAGCGCCACTCGCAAGCCCAACCAACCAACCCCATGGCCAGAATGCCCGTCCGTCAGATCTGGCGCCCAGTTGAGCTTCCGCCAGCCAACAGCATTCCGCCAGAGATGATGATTTGCTGCTTGCTTTGCCGTCCAGGGCAAAATATTCATTCCGCGACCGGTGGTTCGTCCGTGTCGTCCGCTCAGGGGAAAACACCCATCAATCAGGTACAGTGTACAGCCATCAACTAGGTAGGGCGTCCCCTCTATTTATCTCTACCCACCCACCCGCCTTCTCCAGCTTATCCTGCACGGTCATGGTCATGGTCATAGCTGCTGGCTGATGAGATGCACATGGGCCTTGTCCCGCACATGACTGCCCGGCCTTTGCATCCCATGCCTCGCACCAAGCCACACCCTTCTTCTCCCGGCGCCCATGTCCGTGCATTCCCTGAAGTGAACCCATTCGAATTCAGCTTGAATTCCGATAATAGAACATTCAATAGAACATTCATCGTCTCGCGAAGTAGCAGTCGCGCAAGACGATCATTCCGATGTGGCTAACGTGTAACTCGGAGCTATTCTTCCTGTTTGCCGGGCTGGCAGAGGAGCAGGAATGCCTAAAACGATCCACCGGGGGCTACGCGTCACAAAGTGGGCCAGGACAGGAAAAGCATTCTACCCGATTCATTATTATTTCAGTGCGTTGTCATGCACGGTGTGTATATTGCTTTTCCCGGTCGGGGCCGCTTGATTCGAGACTCAACGAACGAGTGCTGCTCCGGCCGAAACGAAGATCCCATGCGGAAGTGCCCTCTTAAGATTATTATACGCATGCATGATCAGTAAAGACCAGGTGCCTTAGCCTGAGTTAGCAAGGCATACCCCTCATCTGAAATCGCCCGGTTTGGGATGGGTGACATCATCGTTGCCCTTCGCTTCTCTTATCGATCCTTGCGCTGCATGGAAGTATTTCCCAGCGCCCTGAAGGCATCCGATATTGTCCGGACACTCTGGAAAAGATAGTCTGTGCCCATCGTAAGTCTGGAACGAATAGAAACCAAGCAAGGGGTCTGTGGGACTGGAACGTACAGAACGGAACCACAATCCAGATGAAATTCATTAGAAAGTAATAGACCCAAAAATAGTATGGCTCCGGGCGGCTGTACGGCCGGTCATGAACGTAGTGATCGAACAAGCTCGTGGCGTAGTATAGAACATCACCATAAAGGTGGCTCATGCACACGATGATCTGCAACGGATGGCGCAGAGGATGCTGGGAGAGAATCAAGTATGCGACCAGAAAACAGAGCGGGCCCCAAAGCAGCTATTCTATGACTTTAGCCAACGGCGTCGCATGCTGGTTAAGGAGTACCTATAATAATAGTAGGCAGGGATCCCTGCAGCTGCGGGTGCACTTACAACGGTGATGGTCTCCATGCACAAGACGAGGGTATCCGAGGTCATGTATCGAGAATCGGATAATGCATACTCTTTCCATAGCTGACCGAAGAAGTCTTGCGCAGATGCCATATGATTATGGTGGACCATGAAGTACCCCTCGAAGAAGCAGTGAAGCGTGCCCGCTTGAAGTTCATATGTTGTTAGCATGGAAGCTGTCCCAGTCATTAATACAGTAGGTATACGAGTTCGGACCTACAGAGGACAAACCACAGGATCGCGAGTCGGTCTGCGTTCTTCAGACTTGGTCGAATCACAGTGACCAGGGTGAACGTGGTTCCCAGGAGCGCTGTGGCGCCAACGCTGGCGGTGGTAAGGATAGACAGCAGAGAAGCCTCGTTGGGGACATATCCATCGATTTGGGCATCGAGGGGGTAGTAAGGATGAAGAGAGGTTATGGAGTCCATGGCAGTCAGATTGATGGAAGTTCAAGTTCGACAGTTCACTGCAAGGATTTTAGATGGGCGACCTCTCGTTTATGCATATCGGGCCGGAGTATATAGTGGTGTTTGTCTTGCCAGAATCGGTAAGGAGGCTCACCATCCAGAACTGCCTAAGAAACCGTAGTAGAAGTTCTCAAAGATTTCTATTAAATGGCACTGCCTCCATCAAAACATATTCAATGCACCCCCTTTCTTCGAGACTCGACCGAGAGAATCGGTTTCACGAAGAAGTAGCGATTTGCGCAACAGACTGGCAGGACCGATCACGCGGGACCTGCCAAAAATGGGTGAGATGGACGACCCGTCAACGCTAGCCTGATGAGGCTAGGCTGTATTGTCCTCAGGCAACGACAGCTTCTCCGCAACTCCCCCAAAGGTCGGCTCGCTGCTGCTCGACGGCCTCCAGCTTGTATCCTTCATGCCGCCATCTCAGTGATTGCGCTCCCTTCGCTCATTCCATGGAGACCGTCGCCTCCACCTTTCACGCGCTCTCCGGCAATGGCACCTGGTCCTTTTAGACGGAAGCCCCTGGGGCTTGATGTGCCCCGCCCCGCTGCTGTCATCGAGTCGCCGCCTGGCATTGCGGCCCTCTTCGTCATTCGCTTCGATATCAAGGCCGGGTGAGGACTCCAAGTCTGTTACAAAGACAACCCGTCGAAAATGGATCTTACGGCTGACGGTTAAGCCGATACTGCAGATACGTGATATCATGGAAACGTACTGTTCCTGAAGGTAAGTAACATACTACTGCTCCAACGGTCTAACCGTGACGAAGTCGTCTAACCCATCCGGTCGCACAGTTGAAGTTGAAGGAGCCGTGGAATACAAGTCGCTTCCATCCGGTCTGCACAATGTCTCAGAAGATCTGGTGTACGTATGCCGTCGCTGCTCCAGACTGACTATACCTGCTGACAGCTCGTCCTTGTTAGATACTTCGTCCACGAACAGTACGCTGGCATCAGTGCGTTTGTCAATTGGCCCGCTGAAGAAGCGGAGCGAAATGCAAAGATGTTTGCTATTGGGGTTCTCGTTCCGTTGAGTTCGGGAAGGCTAGGGAAAAGCTGGAGGCATGCCCCCAAGCTCAAAGAATTGGCGGCGTAAGTTGTTTCCATTATGTGCTGTTGTTGCGGCCCGACCGTTGACATCCCGCGATCGCTTCCAGGAACTATGCCCAGGATATGTCCAATACGCAACCGCTGTCGGACTACTGGGAGACCCATGAAATTCGTGAGAGTGATGCTTCCGTTATGCCACCCGATTCCCCTCTGGAGTCTCCCCTCAGTCTCCGGCTACGGGCCCATGGTGACCCAAGAGATGCCGTACATCGAACCCGTGCTTTTAGTGATGCAATCGTGTTGGAAACGCCCAGGCCGGCCCTGACGCCTTTCCACCCAGCTTCCTCGCTCCCTGATTTCCTTGACTCCTTTGGTCCTCTCCTATTTCCGTTGTACAGAGCAGCATTACTGCGCAAAAGGGTGCTTTTCATGGCAGAAGCGCCAGTTCATACCCCCTGTAGCTATGGTATGACAGCTTTTCTATTCCTTATGACACTTACTGACAGCAAAATAGTTTACGATCTCTCATTATTGGCCTCCTTACCTAATTCGCTTCTTCCCCTGCTTCCCCAAAATGGATTACCCCCTCCGCGACCTCGCCCATTGTTCAACGTTGGTATCCATGACATCCCTTATCTCTCTTCTTTCGTGGGCGCTTCAGCCAATACCGACCACGATTCTGCCTGGATTGCGTGCAGCACAGACAGTGTCCTGAACATGAAACCCGAACTCTTTGATGTCCTCGTCACGTTGCCGCCCCCTCACTCCAAAAACGCTGTCGAAAAGGTATTCCCAACAATTTCCATCTTCCATACACAGCCCGCAAAAGGAAGAACGCCCCATTCGATCGAAGTGAAAGCGACTCAGCGCGATGCACGGCGTTACTCGACTCTCCGCAAGGGTCTACGGCATGTTTCTCAGGAAGACGAAGCAGCCTCGACCGAAACAGATGATGGCTCGGATGCAGCGTCGACGTACTCGTCCAGCCCCATCGTCGAACCTCTTTCGTGGACGCGCCTAGCATATACATCCTTCATTTGGTGGGCATCAGCAGGTGAAAAGCGCGACGGACTCTCCGAGGAGGAGGAAGAGGAGCACCAAATCGAACAGGACACGCGTCTCCTAGCTAGTGTGGAGACACTTCCCAGCCCACCCTTAGGATCTCTCGGCCGTCGAAGCATTCAACTGCAGGATTCAACTCAGCAGCCCCCCGAGATTGCCTTAGTGGCATACTTCCGTCGTCTCACGACCCAAATCTTCATCACCCTGTCCGATGTAGTCGCCCGGCACGACAGCCGTAATTCACACGATGACGAAGAAGATGACGAACAACCTGATGACGATAATGTCTCTTACGAGGGTGAGCCAGAAGACGATACCGAGCCTTCCATCACCATCGGGCGACAGTCCACCCAAGAGGATGATTCCATATCTCCATTACTGCAACAGACAACAACCGAGACTGATCCGCGCAGCGCCAGACCCTCCTACGGCGATAGCGATCCAATCAAGATTACCTCCGAGGATCTGACCGAAATGGGCCTAGATATCTGGAGCGCCGCCGACCGTGTCTTTGTTGAAGAATTGGTTCATCTTTGGTGGGGGCGTAAGGCGCGTGTCGACAGCGCGCGTATCAGATGTTGTGGCATTTCGATCATCTAGATCCAATAGCAATAGTGGTGTGCTAATCTTCTTTTCCACATTATCTGGCACAATGTACGCATGAGTGTATATACGGCGAAGTAGCATATATAGACCACGTCTAGTTCCTCACAATCATTACTAACCCCAGGCAATTGAGCGTAGTCTCTATCGGTAAGGTGAATTTCATGTCAATATCGTCAATTCGATGTCTTCATCCAATGAATATTCCTAAAATACCCAAACCACGCAACCCAAAATTATTTACAAAAACACGAGGCCAAAAATGCAAAAAAAGAGGGAAAAAAACATAAACAAAAACAAAAAGAAATCGCCTGACAAAGGAAAGCTGGGGGAGATGTAAAGATCGTCGGGGCTTATAAGCAGTACTCATATGCCGTGGAGTTGGGAGGCAGTCAAAAAACAAAAAGCCGATACACCGACATAACCATATAAACGCCACAGAGTTACCCTCTTCGAACATACGAAAGAGAATTATATGATATTCGTAAGATTTAAGAGAAAAGGGGGTCCATTGATGCCCGTCAACGCAACATCCAAAAACGCCATTCCGCTCGGAGTACTGGGGTATCAAGAGAGAGAGTCGGGTCATTAACCAATGAGATCAGGAATAAGGAAGTGATGGCCTTCGTCCATTTCATTATAACGGACGAGACAGTGGCCCTAATGGTGGGACAACCGGATGGGAGCACTCATGTCTCTCCGATTCCTCCTCACAGAGCCATCACTTCTGGCCTCTGTAGTCCGAGGCCCTGGCATGCGTCGAACATTCCGAATTGGGGCGACACCCATGCCTCCAGAGCGGAGCACACTTTCGCTGGCACTAACCGACCTCTTCATGGTGTTTGCTCTCTCCCTTCGCGCTCTGATTTGGGCTAGGGCCTCTTCCCGGCTGATGGGAGTCCCTGGGACGTCAGAAAAGCGATTAGATCCCGTATCTTCGGTCCGCAGGGGAACTTTCACCGAGTCATCATTCCTATCGGGAGTTTCAGCGCGATATCCCACGGGCATCACAGGGTCCCATGGAACATCAGCAACTGCTGGTGAGGGATGACTTTCTGAAGTAGGATTTAAGACATAAGCTTCACTCTCCATTATGGAGTCGAACGGAATCTTGTGCCGACATGATGCATACTTCGGAGTAGGACTACCAGACATCAGCTGGGCATTCTTTCCATCTTCATGGCGAGTCACAGGTGATTGGTGTGGATTCAACACGGCTTCACTGTGTTTTCGGGGAGATCCTCGAACGGGAGAAGGGAAGGTATGGAAGGTGCCAGTGGCAGGTGAGAATGTTATCAAAGGCTCCTCTGGAGGCTCGTCGTCATCATCATCGACTTCTTGGGCCTCCTCAACTTCTTCGACAACTTCATCGACATCTCCATCCGCTTCGTCTTCGATGGTCCCGTGCTTGACTGATTCCCCAGCTGCTCCATCCACGACGACGCTATCCCCAACTACTTCTTTCCTGATTATTTGATCTTTGGCCGCAGAACCAAAAGGTTCGCCCTTGGGGGTATGCGAGGGACTTGGCTCCTTTGGCACCACAAGAGTGTTGTGGTTGTTACCATGACATTCTGAATGTTTCTCTTCTTCCTTTTCTCCTGTCTCCACACTTTGCGCTTCATATCCATGGTCGATTTGATCTTCTTCTTCCAGACGGCAGGAGCAGCGTCTGAATCGACACTCCACTTTTAAGAATTCAAGCATGTCTTCTGCCATGGTCCTGAGCCGACGCTCGCGCTCGAGGACCTCCTCAAGCTCATCGATACGGTCGTGATGCGCACCGGACATAGTGGCCTCCTCGGCCTCCTTTCGAGAGGTAACATCTGACAATCTTTGCCTCTTCGAAGGAGTATCCTGGGCAGGTGAGGATTCCACTGCATTGGCTTGAGGCGAGTTGCCCAAATTGTCGGCAGAGCGTTTGAGTCTTCGGGTGGGCGTTAACAAGAGATTAAGATCGCCTTCAGCCAGCGACAACCGTCCAATGTTGTTCTTCTGGATTTGCCGCGCCCGCGCTTCGAGCTTATTCGACCGATTGGCGGCTTCCGCAACTCGTAGTTGTTCCTTGAGGATCTCCATCTCCTCGGTAAGTCCAGCAATTGCATAAGCCCGCTCGAATGCTTCCTGTTTCGCTTGTTCCTTTGCTGCTCGCTCTGTCTGGGCCTCGTCTTTGAATCCTTTGGCCTCGTTCCTCGCGTGCTTCAATTCTTCCTGTGTTTTTACCAAGACAGAGCCAGCACGGAAAGCTTCTTTCCTCGCTTTCCTAATCTCCTTTTCGAATACCGTTCTCTCGTGAGCCTGGCGCTGTTTTCCTGTTTGTAGTTCTTCGAGCAAGGACTCTAGCCTTTCACTTATGCGACGCTCCCGTGACTGGGCTTCAGAAAGCTGGGCAGAGACATTTGCCAATGCAGACTCGGCCTCCTCACGTCCAAGAACAGCCCGTTGAAGAGCTGCCGCAGATCCAGCGGATGACTGTGAAGCATGCGCGGGACTGTTTCCTCGCGATAGATTGTTTAAAAACGCAACCTTGGCTTGCACATCAGTGAAGCCCCGAGGTGTCTTTCGCTGGAGGTTGAAAATGTCGGATGATCGTGATGGCGAGTTGGGTCCGATCTGTTGGTTGATCCGCTCTGGCGACAGGGGATTGAGGGCTTTCGTTGGGCTCGACATCGCGCTTGATGGGGAATCCATCGCGAGGCGCGATATATATGCTGTATGGTGTGGGGTTAATTAAGTGAGGCTGTCACCAGGGTAGGACATGACATGACAGTCGCGTCTTGAAGGGGTGTAAGCCAGGCGCCGAAGGAAGCCCCGTGGAAAATCCACTTGGTGTGGAGGTGGTGAGTTCTCGGTTGATCCCCTATCGGTGACGCACCGCCCAGCCCGCTTGTTGCTTGTTGCTTGTTTGTTGCTCGCGCCGCAATCCCGTGACCGTTGCCCCGAACAACGGCGCTTGCCGGTTTGGGAAGGCGGGGTGCACGTGTCAACCGTGCTCCCACTAGGCCCAGATAGGCAGCCACCGTCTCTGGTGGTCCGTGTGTCCACGCTGTGATGCCATCAAGATGCTCGTTCTGCATTATTATTCTGGCCGGGTTCTAGAACGGGTGCAGCTTTGGATCTTCCCGGGTTGGACTGGAGACCTCCTGACATCGGCTGCTTCACAGCCTCCGCTAGATTGGCGTCCCTTGCAACAATAGCGGGATCCGTGAAATACCAGCTGTCAGGTCTGCATATATTTTATCTAAACCTCAATGTGCGACTTTGCCGGCATCCACCATGCATGAGATTATCACCTTACAGTTCGGTCAGCGGGCTAATTACCTGGCGACCCATTTTTGGAACCTCCAGGTAGGTGATCATATTTCTGGCTCGCATTGTGCTCCAACCCCTCTTAAATCCAGCTGACATCACGTTATAGGAATCGTACTTCACATACAATGAGGAGAAGGAATCCCCAGTTGATCATGACGTCCATTTTCGACCAGGCGTCGGGGCCGACGGAGCCGAAACATACACTCCCCGGACTGTCATATATGATCTCAAGGGAGGATTTGGCACTCTCCGCAAGTACAATGCGCTGTACGAGTTGACTGAAGATTCCAACCCTGGTCAGGGTCTGTGGTGAGCTATCACTTTTAACCCCTGGCATGTTCAATGCCTTACGGTATTTCGGTGGCGCAAAGCTAATGCTAGTTGTAGGGATGGAAAGGAGGTATTACAACAGCAAGCTCTAATCCCCCAGAGTGACTACCAGAAGAGCCTCGATGCAGGGCTCCCTGCCCCAACACTCTCTGCAGAAACAGTCAGGTACTGGTCCGACTATAACCGACTATTTTACCATCCTCGCTCTATCGTCCAGCTCAACGACTACGAGCTGAACTCCAAAATCATGCCTTTCGAGGACTGGAGTATTGGCGAAGAGCTATTCAACGATCTCGACAAAGAGCATGACTTGCTCGATCGAGATGTCAGACCGTTCGCAGAGGAATGCGACCAGCTGCGTGCGCTGCAATTATTCACCGGGTCTGATGATGCGTGGGGTGGCTTTGCTGCCAAGTACGTGGATAGAATTAGGGACGAATATGGTAAGAAGGCCGTCTGGGTCTGGGCTATTGAGAATGGAAGGAAGGTCGATCGGGTGAGTATCTCAATGCGTCTCTTCCCCTTTTTGAGTGATGCTTACTTTGGATTCGACGGTAGCAAACTCAGTTCAAGAGGGATCTGAACAAAGCTCGATCTGTCCACGCTATTTCCATCCAAGCGTCATTGTATGCGCCCATCATTGACCCCCCGAGCCGAATCCCTAAGTCCGTCTACCTCAATCCTCTATCAGAATGGTACACTACGGCCTTGATCAGTTCCGCTATGGAGACGGTGTCACTTCCAACCCGACTGCGTCCGTACCACGACTTTGAGGCTTCCTTAGCCGGGGATGACAGTATCCATAAGATATTCGAGCTGCAATCTACGATTGTGCGGGATGACGAAGATTCCGCAAAGCCACATACCAACCCTTTGAATGACGCAGGTCAGACAGACCCCGAGCATTCGCCAATCAAGACGGAGTTTGATTTGGACTTCACATATGACGGGCTGGAGAGTCAAAAGTCCCACCACATCTTTAATCAGCTCCAAGTTTCACGTGGAGTTGACAATCGCGAGAACGTGGCCTCCGGAGAGGATCAGGGTATCCTTCGCCGCAGAAGGCACTACAATTCGGAACCGATGTTTCAGAGGTCAGGAAGAGCGCTGGATTTGTTTCCTGCCAACACTTTGCTAACCTAGGATCGATAGGTTCCATACGTCATTACCGTTGCCCCTTTTGGACAGCTTCCCTCGTGATATGTTCCCAGGATTGAGTTCGAAAGAGAAGGTCAGTGTCCTTGCCGCATTGACTGTTTCTTCGCGGACGGCGGAGAGACTCAAAGCCTTTGGAACATTAGCGGGACGAGTGGCTGGGGTGGACGAGCGGGAGACGCTGGTGAACGGACTGGGCGAGATCCGCGAGACATACGAGACGGGGTGGATGAGCGATTCCGAGTTTGACGATGACTAGAGAGCGGAAGAATCGACATGATCTCGGCTGTGCATATTTTGTAGGGAGTATACCTACTAGTAAGGACTCTAGACCCTGAGCAGGAGCACCAAATAAGCGTGACGATCGGGCCGTCGATCGGCGGGGGCAAACAGAACAAACAGGGAGCCGGTCGGCCAAACGTGGCCTCTCCATCTCGCCTTTCATTATTATTCATCGCCATCCCAGTGCTACTGTTGCTGCTGCTGCTACTCGCGCTTACTGCCAGGTGGCCAGTAATTCCCAGTGTGGTTGTCGCCTAGATGGCTCTCTTGTATTAAAGCCCGCGTATGTGGTGCCTTTCCCCACGCTCCCTCCTGCACCCAGCTAACCGGGTCATAGTTGACGACAACGACGACTCCTCAGCCCGCCTCTGGACCTTGACCTAATCCCAATTGATGTACAGATCGCTTTCCTCACCAGCTACATATCAAAAAAAAAGAACAAATATCCTAGACAAGGAAGACAACATTATTAGAGATTGTATGGGCAGGATCGACTTCTGGAACCCAACAAAGGTATGCGACTGTCTGTTCATGAGCATGCCCGAAACATGATTCGTTGACCCCCTCGCAGTATTAGAATCACATAGACCATGGCTCCCAGCGGCCAGCATCGGACATATGGCTCGCTCACCTCCTCCCCCGTTCTTTCCTTCCTCATTATACCATTCCTCGTTTTCTTCTTGAGCTTCCCTGCCCTAGCCGCGGCTGCGGGTTCCGCAGTCCTCGGTATCGATGTCGGCACCGAATATCTGAAAGCTACGCTCGTCAAACCCGGTATCCCTCTTGAGATTGTCCTCACCAAAGACTCGAAGCGCAAGGAGTCTGCCGCCGTTGCGTTCAAGCCTACCCGTGAAGCCGATGCCTTGTTCCCCGAAAGATTCTACGGCGGTGACGCCCTGGCGCTGGCAGCACGGTATCCCGACGATGTATATTCGAACCTCAAGTCTTTGCTCGGAGTGCCCTTCGATGAAGAGAGTGAGGTAATCAAAAACTACCATGCTCGCTATCCTGCATTGCGGCTGGAAGAAGCCCCCGGAGATCGTGGCACGGTTGGACTGCGGAGCAACAGACTTGGAGAGGCCGAGAAGAAGGACGCCTTCCTGGTCGAAGAAATTCTGGCCATGCAGCTGAAGCAGATCAAAGCCAATGCTGACAGCCTGGCTGGAAAGGGGTCCGACATCACGGATGCGGTGATCACTTACCCTTCGTTTTACACCGCTGCGGAGAAGAGGAGTCTGGAATTGGCGGCGGAACTGGCAGGGTTGAACGTTGATGCCTTCATCAGCGACAACTTGGCTGTCGGATTGAACTACGCAACCAGCCGCACTTTCCCTAGTGTTTCGGACGGACAAAAGCCCGAGTATCACATCATCTACGATATGGGTGCCGGTTCTACTACGGCCAGTGTGATTCGCTTCCAAAGCCGTGCCGTGAAAGATGTAGGGCGGTTCAACAAGACCGTCCAGGAGGTCCAAGTTCTGGGAACCGGCTGGGACAAGACCCTCGGAGGAGATGCGTTGAACGATCTAATTGTTCAGGATATGATCGCAACCCTGATCGAGGACAAGAACCTCAAGGACCGGGTCGGAGCGGCTGATATTCAGGCCCACGGAAAGACCATGGCAAGACTTTGGAAGGATGCAGAGAAGGCGCGTCAAGTTCTCAGTGCCAACACTGAGACAGGTGCCGCGTTCGAGAGCCTTTACGAGGAGGACCTTACCTTCAAATACCGTGTCACCCGTGCCAAGTTTGAAGAACTTGCGGAGCAGCACATCGCCCGTGTCGGAAAGCCTTTGGAGCAAGCTTTGGAGGCTGCTGGACTGCAGCTGAGCGATATTGACTCCGTTATCCTCCACGGTGGTGCCATTCGCACGCCGTTCGTCCAGAAGGAGCTGGAGAGGGTCTGCGGATCTGCGAACAAGGTTCGGACCAGTGTCAACGCGGATGAAGCTGCAGTGTTTGGCGCTGCTTTCAAAGGAGCCGCTCTCAGCCCCAGCTTCCGTGTCAAGGATATTCGAGCAAGCGATGCCTCTGGCTATGCTGTCTTGCTGAAGTGGACCTCCGAGTCTAAGGAGAGACAGCAGAAGCTTTTCACCCCTACTTCTCAAGTCGGCCCTGAAAAGCAGGTTACTGTGAAGAACCTGGATGACTTTGAGTTCAGTTTCTACCACCAGATTCCCACCGACGGAGGTGTCGTCGAATCGCCGATTCTGGGTGTGAAGACGCAGAACCTCACTGCATCTGTGGCCAAGCTCCAGGAAGAGTTTGGCTGCTCATCTGCCAACATCACCACCAAGTTCGCCATCCGCCTGAGCCCCGTCGACGGCCTCCCCGAAGTTGCCAGTGGTTCCGTCAGCTGTGAAGTCGAGTCTGCCAAGAAGGGAAGTGTTGTCGAGGATGTTAAGGGATTCTTCGGCCTGGGCAAGAAGGACGAGCAAGTGCCTCTTGGAGAGGAAGGCGAACCGAGCGAGTCAATTACCCTCGAGCCCGAGGAGCCTCAAGCTGCCACGACTTCCTCGGCGGACGATGCTTCCGCCACCGCATCTTCCAAGGAAAGCAAGAAAAACACCCCCCAGACCAAGCTGGAGTCTATTTCCATCAGCTTCATCTCGTCCCCCTTGGGAGTCCCTGCTCCTACCGCAGATGAATTCGCTCGCATCCAGAGCCGCCTGACTGCCTTCGATGCCTCGGACTACGACCGTATCCTGCGCGAGGAGGCCCTGAACGAACTGGAATCTTTCATCTACCGCAGCCGGGACCTGGTGGACGACGAGGAATTCGCCAAGGTGGTGAAGCCCGAGCAGCTGACCACGCTGCAGGAGAGAGCCTCTGCTGCGAGTGACTGGTTGTACGGCGACGGTGATGATGCAAAGACCGCCGAATTCCGGGAGAAGCTGAAGTCTCTGAAGGAAATCGTCAATCCCGCCCTCAAGAGGAAGAAGGAGAACGCGGAGCGCCCTGCCCACGTCGACCTGTTGCAGCGAGTGCTGAAGAACGCCGAGTCTGTTCTCGACGTCATGAAGCAGCAGATCCAGCAGGATGAGGATGTTCACTCCTCCAGCATCGCGGCATCCAGCTCTTCTTCCACCACTGTGTCCGAGACATCCACAACCTCCACCGAGTCCCCTTCCGCCGACCCCTCGGTCGACTTGGATGAAGATCCCTATGCAACCTCCTCTACCACCACCCAGACCGCCTCTGCCACCACCACCCCCAAGCCCAGCGGACCGAAATACTCCATCTTTCAACCTTACGACCTAACCAGTCTATCCAAGACCTACGAATCGACCAACACCTGGTTCGAAACCCAGCTTGCCCTCCAAGAGCAGCTCACCGAAACTGACGACCCGGCCCTCACCGTCGCGGAGCTCGACACCCGCATCAAGGAACTCGAGCGCATCCTCAACCGTATCTACGACAAGATGGGCGCCGCGGCAGCCAAGTCCGGAAAGGACCAAAGCAAGAAGACCAACAACAACAACAATAAGTCCAAGGAAACCAAGAAGGACAAGGAGAGCGACAAGAAGACCAAGGCCAAGGAAGAACAGAAGAAGGCCAACGTCAAGGACGAGCTGTAATCTCATATCCTACATGCACACACATAAATGTTTTGTACGGAATATAAAAGAGAAAAAGGTAGGGAGTTCGGATTGAGCGTTACCTGTTTCCTTACTTGTATTTTCTTTTCGTTTTCTTTCTTTTTGTGTTTTTGGCCCACTTGTTTCAAAAGAATAACTACTAGTAAGTACTTTTGATGAGATGTGTGGGGAGGTACGTGTGTGTGACTGGCTCCGGGCCCCCCTCATGATTACTATGCAATAGGTATTGGTCTTTGTTTTCCTTTGGTTGGGGAACAATTGGCTTCGTGTAAACTATAGATAGAATTGATTTCATCTCTTATTTCTACTTTGAAGATATAAGGAGAGAAATAGAGAGAGAGAAGAGGTAGGTAGGTATGGCAAATTCCTTGTGTAAGGCTTCAATCATTATTTCATGCAGGAATAATATGCTGCATGCCCATATCTAAACTACACAGCATCAGCGCAATCGGGTATTATGTACAGGATAGTATGCTCGACAACAAACACAAATGCGAAGCCAACAGGGCCCAGTAAGGATATGCAAAGAAAAAAGAAACACAAAACAAGACACGCCTTGAAGAGCAGAAACAGCAACCGGAGGAAAAGGGCCAATATGCATGCATGCATCATCATTTTTGCCCCCCAACACATAACCGTAGCACTCAGTCAGTCAGTCACAGAGCCAGCCCATGACCCTCGAACCCAACAAGTAAACAAGACACACACAAAAGATAATGAAACCATTCCGTCCCAACCCAACCAATGCCTGCTAAAACAACACCACAGAAACAAACAAGGAATCAAAGACCAAGAACAATTTCAACCTTTCCCACATGTAACATCCCCTAAAATCAAACCCCGCCCATCTCAATCTCCCCCGCACCCCTGACACCCACATAATCCATATCGACCTCCTCCCGACTCCTCAAAAACACAGGCTCCTCGAAATCATCAATATCCATACTCCCCGTAGTAGCATATCTCTTCAACGCCACGAACCGTCTCCGCTGCTGATTCGACCTCGGGGCGAGGATCGTCCGGCCGAGAATGGTCCCGTTCTGCATAATGGGATGTTGCGCACAACCCTCCTCGTCGCTGTCCCCATCAATGTCGTCTAGATCATAGGCTCGTTTGTGCCCGCCAGCATGTGCCTCTGAGTCCTGGCTGCTTGCGGGAAGGGAGAAAGCATCGCCTTCGTCGTCGGTGAGGAGGTTGCGGCAGAAGGCGGGATCGGACTCGGGCTTGGCGAGATTGGTCTTGTAGCCCTCTGCGACGGATTTGCGGACGCGCATGCCGACGGAGAGAAGGGAGGCTTGGACTCTGGTTGGGACGATGGGGGTGGGGGAGCAGGTTGCGGCGGAGTAGTGGTTGTAGGAGAGGTGGTGGGAGCGGGTAGTGGTGGTGGTATTGTCTGTAGGGATGGGGATGGAGGAGGAGGGGGTGGTGGTGAAGTAATTGGTGATCGGGGGTTGGAAGCGTCGGCGTTTGGAGGCGAGGTCGAGGGTCTTCGTAGTGGTGGTGGTGGTTTGGAGGGAGGGTGACATATTGAATCTTGAATTGTGAATCGAGCTGGACGGAAGAGGAAAGAGAAATAGATGTGATTGGATGGGGAGTGGTGATCTAGTCTGGATTCTATTCTCTTTGGGACCACTTCGTTTTTAATTGAAGGGTCCTGATTTGACAAGTGGAAGAATCTAAAGAGAATGCAAGGACGAGGGGAGGAAGAGGGGAGAATGATGCAGAGGCAAGAATGAAGAGGGGCGTTGGTCTGGAAACGGGAGGAGCCTGGGCTTTCTTTGAAGAACCTGAGGCCGGACAGACGCGCGACGCGCGACGCGCCCTGTACGTGTCTGGTGCCATTTATCCTCTTTCGGCTTGGTGGAGGGCGGCCTGAGGATAAGGCAGCTGGATGTCGATACTAGGCAATGGAGGAGTACAATGATAGAGATATTGGTATGAAGCGTCTACGGGGTAAACAGAGTATCATGGAATGGAGTCATCTACGTAGCAAAGAGCCTCAAAGACTAAGAAATCGAGTAATTTTACGGAGCTCTATATACAGAAGCACGCTTTTGAGGACATCATTTGAGAACAATTCAGATGCTCGATGATACACAACAACCTGAAACAATAGATCTGCGATAGGGTATCAACATCTATACCTTAAGCAACGGCACCAACGTTTCCTCTGCGACCACCCCGCTTGGCCCGGTCCTGGTGAGCCTTGAGCACCGCCCGAGTCTGCACTAAACTACGCTTGTTCTTGCTCTTGGCCTTGCCCAGCGTCATCAGGAAGTTCTTTTTGCGCGCCTTCTCCTTGTTGGTGGTACTCTTGCCCTGATCCTCCTTGCGCTCCTTGCGCTTGGCCGTCACACTCTTGTGCTCCGACCGATCAGTCTTGCCTTCCTTGGCATGAGCAATACGCTCCTCGCGCGTGGCCTTGCCCGCCGAGAGAGCAGCCAGACCCTCAATCTCTTCGGCCGTCAGGGGATCATCCCGATGCCGGGTGGCTCCCTTCGATCCCGGGACGAGGGCGTTGACGGCGGCTTCGGTACGCAGCTCTTGCAGCTTAGCCAAATCGGCCGGCGTAAGAATGCGGGTCGTTGCAAGCTTGGAGAACTTGGCCTCGGCCGTCTCCTCTGGCTTCGTTTCCACCTTGGTATCATCAGTGGACTTGGCCTTCTTGGTAGGGGGCCCGTCCTTCTCGTCTTCGGAGTCGCTAAACTCGATTTCAACGTCGCTCTGCACATTGACCCAATCGCCGGAGTCATCACTGTCCTCGTCGTCCTCCAAATTCCAGGCAGCCCAGTCGTTTTCCTCCTCATCCTCATCCTCATCATCAGAAGCATCAGAAGCCAGACCCTTCTCGGCCCTCCTCTTTCTGCGCTCCTCCTCCTTCCACTTTTCCAGAAGCTCTAGACCCTCAATGCCACCAGCCTCCTGCTCAGCAAAGCGCTTCTCCTTCCTCTCTCCGGACCGGAGACCGATGGAAGCATCCTTGCCGCGGTCTCTCCTCTTGAGCATCTCGGGGTTGAGCTCCCGGAACAGACTGAGCAAACCTCGGCCCGCCATCATGACACCCTTATCCTTACTCTTCCGGTACATGACGAGATCCTGCAACAAGGTCTCATTCATGGCGAGCGGCTGCCGCACACAAATTTCTCGGATGGCATTGAGGCCAGCCGAAGCCACCTCGGACGCCGATGCTTCCGAGACGAACTCGTTGGCAATTTTCTGAACCAAGGGCTCCAAATCATCGGGAGGAACCAAGTCGTGCGACGCTTGTGCAAGCGAAGCCAGGAATGAAGTGACGGATGGCTGGCGGGGAGTGAGGTATTTCTGGAAGTAAGAGTAGAGATGCATGATGTGGAGTTTATGCAATCCAACCAGGCGGGTCACCAGCTGGAGCACCAGAAGCTTTTGGTCCAGGTTAAGCTTCGACTTGGTGTTCTGCAGATGCTTTGAGAACAAAGACTCGGCATACCCTTGAGGGTCGTGTAGGAGATGCAAAGCAGAGAAGTTCAGAGGGTGCGGTTGGTTCTTCTTGCGCTCCTTCCTCTTCACAGTTGCCTTGGCCTTTTCGACGGCGCGAGACTTCTTTCTGGTCTTCTTGTTGATTCCGACCTGATGCTTGACCTTGCCCAAGTCAATGGCTTCCTCGTCACTGCTCTCGTCTTCCATCTCCTCGCGCTCCTTGTCTCCACCCAAGAAGAAGCGAACTCCACCGACGATGACCTTCTCATTCTCCGCAAGACTGGCCTCCTTCATGACTTCGACTGCCTTCGCATCGGTCCAAATCTGGCGCTTCCACAGCTCGCGCGTGAGTTTGATAGCCCACAGGCCCTTAGAAGATTTACGGTCCGATGTGACCATGTTGAACAGCACGGTCTGCATGGTACGGTTGAGTTTGTGGTTCGTAGTCTTCGCATTTGAGGAACGAAGATCCATGAGGATCTTCTGAAAGATCAAAGCTCGTAGAGTTTTGCTGGGGGTGGAAATGAGGATAGGGAACAGGGTCTGGAGCAGTCTAAAGCCGGGGCAGTTATTAGCAACAAGCACATCCATGTAAGACCACTCAAGTATAACATACGTCGCCGAGTCCATGAGTTCCTTCTTCCTCAAAAGCACCAAACTGCCGACGATCTTCTCGCGTAACTCCGGCTGCAAGATCAGATGGTGTTGCGTCAAGATATCGATGAGCTGCTGGGCGAAATCCTTCGTGATCTCGGGATAGCAGTCGGCGACATGGGCAAGGAAGTCGATCAATTCACGAAGAGAGATCAAACCCGTCTCCGTGGTCGCCGAAGGCGCCGCCATGAAAATTTCCCGGTGACTCTCATACTGGTAATGCTGAGCGCGGAAGTCCTCAATGTAAGATCTGCAATACAAGAGTCGGTTAGAGTACTGCCATGATCCAATAAATGACGGATCGCACTGCGCAGTTGACTTACTTGGGATCTCTGCGAATTTTATGCTGCAAATTGGGCCTAGAAAGCAGTGTGTTAGCGACGAGCGAATTCTTCGTTCGGGGGCAACTGCAGGGCCGCAGTGACAACGAGGGCACTTACAGATCCGCCTCGACCTTTTCCAAGGCTCCCAACTTCCTTTTCACCATTTTTTCGAATAATGGTGGTTATGTTATGGGTGGTAGAGTGGTTGGTTGGGGGGAAGAAGGCGGGCGACGGTTGCCAGGGCCGATAACAGAGCCCCGAATATTTTTTTTCTCTGCTACGGGGCTGGCCTATCGATAAGCCGCTGGCAGTGCGGCATCGACGGGACGGTGTCCTTGCGCAAAAGACCCGGCCATCAATCATGGCCATGCCGTTGGACTAAGGACATATGGAGTACGCTCTATTCAAATCTAGAACTTTGGCCATATAAGTATAGGACCTTCTTATGCTACTATTTGGATGTTCATGGATCTACACTCTCGAGGTTGTTCGCCACCTCAAAGTGGTGATGAGAGGCACAGGTTGAACAGGGAAATCTTTTTCGTGCAAAATAGATAAAGGTATTGACTTCAAACAAGCCAGAGGTCTTCATGATCGCATCTCAACTACTGTAGAAGAAAGCCGTCCGATTCTCTCATTTTTAGGATCTCGCTCCCTCCCGTGACTGTTTTCAGGTATGTACAGTCGCGCAGATGCATGCAAATCGACTGAATCCTAATGAACCCCCCGTCCACTCCAGTACACGCAAAACCAGGACCAAACGGAGAATACGCCCAAAATTCCCACTTTACCGGTTGGACTTGGCAACACGCTCGAGCTCGTCCTTCTTCTTGATGGCGTAAGAGTTGGAAGAACCCTTGGCGGCGTTGATGAGCTCCTCAGCCAGGCACTCAGCAATGCTCTTGATGTTACGGAAAGAGGCCTCGCGAGCACCGATGGTCAGGAGGGCAATGGCCTGGTTGACACGGCGGAGGGGAGACACATCGACGGCCTGACGACGGACGGTACCAGCGGAACCGATACGGGTGCTGTCTTCACGGGGACCGCAGTTGACAATGGCATCAACGGCAACCTGGAGAGGGTTCTGGTCGGTCATGATGTGGATCTACAAGGGAACCGGTTAGTTTCTGCTTTCTTCTGCACTTTCGCGGACTTCAGCGGCCCGGGTGATGTTGCATGCGTAGGCAACAGAAAGAGGTGACGTACGATCTCGAAAGAGTGGGCAACGATGCGGACAGCCATGAGCTTCTTTCCGTTGTTGCGGCCGTTCATCATGAGGGAGTTGGTCAGGCGCTCGATGATGGGGCACTGAGCCTTGCGGAAACGCTTGGCGGCATAGCGACCGGCGGAGTGAGGGAGGTAGACAGGGGAGCGGATCTGGATGTAGTCGCTGTGTACGAGAAGTCGAGTCAGCATATCTCGTCTCTGTGCTTATTCGCAATTTTTTTTTCCAATTGTGATTCCGTGGCCCATCCCCCCATCCGTGGTGTTTTCCTCCTTGCTTTTCGAGTCGACCGTCTTCGAACAGATACTGTCGTTCCACCGGCCGACCAACGTTCTCTCGTATCACAATGGATCGCGATGAATTGGGGATCACCTACGTCAAGGAGATGTCCCTGATCTCAACATCCTCGTAGCTCCACTTGTTGAAGAGCTTCACGGTTCCCATCTCCGCGATAGCATCCTTGGGCAGGACCTGGAAGGCCGCAGCAGGGTTTTCGACCTCGACTTCGCCGTGTTCAGACATTTTGGACGACGTATGCACCTGTTGCCGAGGGAGGGATACGTGAAGGTGGCGGACGGTGTCGTTGGTGATCCTTCGTCGACGATTACGGGCGGCTGAAATGTGTCGCTGAGCGCAAGGAAATTCGAGGTGCGCCTCGCTTAGCGGTCGGTGGGTTAGGGCAGAACTGGCCGCCAATAGCGCGGGCGGTGTCATGTGATGGTCACCCATGGCTTCCGGCACGCTAACCCTGCCCCGGACTAGTGTCTGAGGGCCGGTCAAGAACCAGCTCCGCTTTCAACCCGCGATATCAATGTACTTTATCTACAACCCTGGATCTGCTGTCTGTTATGGACTGTCACTTAGTCGCATGTCTGTATATAGGCAAGACATGCGTCACCTATTTTCCCGCCCCCAAATATCTTACACCAAATATGCCCTACTTATCAATTGCACGCTATCATAGTTAGTACAAATCATGTATTATAAACGAAGAACATCCTAGACCCTGGAACCGCAGCTGAGCTGGCTTGTCGATATGGCTGTCCTGCTTGATATTAGGACCACCCC